CCTGTAGAAAATGAAGTTATGGAGGTATTCGTATTGGGCCAAGTTGCCATGGATAGTACGCTGAGTACAAGAAAATTAGTCAATGAGAGCGGCGTGAATCGTACAGGTGCGGTAGTTGCTAGATAGCTGTTCTGTGACTTGTGCGTTAAAGTTCTTTTCAATATCGTTAAACTTGAGACCAACGTGAATCGTAAAAGTGTCCAAAGGATATTAAAAAAACACAACTTCCATCCGTACAAAATTCAGTTGGTACAAGAACTCAACGAAGACGATTTTGATCGTCGCTTGCAATTTTGTGAAACTATGAGTGAACGAATGGCCAATGAGATAATAATTTCCTATTTAATGTGTGTTTTTCGGACGAGTGTACTTTCTTTTTGAACGGTGTAGGTAATCGGCACAACTGTCGGTACTGGCCTGAGGACAACCCCAGGGTTTTTCACGAGGTTGACACAAAACCCTCAGAAATTGAACGTGTGGGTTGGTATTTTTAGAAATTCTATTGTGGGTCCTTTTTTTCTTCCTGGAAATCCAACAGATGATATGTACTTGGATTTACTGGAAAATACCATCGACCCAGCCCTAACTGACATCATAGAGAACAATCCTGGATACGTTGAAGCGGAACTAATATTGCTCTCAAAATGTGCGTAACTCATACATTGCTCTCAAAATGTGCGTAATTTTTGAACAATAACTTTCCCGGTCGATGGGTAGGACGAAGGGGTGCAATTGAGTGGCCTCACCGGTCACCCGACTTGACTCCTGTAGACTTTTTTCTATGGGGAGACATAAAAAGTAAAGTTTGTAGCACTCCACCCGCCTCATTAGAAGACCTGCGAAGACGAGTTATTGATGTTTGTCGCGAAGTGACCCCGCAAGTCAGAATGTTCGAGAACGGTTTGAAAATAATTTGTATTACTGTATGGAGGTTGACGGGCAACATTTTCAGCATTTGTTTCATTAATAAGTTAAGTTTTTTTTTAATTAATTCAATTTATGCGTTTTTTTGCAAAAAGTACTTTTCAAATTTCAATCCTTTTTACCGATTGACATCATAGAGAACAATCCTGGATACGTTGAAACTAATATTTCAACAAGACGGTGCACCTCCACATTACTCTCAAAATGTGCGTAATTATTTAAACAATAACTTTCCCGGTCGGTGGATAGGATGAAGGGGTGCAATTGAGTAGCCTCCCCGGTCACCCTACTTGACTCCTTTAGACTTTTTTCTATGGGGACACATAAAAAGTAAAGTGTATAGCACTCCACCCGCCTAATTGACGTGTTTTTGGATTTTGAAAAAAAATACCCTGGCTGTTATGTGTGTTTTTCGGATGAGTGTACTTTCTTTTTGAACGGTATAGTTAATCGGCACAACTGTCGGTACTGGGCTGAAGACAACCCCAAGGTTTTTCACGAGGTGCACACACAAAACCCTCAGAAATTGAACGTGTGGGCTGGTATTTTTGGAAATTCTATTGTGGGTCCTTTTTTTCTTCCTGGAAATCTAACAGGTGATATGTACTTGGATTTACTGGAAAATACCATCGACCCAGTCATAACTGACATCATAGAGAACAATCCTGGATACGTTGAAACTAATATTTCAACAAGACGGTGCACCTCCACATTACTCTCAAACTTCCCGGTCGGTGGATAGGATGAAGGGGTGCAATTGAGTAGCCTCCCCGGTCACCCTACTTGACTCCTTTAGACTTTTTTCTATGGGGACACATAAAAAGTAAAGTGTATAGCACTCCACCCGCCTCATTAGAAGACCTGCGAAGACGAATTATTGAAGTGACACCGCAAGTTCTTCAGAATGTTCGAGAACGGTTTGAAAATAATTTGTATTACTGTATGGAGGTTGACAGGCAACATTTTCAGCATTTGCTTCATTAATAAGATAAGTTTTTTTTAATTAATTCAATTTATACGTTTTTTTGCAAAAAAGTACTTTTCAAATTTCAATCCTTCATATTTTCAAAATGACTCGACCGATTTTTAAAAACGAAACGGGGAAATATAGAGAATAGAAAGCCCTTTTCATTACGGTGCCACTTGACCCCCCTTCCCAGTTGAAAAAAGTTGGGGGATGACACCCCCGCTTACAGGGTTGAAGATTTTACAATCATTTTTGGGGCAAAAGTTGTCCCCCTCACAAACAAAATTGACGTGTTTTTGGATTCTTTGAAAATAAAAATACCCTGGCCGTTATGCCTTGCGGAACGATTTCGATGGGCCACCCTGTATAAAGCATTATTTAAAGAAAACCCAAATATTTCCTTCACAGACATGTTCTGTATTTAGTCTAATCCCATTCATAGTTATAACTTAAAAAATATTAGAAACTTTTTTTAGTTAAATAAATGGATTGGTATGGACGTAATCTGCTTTTTTTTCTGTTATCGTCTGTCGAAATCTTACCTGAAAAAAAAACAGAGTATATATTTTTTCTAGTATAACATTTTCAATTCGTTTAAACGACAGATTCAGCCATTTACCAGCCTATGTCAACAAACGGCGGGCAAATCGAAAGTAGTTTACGTCACTCAAGCCATTATTTTTACTGCAATTACAGAATTTTTATCTAACCCGATAAAATTTAATCATTTTGAAGCTAATTTGGGTAATTTGCAGTCGGGCTTGGCCATTTGCACCTAATGAAATATCGATAACCGATATATGCTGCAATTAAAAGATTAGGAAATAACCGAAACAATTTTCTATAATAATTATAATTTTAGTCATAGGCAGTTTAATAAAAAAAATATACAAGGTGTTGTGTTGTTTTGTAGGAGATTTTTAGCAATTGATAGATACACTTATTTTTAGAAGAAAATTTCATGTTAGTGTACGGTCAAAAATTGATTTAAAATGCTACTAAAAATTATTGTTTATACAGGGTTATCTCATGGGTAGCATGTTGTAATTTTTGTGGTCCATCTGTTGTCCGTCCTTCTTGCCAGGTGTCCTGTTTATTGCCATTTGAGGGATCTGATTCCGTGTATGGCATCTATTACCTAGGTCAATTTTTAATAAATGATATATGATCATCGTTTTTCATTTTAGTGGTTTAAAAATTGTATGACTTTTTTTGACACTATCCTGTCATAATATATTTTACTTTAAATCATCAATCTGGTTAAGTATCACAGAGCATCCCCAAGGGGGATGTTTTGTGTTAGGTATTTTTCTAACAAAACATCGATAGTTTGAGAAACGATGATGTATCGTTTGCATCTCTCTAACTGATACCTACTATTAAATATCTACTACAATAGGACTGACTCGCTTTAGTCGCTCTGTATAATAACAGTAATATTTTGACAAATTTTAATGTCGATAACTACCTATATCATATTGAATTTTTTACGGTATTGCTATCTAGGTTGAAACTTAAAACAACAATCTAAATTAGCAAGTTATTCACTTTCTACGAAAACTAGGCAATTGTAAATTAACCAACTATAAAACGCAATATATATGGCCATTTCTGAATATTTACTAATTTATTTACACTATTTTGGTGTTACTTAAGCAATACCATATGGTCAAAACGTTTAAGAATTCGAGTATAATATGCACCTGAATTGACATTTAAATTACAATGCTATAAAAACAGTTTATATATCTTTGATACGAGTTTTACTAATACCATTTTAAATATTAATGTTTCAATTATTATTTGTGAATTCATTAGTAGTAGGCATAGTAGTGGGCATTAGAGGTGGGCAAAAATTGAACGAGTCGTTTATTTGAACGAGTCATTCATTGTATTAAAAATGAATCGTAATATTCTATTCACCGCTTAGAATAAGGTACCACGGTGTTGTATTATTGTTCAGAACACAGATATTTGGCTTGAGAATAAACCAGGAAAAAAGGCAAAACTTAAATTTTTTTATTGAAAAACGGAAGACACACTATAAACTACAACTACAGGTTATTATCGTTGTCACGACATATACACATAATGCAGCCGGAGATACATCCCGATACATTGTCTGATTATCTACACACGGATACATAAAATTTGAACGAATGAGTCTTGAAAAAGAATCGTAGGAAATGAATCAGATCACAAGGTGACTCGTTCGTTTCTACGGCTCGTTCGTTCAAAGAGTCGTGAGGATTGATTCATTGCTTACAATACGATTCGTTCAGTTGAATCATAACTAACACAGATCCATAAAATTTGAATGAACGAGTCGTAAAAAGAGTCGTACTAACTGAACCGGATCACAATGCGACTCGTTCATTTTTACGGCTAGTTCGTTCAAAGAGTCAGGAGGATTGATTCATTACTTAAAATACGATTCGTTCAAATGAATCGTGGACATCACAGATCAATAAAATTTAAACGAACGAGTCGTAAAGACGAGTCGTAGGAATTGAATCGGATTATACTGTGACTCGTTCGTTTCTACGGCCCTTTCATTCAAAGAGTCGTGAGGATTGATTCATTGCTTACAACACGGTTCGTTCAATTGGATCGTGGCCATCACAGATCTGTAAAATTTGAACAATCGAGTTGAAAAGAAGAGTTGTAGGAATTGAATCGGATTACACTGTGACTCGTTCGTTTTTACGGCTCTTTCATTCAAAAAGTCGTGAGGATTGATTCAGTGCTTACCACACAGTTCGTTCAATTAAATCGTGGCCATCACAGATCTGTAAAATTTGAACGAACGAGTCGAAAAGAAGAGTCGTAGGAATTGAATCAGATTACACTGAGACTCGTTCGTTTCTACGGATCTTTCATTCAAAGAGTCGTGAGGATTGATTCATTGCTTACAATACGGTTCGTTCAAATGAATCGTGGCCATCACAGATCCGTAAAATTTGAACGAACGAGTCGTAAGAATTGAATCAGATCACCATACGACTAATAATAAGTAATATTTTTTTGTAATATTTTATTTTGTAATTATTTGCAATAGTATTAATTTGAAAACATTAAAAATATAATTCAGGTTATTCTATTGTTGCAGAAATGATTGTTCGATTTACTTGCACACTTACCCTTACTTTGGCTGTGATAGAATATTGTACCTGTGCAAATATATTGATGATTACCATGGGAGGTACCAAGTCTCACAAAATTCCTTTCTGGGAGTTGGCGAGAGGACTCATACCTAGAGGGCACAACATAACGTTTTTAAATGCGTTTCCTAGCGACTTCATTATAGAAGGTAATGCTTTGCCATAAAAATATTTTTACTTGGTCATCAATAACTAATACAGTAGGTATTCCAAATTCGAAGGTAACCATTTGGATTTCGAAAACCATAAGATATATATATATATATATATATATATATATATATATATATATATATATATATATATATATATATATATATAAGCACTTATATATATATATATATATAATATATATATATATATATATATATATATATATATATATATATATATATATATATATATATATATATACATATATATATATATATAAGAGCACTTATATATATATAATTAAAAATTAATTTGCAAACTAAGTTTTTTTATAAACTTTAGTATTTGGCATATTATACAGGGTTAATCGAGAGGTTGTTTTTTTAGCTTAACTTTAAAACACCCTGTGCAATAATTTCGTGAATAAATTTTCCTAACATATAATTTTACAGTGAGAACCATGACTCCTGAGCATTTTATTTTTTGATTCATGTCAATACTTGTTTTGGTTAATTTTTAAGAGCGAAATGAACTGTATAGGAGTTGTTGACTGATCACGATCAATTTGCAATTTTTTCCATTATCATTACATTTTTATGTAATTTTTTAATATGGCGAGATACATTTGATGACTACGTCATATTACGCTGCATTGTATACTCTATACTAAATGAAAGAAAAAAGAAACGTTAAAGACTAACGATACAGTCCTGATTTTAATAAACATTAATAATGATAGCAGTATTAACGATATCAAATAAAACATCTGAAATACTGAAATAGGTATACAAACAGAAAAAAAATTGTAAAAGATACCCTAATACTTTGCATTCCCTCCCTTGGCTGTTATAACTGCCTGTATACGTCAGTTCATACTGTCATTGAGTCTGCAATGACAGTATGAGCTGACGTATATGAATTGTTGTCCTCCATTCGCGAATTTCAAGTTCCAGAGCTGTACGCCCTGAGCTACTCAGAATGGTTCTGAAAGGAGCTGTGCGCGCTAGCCTGGTGCCTCCATATGGCGTGGAACAGTTCTGAACTTTATGACTCAATTGAATGGAGTGGTAGTATCGCGTTCTTGAATAGTTCAGAGCTGCACAACTGCGTGAATGGAGGACATTAATTGAGGCTGCAATTGAGTCAGTTCATACTGTCATTGAGGCTGTATATCATATTGCGTTATGCTTTCCCATTCTTCTTCAAGAACCAAGCGAAGTTTATTTAATGAAGCTGGTACCGCTTTCCAACCTCTAAAGCGTTTCCCAAACGTCGAACATGATGGGCAGTTCATAGTAATATATAATTCACAATAATCACCAAAGACGCCTTGTCATATTAAAAAATAACTTCAAAAAAGAAATGGTAATTGAAAAAATTGCAAATTGTTGGTGGCAAGCTCATTTCGCTCTTAAAAATGAACCAAGGCATGTATTGGCACGCTCCAAAAAACAAAATGTTCAGGAGACATGGTTCTGACTGTAAAATTATATTTTAGGAAAATTTATACACGAAATTATTGCACAGGGTGTTTTAAAGTTAAGCTAAAAAACAACCCCTCGATTTACCCTGTATTTTTTTTTAAGGAGGTGAAATGCAATTTACGCACGAAGTGTCGGGCTCTTAATAAATACCGACTAAAACACCTCCTTTTACGTCTTGGACTCTAGTTCGGGACCGTTTAGCACATTACTTCGAGACTAGTCCGTTTTTTATCGCCCTCGGACTCGCTTCTGTTTATGGTATCAGCGGTTATCCAGGTCGCTTTTCTTTTCCCTTAGTATCTTTTCCACATACCTTGATATGCGGTTCCAGTTTTCAGGGCTTTGATGCATTTTTTGGACGATGTTATGAAGGGATAGGTTGTCCTTCAATTTCTTCTTCGATATTCCTTTTGTATACGCTCCACCTCTCGCATGTAAAAAAGGTATGTTCTGCGTCGTCATAACATTCGCAGTAAAGGCATACTGGTGATGTTACCTTTCTCATTTTTTCAAGATACGATAAAAAATAGCCGTGGCCGCTAAGAAACCGGGTCAAGTAATAATTTATTTCGCCGTGTTCCCTTTGTGTCCAGGTTTTCACCGATTTAATAAGTCGCGCAGTCCAGCGACCCCTACTCTCCTGTTCCCACAATCTCTGCCATGCTTCATAAGTCCTGTTGATTTCCTCCTTTTTAACTTCTTTTTGGTTCAATTCGGTTTTTCTTTGGTATATGGCATACTGTTCTCTGGCAAGTAGAGCTATAGGTGCTATCCCTGCGATAACCAGCACTGCAGGTTCGGAAACTGTGCGGTAAGATGAAGCTACTCTGAGTGCTGCCTGTCTCTGCACTTAAGCCAAACGTTTTCTATATTTTTCCTTCGATAGAGCTACTGCCCAAATCTCAGCGCCATATAGAAGAACCGACTGAACAGTCGACATCAATAATCGCCGTTTACTTGACTAGGGTCCACTCATGTTGGCCACAAGTCTACTCAGTGCTGTGACACCTTTAGCGGCCTTGCCTGCGGTCATTTTTATCTGTTCCTAGAAGGTCATTTTATTGTCTATGGTGATGCCAAGATATTTTACTGCTGGTTTTGATGTAACTATCTCTCCCCCTACTTAGAATGGGAGCACTTTGTTTATTCTGCTTTTTGTGAGAACCACAATTCCTGTTTTCATAAGGGCCAGTGATAGTCCATGGTTCGTCATCCAGTTATTAATAGTTAGCATCACACTCCTTAATTTGATTTGGGCCATTTCCATATCTCTAGCTGCGATAAGTGCGGCGACGTCATCGGCGTATCCGACCAATACTGTTTCCTCGGGCATATTTGTTCTCAATAGGCCATCGTAAGACGCATTCCATAGATCCGGACCAAGGATAGATCCTTGTGCAGCCCTCGATGTTATCGTCTTCCTTCTGTACCCTTCTTTAGTTTCGTAAATGAGAACGCGATTTCTTAGGTAGTCGTCTATCGTTCGTAGAAGATATTTCGGTATGTAAAAAGATTTTTCTAAGGCTGTAAGCACATCGTTCCAGTTTGCTGAATTGAATGCATTCCTAACGTCAAGGGTCACGAGTAGGACAATGCGGCGTGAATGGCGGTTGCGGTTTTCCGCTCTTCGAACAGCTTCGACGACCTCCATGACAGCATCAGTTGTAGATCTTCTAGACCGAAAACCATATTGTTTAGGAGAAAATCCTCCAGCATCTTCTATTGCGCTAAGCAATCGTGGCTTTAGTAATTTCTCCAAGGCTTTCCCCGCTGCGTCAAGCATGCACAATAGTCGGTATGAGGACGGCTCTGTTGAATCTCCTTTTCCTTTGCTGATCACGACAAGGCGTGCAACTTTCCAACGTTTGCTAAAAACTCCTGTCGACAGGCAAGCATTATACATTGTCAGCAACAGATCAGAGTTTGATTGAAGTGCTATCTTAAGAACTTCCGCCTGCATGCCGTCTGGGCCAGTAGCCTTTTTATTTTTTAAACTTCCGATGGCTTTTTGTAGTTCCTCTAGTGAGAAAGCAGGAATATCCTCTACCAGCTCTATGGCGACATCAGAGCGCACAATGTGCGTGGGAAAATTAACCCTGTTTAATATGCTAAATACTAAAGTTTATAAAAAAAGTGAGTTTACGAGTTAAAGTTGACAAATTGATACATAGCTTGCTAAAAAAATTATGGAAATGGGGCTAAAAATAACAAAAATATAACATTTTAAATTTGACCAAAATTTTTTCGTTGCGTTTTTTTGCATCTGAGTGTATATTCGAATTCTTCCGACTATGATCTCTCTTCCTTTTTTAAATTATCAAATACTGCTTTTCTTTTAAGTCCGATAAGAATAATTTTGTTGTTATTTTAGGTTTGGAGGAAGTTACGCCTGCTAGTTTTGTATTTTACGTTAGAAATTTCACTAATTGGGATCTAGTCGGAGCCAAGATGCGAGGTGAAGAACCAGTACCTTTGTTTGATATGATTAGATACGGATATGAGGTAAATATTAATGAGATTGTAACTATTTTGGAAACTCATTCTATGATTACAATAATCATGCTATAATTCGAGTTCTGACCCAGTGTCTTTTTCCAGGCTTGTGATATTCTTCTCTCAGATCCAGAAACAAAGGACTTAATTTATTCAGGAAAGAAATACGAGCTCCTGATCTTGGACGGTGCCTATCCAGAATGCGCAATGGGATTTGTGCATTATTTCCGGTCACCTTTCATGTATATTAACACAGTGGGTATGTACGTGGGATCGATATCCATGGCTGGAAGCCCCACACCTTATTCAGTCACGCCATTTTTAGCCAGACCATATTCTGATAATATGAATCTTATCCAAAGAGTAAGTGTTTGTTTCTATTAAAAAATATTGATATTTCTTGACGTATGAGTTTGTTAGAGTTGATCATTAGGTACTTGATCTATTCATACCAGGTGCGTCTTAAAAGTGGCTCATCCCTGATAAAACATCGAGATTTGGTATGTTAGTATATGACATAAATTAGGACTGATTGACGTATTCAATTGTTTTTTCGTTCACTTCTTCTTTCACCGGAAATTACTACAACTTTTGATTTTTAAATGGTACTCTGGGTATTTTATTTCTTTAAAATAACACTCTTATATAATGACACATCATATGTCAATATACAGGGTGTCCCACTTAAGATGGATACAAGTCAATATTTTGGTTGTTTGTTGAGCGATCTTTTTCATTTTTGGCAGGAGGCTGTATGGCTATAAGACGTGCATTTTGCCCAGGTTAAGAAATGCGATACCTCGTAGACGTACGTTTTAATAGGGTTTGATATTTTTCGAGTCAAGAGTAAACTACCCTTAGGACAGTATTTATTTCAAATCTGATAAATTATATTGAATCCTTCTTACCTAAGATACTTAAGTTCTAATTTTGATAAATATTGATACAGGGTGCGTCATTAAAATAAGACATTTTAATTTTTATTATTATTTTTTATGTACTTACGACGCCACTGGATAAACAATAGGTTTATTATCAATAACCAATTATAACCAATTATCAATTAATAATCGATTTAAGTTTTCAGATAGCTTCTTTAATAATTGATACGGTACAAAAAATTTAAATATTTTCAATTTATTTTGTTTACTTTAAAAAATTGTTTTTTAAGTTTGCTAATACAAATGAATAAGATAAGTTACAAAATAATTTAATAACCCAGTTTTCAATGGAATCTGAAATATGATTTTTATTCGTTTTATTGAGGAATATTTAAAAAAATCCAAATAGTTATTTAAAACAATCACTATTAACTTTGAAAAATATGCTCTAAACAAAGATTTATAAAACTATAACGAACTAAAAGTCAAGAATCATATTTATCCAATTGGATATAATTGGTTATTGATAATAAACCACTTGTTTATCCAGTGACGTCGTAAGTACTTAAAAAAATAATAATAAAAATAAAAATGTCTTATATTAATGACACACCCTCAATCAATATTTATCAAAATTAGAACTTAAGTATCTTAGGTAAGGAGAATTCAATATAATTTATCAGAGTTGAAATAAATACTGTCCTAAGGGTAGTTTACTCTTGACTCGAAAAATATCAAACCCCATTATAACGTACGTCTATGAGGTATCGCATTTCTTACCCTGGGCAAAATGTACGTCTTATAGCCATACAGCCTCCTGCCAAAAATGAAAAAGATCGCTCAACAAACAACAAAGATATTGGCTTGTATCCATCTTAAGTGGGACACCCTGTATATATAACTTTTGACATTTTCGAAAATGGTTTATTGGAAATTGAAACATACGATTCATATCGACAATTCGACTCTAAACAGTGTGTGGTATCAAATTATTCATAAAAAAAATGTTTTATCCTAATATGCTAATGAGCCATCCTCGTTCCGTTTGAAAAGAATAATAGTGTTTTTAACACAGCCACGGCACTCTAGATTGAAATTTTAAAATACAATTTTGTTTTAAGCGAAAATGTCAAAAGTTTGACATTTGATATATCATTCTGTTGATATATCATTCTATTCAGAGTATCATTTTCTATCGAATAAACTAAAAAAATACCGAAGGTTCCATTTAAAAATCAAAAGTTGTAGTGATTTCCGGTGAAACAGATCAATCAATTGAACACATCAATCAATCTTAATTTATGTCATATACTAACATACCAAATCTCGATTTTTTATCTGAAAAAATAATAAAAGTTATAGGGGTAAGCCACTTTTGAGACGCACCCGGTATACTAAAATTTATATACAGGGTGAGCATTAATTGAGTGTAAATATTTTCAGTGCTGATAGATCTCGATAAAAGAGACATATTTTCTTTTTACCGTTTTTCAAATAAGTCCAAAATAACCGAGTTATTTTACTTTCCGAAAATTTCCAAAAAAAAATATATTTTTTGCTTAAATTTTGAGAACCACTGGATCTTTTCTGAGTTTCCTTTCTTGTAAATTTGATCTACTATCTATGTTGCCATATAATCAAGAAATTATATTTTTTAACTAAAAACTAAAAAAAAATCCAAATTTTCAATTTTTTTTACGAAAAAAACCTCATAATCGTGTTTCTGGGGTCAAAATATACTACCTCTAAAAATATTTGCACTTATTTAAGACTCACCCTGTATATATAGTTTAATGAGAGCAACAGAATACGACAAATAATACTACATTAATGTAATGATTTTCAAAAGAGAATATTTTCCATCTATGTTATTCTTTTAGGTCCAAAACATGGCGTTTTATATGATGGCTAATCTAATGCACTACACCATGACCAAATTTGAGATCCAGGGCGTATTGAATCATCATTTTGGGACGGATATGCCGGCCATATACGACTTGTCAAAAAATGTGAGCTTCATACTGCAGAATGGTCATGCTACGGTGACTTATTCAAGACCATTTCTTCCGAACGTTGCTGAGATAGCTTGCATACATTGTAGACCAGCCAGGAAACTGCCAGAGGTATGTTTTTAGCTTGACATTGCAATTAATTTTTTTTTAACTAATGTTTAAATTTGATATTGACACCTTTGGTGGTAAATAGAAACGTTTTAATAGATAAAGTATAGTTTGTCCAACGACAAGATCCTTGACAGTGATAGATGTGTCTGTCATTTTAATTTCAAAGTACTTTATTTTATTTTACAAAGAAATAAGTTCGTATAACTGGAACGCATAGCAGGAAATTAATATATTTAAAATTTGACTGATAAGTGATTACAAGTAGTAAAACTGAAAAAATTTAATTGAGTTATTTTATTTTAAAAAAAAAACGGTATGTGTTACTACAAAACAAAGAAAAACAAAACACCACATACCAAAACTTTAATCATCAGGAAAAAACACGACATCAGGAAAAAATACTTTTTGTTTTGCTTAATTAAATGAAAAACAAAAAATCCGGCGACGACAGTTTTTAGAAGAGCCAATTAGCTATCTTTTACTAAAAAAACAACTTTCTAGAGCAAGTCGTGACTTCAGTAGAGACTACACAGATAAACATTAGCATTTTATATATGTAGATTTCTCAATATAACCATACAACTAATAAATACAATATTCCACCGGAATAAATAAAACAAACTATTTTATTAATAATAATACTTACCAAATTTTATACATTAAAGGTTGATTATTTATTAACTTTAATCTTAATTTTTTTAAACCAGTACCTTTTGACATTATTTTTTGCAGTACTAGAATCCATTATTTACCTATCGTGTGATGTCGATATTTTATAGGTACTCTAGTAGTATATGTTTAGTACGATCCTTGTAGCATATACAATAAGATGCACTTATCTATGACGAGATTGTATACAAACTTCATTGACGGTAACTTTATTGGTGTATAAGACTTTCTGCCTTGGCAGCGAGTATTAACTATAAATTGTGCTCTGGGTCTACAGTTAATTTTCCCTCGATTTTTCCACCACTTGACTTCAAAAGACACAAAACACCCGTAATAACACGACTCAAAACGCATCATCTTCCAAATCGCAGATATTTGACATAAAGTGACACAAAATTATAACATATAATTTGGCAAGACTTACAAGCCTCAAAAATCTGAAGGCGAGTTCATACGCATTGGCGTCCGTTTGTCGTTCATCGTTCCGTCAAACCAATAAAATTCATTTTCATAATATGATCTGTCATTTTTGAAATAAACCAATAAAACTGGTTAAAAACAACAAGATACGACGTATGACGGATTTATATTTAAACCCATCCATAGTTAACTTAAAAAATATTAGAAACTTTTTTTAGTAAAATAAATAGATTGGTGTGGGACGTCATCTGCTTTTCTTCTGTCATCGTCTGCTGACATCTTACGTGAGAAAAAAAACAGAGTATAGTCATGGGCCCGAGTTGTCCACAACATAACTGGATAAAGCGTAAATTGTAAGAAGATATTTTTATCTCAAACTATAATATCTTTAGCAATCCCAGACGGACCAATGCTGGTGTCCTCAGTGGACAACCTGAAGCTGGACTTTATCCAATTTCGTCACTAGAGTATATTTATAAGCTCATTAGTTTATTAATATATGTAGATGTATTATAATTGCTGATCACTACTTAATATAGTGTGATGATAAACTAATTATCGTGGTTTGGTTTATTTTTGCTGGTTTATTGTGACTATTTTGAAACGCACTAACAACAAAATATTTTTTAGGATCTGGAAAGATTTATTGAAGGATCTGGAGAGGCTGGCTTCATCTACTTCAGCATGGGATCATCAGTGAAAGCCAGTAACATACCTGAGTATTTCAGAGCTATGCTGATGACTGTATTCAGGAATTTACATCAACGTGTTTTATGGAAGTATGAGGCAGATGACATGACAGATTTACCAAGCAATGTCATGCTAGGAAAATGGTTACCTCAACAAGATATTTTAGGTATTTTTTAAATTCATTATTATTATGATACATATAGTCGATAAGCCATTATTTACAATCTATTCTATCAAAAGTCCAGAATAAACTACATCAACAACAATACTTTTAGCTAGGATATATTTGTAGCATTATATGAATATGACGTTTCATTTTTACGAATCATTTTAAGAACGAGTATACAGGGTGTCCCAGGCTGAGATATATATAGAGGCGTGTATTATAAGTTTTTAGAGAACTGCAATATCTACATCGGAGATTTTTTGTACATCATTGTTTCACAACGAGATCTATCGATTAAAACTATTTACAATATGCCGGAAGTTGACACCAACTTTCTTATTTTAAATGGGTGCCCCCATTTTTTATTACACACTTAAATTCTCTGTACAATTTTATGAATGTTGATATTAAACACTCTATACCTAACATTAACCGTTTTTGAGAAAAAAAAATTGGTTGCGAAAAAATTGGACGTAGAAAACTGCCTATGTGTGTATAGCCTAAACGTCAAATTTAGTGATTACCATAGCCACTGTGCCATAAAGAGAAGACATGTGGCTATCTATTTCAAAAATTAAATTGTTCGAATGTCATATAATAATCATGGAGCATTGAGCGATTAAAAAATTATCATAAACCATTTTTTTTCAATTGGAAACCCACCTTTTTTATTTCACTCGTGAAAAGGTTTGGCAATTCGTTATTTTTTGACTACCGAATATTCGTATACCTAAAATAAATCGTTTTTAAGTTATTTAAGATTTAAGGTCGATTTATAAACTGAAAACGGTGCGGTTCGACGTTGCGGTTGCGATTATTTCTATTGGCTATTACTAACGTTTCAAGGTCAACGTTCCTGTCGAAGTTAGAAATTGGTTAATTTTTGACGTAAAACGTCAACCGCAACAACAACCGAAAAATTTATAATCAACAAAACATCCTGCGTATAAACAAACTTTTTACCGACCGTAACGTCGGGCGTCGAACAGCAACGTTTTCAGTTTATAAATCGACCTTTAGTTTTAAAGCGTATATTTTTCTTGATTTTAACCAGTAGTCTATGTATTTAAACGTCAAGTGATGTAAAACAATAGATCTTGCCATGTCATATTGTGACACTTTGTTCAAAAAGCAGTATGTTATCGATCATCATATCCAAGCCAATTTTGCGCTGTTGTTTTCTCGATTATACGGTATATTATTAATCATATCAACTATTAGATATCACCAAAGAGCAAAAATACGAGATATATTTTTATAAATACACTTTTTAAACTCTTAACCAGGCAGTATTTATAATACGGGAAATTCAAATATTTCGTTTTCTGTCATGGAAATAAATTGTTTGACTGTTTGACACCTAATATCAAAGGAAGCTATACAAGGTGGCGCACCTCATTCGCCTCGGTTGATTATACGAAAACGGAAAGATGTAGAAACGAAATATTTTATGGGTATATGTGGGGAGGCAATGTGCACAATTTAAATTATTTTGAAATATACAGGGTGTCTCAGAACTAAGATCCATAGCAAAGTTATATTTTTTCTTATGGAACACCCGGTATTTTATTTCATTTTTGGATTCTTGGGCCCAAAAAAGGGCATTTGTTATAAGGGTTAAATATGTTTAAAGTCTTTGGTTTTTGAGATATTTAAAGATATTTAAATATGCATGCTGAAAAAGAATTGATTATTAACACCCTGTACATTACTTTTCAGAATTAATTCTTATGTTGAGTTTAAAGGTAAAGAAATAAACTTTACTGAAAAATGTTATTGCTTCCTTTAATTTATACAAGGGTACCAAAAATTAGTGATCTATTTTAAGGATTTATTTTACATAAAAACTTTGTTATTTCAAATGCAACACCCTGTATTTTTTTAAATAAATCAAAGCAGATTGAAATGCTCTTTTAAACTATATTATGTTCCTATACTATATTCCTATACCTATCTATCTCAGATTTTGAATAAAAAGCGATTTTTAAATAAAATGGCAATCAAGATGGCTGGTATCGCCATGGCAATTTTCTAGTGACAGTTACTATTTTCAAAATCGACATTAGTTTATGGACTATTTATTATTATTTAAGCAGTTTACCAAAATTTACACAATAGTTTAATAAGTAAGTATTCTTTATTTTATGAAGAAAAATAAATCCGTATCTGCTGGCGGAACGAATTGATATGTTACTAGTGATTTTATTTTGTGAGGAAAATTATTTCTTGGCCTCAAGAGCTTATGCTCAAAGATATCCAAATATGAATTTTCCTGATAAGTAGTGTTCCTTTGAAAAACTACTTGTCCTATTTCATATTGCGCAGTAGTGAAGTTTATAAAAAAAATTATTAGGCAGAAACCTGTCGTTGGAAGTGAAGAAATTGAATTTGCCGTAATCTCTTTTATAGCAATCCATATATCTACAAGTTATCGTAAAATCAATCAAAGAACTACTTCTTCGTTTTTCTTGATACAGTAATAAATACATATTAATAAATATATTATTTATTATTGTAGGTAAAAACTATTGTAGGTAAATTAAATAAAAGTAAACTGATATAAATTTAAATAAAGTCTATAAACTAATTTCGATTTTGAAAATAGTTACTAACTGTCATTAGAAAATAGCCATTGTACCAGCCATCTTGATTGCCATTTTATTTAAAAATCGCTTTTTATTCAAAATCTGAGATAGATAGGTATAGGAAACCCTAATATAGTTTGAAAGAGTATTTGAATCTGCTTCGATTTATTTAAAAAAATACAGGGTGCTGCATTTGAAATAACAAAGTTTTTATGTAAAATAAATCCTTAAAATAGATCGCCAATTTGTGGTACCCCTGTATAAATTTAAGGAAGCTATAACATTTTTCAGTAAAGTTTATTTCTTTACCTTTAAACTCAGCACAAGCATAGATTGTGAAAAGTAATGTACAGGGTGTTAATAGTAAATACTTTTGTAGCATGCATATTTAAATATCTTCAAACCCTTATAATAAATGCCTTTTTTTGGACCCAAAATTGAAATAAAATATTCCATAAGAAAAGTGTTCCATAAGAAAAAATATAACTTCGGTATGGATCTTAGTTCTGAGACATCCTGTATATTTCAAAATCATTTTAAATTGTGCACATTGCCTCTCCACATATACCCATAAAATATTTTGTATCTACATCTTTCCGTTTTCGTATAATCAACCGAGGCGAATGAGGTGCGCCACCCTGTATAGATAAAATCAACAAAAATATACGTTTTCAAACTAAAATAACTTAAAATCGATTTATTTTAAGTATAGAAATCTAAGATAGGAACATGGTATAGTTAAAAAGTAACGAATTGAAAAACCTTTTCAATAGAGAAATAACAAAGTGGGTTACCATTTGAAAAAAATGATTTATGATAATTTTTTAATCGCTCAATTCCATGACAGCTACTGCCATTATTATATGACATTTAATTTGAACAATTTAATTTTTGAAATAGATAGCCACATGTCTTCTCTTTATGACACAGTGGCTGTGGTAATCACTAAATATGACGTTTAGGCTATACAAATTTTTTTGACAAATCGTTTTTTTCGTCCAAAAATTTTAATTGTTTTTTTTTCTCAAAAACGGTTAACGTAAACTGAGTGTGTAACATCCATATTCATAGAATTTTACAGAGAATTTAAATATGAAATAAAAAATGGAGGCACCCGTTTAAAATAAGAAAGTTTCTGTCAACTTCCGGTATTTCCGGAAGTGCCGCCATATTGGAAATATTTTTAATCGATAAATCTCGTTGTAAAACAATGACGTGCATGAAATCTCTAATCTAGATATTGTGGTCCTCTAGAAACTTCCAATGCACTCTCAACTTGGGACACCCTGTTAATAAAATCATTTTTATTTTAGGCCATCCAAAAATTAAGGCTTTTGTTACACACGGCGGTTTGCTCAGCATGTTCGAAACAGTGTATCACGGCGTTCCTATAGTGACTTTACCAGTGTTCTGTGACCACGACTCCAACGCAGTCAAAGCTGAAACCGATGGTTACGCTTTAAAATTGGACCTGTTCACCCTTACTCCCGAGACACTGCTCAGAGGCATCAAAACCGTGATCAGGGATCCAAGATACCGTTCCCAAGTGAAGCATCGTCAAAGATTGCTCCTTGATCAACCAGAAACACCTTTGGAAAGGTCAGTTTTCTGGACTGAATACGTTATTCGACATAAAGGTGCGGCTCATTTGCAATCTCCCAGCAGAAATATGAATTTCCTGCAATATTACTCGGTTGATGTGTTGTTGTTGATGTTTTTGTTAGTTCTTAGTTGTTGTTATGTAGCAAACAGGTTGTTTAAGATGGCGACCAAGCATAAGGTTAGTTTAGACTTGCCTAGGAAAATCATTAAAATAGATTGAACGTGTACAAAAATAAATTATTAAAAACTTTTTTAGAACTTTTATTTAAACTGTTGTCCTTTTGCATCTAAAGGGATGTTTAGATTCTCAACAAACTGCACCAATAAATCACGAAAAAAAATACCTGTCAAAAATATATATGTATAGCCTAAACATCAAATTTAGTCATTACCACAGCCACTGTGCCGTAAAGCGAAGACATGTGGCTATCTATTTCAAAAATTAAGGTTGTATTCCGTTGCAAAATCAGGCGAACCAGACCGGTAAACTATGGTAAAGAGCGGTTCCTGAAAAACATCGGTTTCATACGGAATGGTTTGGTAAAATACTGGAAACGTCAAATGTTGACGTTTTTTAAATCTCAGTACCTCTATTGTAAAATTTATCTTTTATGCATTTTTAATGTACCTGTTTAATGTTACTCTGCTTTTACGTTTGCTTCTTCTTTTCAATGGAGTTTAGTATTGAAAAGTACTTTATTAATAAACTGTTAAACTCTTTAAACAGCTCAACTGAATATTGGCAGGTCCAATATTAAAACAGATCAATAATAAATAAACAAATCTAATCAATATTTATATTTTTATAGCTTACAAAACATTCACGAGTACTTGTTGTCTTGTTTTTCATATTTTTTTTTAAATGTTCCTGACTTTAAGAAACAATGGCTGCATGATAAGTTTAAATGGCCCTAAAAAGTCATTCTATTTAGTTAATGAAATTTATTTACCTTTACTGCCTACCTCCATTGCTTTTGGAGGCAAATACAAAATATTATTACAAATTTTAGGAATTAAATGAGAATTTCCAATATTTGCTTCATTTCTGTCACATAAATGACATTGATTGACAAACAAAACCAGAAAAACCAGCCTCCTCGCGCTATTTAGTTTGGTGACAGTTATAACCGAATTTTTCAGTAATAAGAAAACTTTGAGGAAACCGATAGAAACGGAACATAAAACCATAACCAAGGTAAACAACAAAATACACTCTAAATTGTTCGAATGTCATATAATAAAGGCCGCAGCCAAAGAATATACCTAGCTAGAAAGCCGCAGCTGTCATGGAATTTAGTGATTAATTTTGAATAAGAACACTAAGGAAGGAGCATAATGCTATCTATGTATTCATGCATGGTGGGCGGAAAAAGGACTCTAGGGGACAGTTTTGTTTGACGATTCATTTGACACATTTGAATTTGATTTGAAATTTTGTGGATTTGTCAGTCTTTACGGAGCTTATTTTATGTTATTTATTATTTATTCTACTACTGATAGTTGTATAAAGGTAGTAAATCTAGATAGAAATTGTGGCAGAACTTAAATTAACAGTGACACTATCGCGATTTATCGAAAAAGACTCTAAAATAGTTGGTTGTGTATCGTGCGGTAGATCTCGGTAAAAATCGTGCGAAATAATGGAACAACTTTTCGCTAGTAAGTGCCTATATAATATACACACATACGTGTAGTAAACCGATCATTTATGAAATTCACTTAACTAATTATATATTTTTTCTTCCATTTTTGCTTTTATTTACTACTTGTGAAAGATTAGATGTCAAAGAATTTAGATACGTCAATTTGACTTACCTGCTTCAGTAGCTTATCGGATGTTTATGGTTATAAATAATTATTATAACGTATCTATTTTATTAGAATTTTATATTTTTACAACAATTTTAATAACTACCAACATTTATTCACAACGTAAAATAAACTAACAAATTATTGAGTCTACTCCACGTCTACCCTACATCATAGTTTTACATTTTTTAAATTAGAACGGCACTGATAAACCGGAATTTAAGTCGGCCATATTTGAGGCCCATCGCGGTCGACCTAAGATTTTTGATATGCTCCTTCCTTAGTCTTCTTATTCAAAGGTGATTTGGTGTTTAATAACTGTTTGACACTTAATGTCAAAGGAAGCTAGATAAAATTAAGAGTTTTCAAAGTAAATCTTAAATAACATAAAAACGATTTATTTTAGGTGTAAGAACATGTAAGTCAGAAAGCATTGAAAAGTTTCTTTACTAGGAAAATAAAAAAGTGAGTTTCCATTTGGAAAAAATGATTTAAGATTACTTTTTAATCGATTAATTCCATGACAGCTACCGCCATGATTATATGACATTTGAACAATATAATTTTTGAAATAGATAGACTCATGCCTTCTTTTTATGACGCAGTGGCTGTGGTAACCACTAAATTTGACTTTTAAGCTATACACATTTTTTTGACAGGTAGTTTTTTTCGTACAAAAATAAAAAAAAAATTCTCAAAAACATAGAGTATTTAAGTAATTTATTTTATTAGGTGCAGTTTTTATTGCGTTTGAAACCAGTTTGCGCAAATTATGAGAGACTCTAACCGGCCCATATAATATTCATAAGATTTGTTATTTTTTTTGGTCTTAGTATCTATCAAATTCATGTCCACTCATTACTTTTTTTTCAAAATTATTTTGGTTTTCTAAATTTATGCTATCATTTTTTGTTTGCGGTTTAGTGTCATTGGCAGACGCTATCTTGACTGTGGTTTGATTTTTCTGATAATAGTATAATGATACTAGCATTAGTACAAACGATGCAACTGCACATACGATGGTTGCATAATGACCTATCTTTTGCATTAGAAGTATTCCTTGAATCTTCTTGAGTATAGGTCCTTCTAGATCAACACCCTAAAAAATAAGGGGGATTAGGAATATATTATATATAATTTTAACTAATTAAATTATATATAACTAGTGTGTACCAGCGACTTCGTTCGCGTCGAATTAATCATTTGTAATGGTAAGGATAAAGCAAAGCAAGAATTTTCATTAACATACAAACTGGATAAAATTTTCTCACATTTATGTCAGCATGAGAAAAAACAATATGGCGATATTATTATATAACTTGGTAATATTTGAGGGGTAGTTTTATCTCGTTGGAATTTGACTTTCGAAAAATCCGTTTGCCAAAAATAAGCTTTTTACGTCAAACAATTTAAGCAGAATCGTGGTTAAGAAATTACCCAACTTGTTGGAACATCCTGTATGATTTTTTAAAAAAATTCAAAATATGTAAAAAAACAAATAAATTATGCTTGTCCAAGCGTTTTCCCGAAAGACTAACCGTTTTTTAAATAACAAATACTGTAATATTTGAGGGGCGTTTTCGAGAAACCGCTCCTTATCGAACCTCTACACCCCACAATCAATCCGTTTACCAAAAATCAGCTTTAAACGTCAAGCAATTTAAGCAGAATCGTGATTATTCAATGGTGATATTTTAAGAAACATCCTGTATAAATTTATAAAAAATCTTAAAATATGTAAAACAACAAAATAAAATATACGTTTTTAAGAGTTTTTCCGAAAAACTCACCGGTTTTTAAATAAAAAATATTTTAATATTTGAGGGATAGTTTCACCCCCTTAGAATTCGAGTTTCAAAAAATCCCTTCTTATCGAACCTAAAAACACCCTAAAGTCAATCTGTTTTCCAAAAATCAGCTTTTTAGGTCAAGCGCTTGATTAATCAATGACCAGATTTTTCGAAACACCCTGTTTACATTTTTAAAAAATCTTAAAATATGTAAAAAAACAAAATAAAATATACGTGTTTAAGCGTTTTTCGGAAACCTGACCGTTTATTAAATAAAAAATATTGTAATATTTGAGGGGTGGTTTCACCCTCTTGGAACTGGAATTTCGAAAAATCCCTTCTTACCGAACCTCTACACCCTAGAATCAACCTGTATGCCAAAATTGAGCTTCTTACGTTGAGTGGTTTGAGCAGGATCGTGATTAATCAGTATGTCAGTCACTTAAGGATTTTATATATTAGTATAGATAATTTGGCAAGAGTTGACAACTCTTAAGTCGAGTTCATACGCATACGCGTCCGTTTGTCGTTCATCGTTGCGTCAAACCAATAATATTGAAATATGATATGTCATTTTTGAAATACACCAATAAAACTGGTTAAAACAACAAGAGACGACGCATGACGTATTTATTTATAAATCCATCCATAGTTAACTTAAAAAATATTAGAAACTTTTTTTATTGAAATAAATGGATTGGTATGGAAGTCATCTGCTTTTTTTCTGTCATCGTCTGTCGAAATCTTACCTGAGAAAAAAAAACAGTATACAGGGTTGTTCACCATATACGACGCGGGGTATTGTAGCTAAACTATTTAATTTTTACAAATTGTAAGTTTTGGGTTTGTTGAAGGACTATCAGAGCTACAATTTAAAAATATTTTTACAAGATATTTTGTATTTTTTTAAATGGAACACCCTATATATTATTACATTTTTAGTTTCTACGATTAAAATAAAGGTAAATTTTATTCTGGTTTACCGCATTTTAATCTTACCGTTTTTGAAATATTTAGGTTTTTGGCAAAATACAGTAATAATTATAATGCTTTATTTCTCTAGGCGTATTTAAGTTTTTAAAACCAAATATTGTATTGAAGTATTTCTATTTACTAAATTTTGTGTTGCAATCATAAAAATTATACTATCTTATACAGAGTGTCTAAAAATTTATTTTAAATAATAACTAGTTTTTAAACGGCAATAACTTCTTTAATTTAAATGGAACACCCTGTATATTTTATGAGAATCGGATGCACCATTTAATTGTCTATCAAATTATATTATATGATTTTTTACCTATGTCTTCAGGATTTCGTAGAAAATGCATTTTCTTATAATTTAGACCTCAATTATCAATATACCCATGGAATATTGACATTTTAGATTATTTTTAAAGATGTAACAAACTGTTAAAGGGTACAGATACCAATATTGTCGATATAGTTCGTTTATGTCATTATAAAATAAAAAAAAAATGTTTAAATATTTGTAGAAAGGACCAACTAATATGATTCCAGTATTCAAACTACATTAATGGACTGCTTGCATTGATTAATAATAATTGCTCCAAATACTAAAAACTGAATTTTGTATGTATATTAGACAGTGTGGTAAAAAGTAACACCTTAAAAATTTTATTTCATTTTTTGACGAATGCTTATTTATAACAGATGTTCATTTTCATAACTTATTATTATATTGATTTCGGATTCCAAATCCCCATTTATTTAGAATAATTTATTAACTAACACAATTAAATATGTAATTAATTAATATTTGGACGGAAATACTGGTGGTATATTTAATTAATGGTACAGTCTTTTATAAAGATTAAAAAAAAATTAGAAATAGTTTTATTTTTGTATACAAATAGGCTGGTAATATTATCATTTTTAGCACCTGTACATTTTGTACATTTGTTGTTTTAAAAACAATCTAAAATGTCAATATTCCATGGGTATGTTGATAAATGAGGTCTTAATTATTAGAAAACGCATTTTCTACAAAAACTTGAAGAGACAGGTAAAAAATGGTATAATACAATTTGATGGACAATTAAATTGTGCATCTGATTCTCCTAAAATATACAGGGTGTTCCATTTAAATTAAACAAGTTATTGCCGTTTAAAGCTAGAAATTATTTAAAATAAATTTTTAGACACTCTGTATGAAGTAGTATTACTTTTATTATTGCAACACAATAAATAATCAATAATTAAACTTCAGTAAATATTTAGTATTAAAAACTTTGATACCCTTGGAGAAATTTTTACTGCAATTTCACAAAATTGAAAATATTTCAAAAACGGTAAAGTGTAAGGGTGATAAACCTTAATCAAATTTACTTTTATTTTAATCGTAGAAACTAAAAATGTAATAATATACTGGGTGTTCCATTTAAAAAAATACAACTTTGATATTTTTTATTGATTTGTAGCTCTAATAGTCCTTCAACCAACCCAAAACTTACAATTTGTAAAAATCTAATCGTTTAGCTACAATACTCCGTGTCGTATGTGGTGAACAACCCTGTATAACCATCAGTTTTCATCATCTGCTGATGATGCTAAGCTGGTTAACGAAACGTGTTTAATGGAAATCAGCGCACTTGTAGGGGTTAAGGCCTTTTTATGCTTGTGTATACTAAGTATGTTATATTTTAAAGTGTTTTGGTGTATTGTGGTGAATTAGTGTTTTATTTTGCCAAAAAATGTTCTTTTAAAAATAACTAATTAAACCAATTATACAGCTGAAACTTGATTTTGTTTAGGTTTTGATCTAGTTGTTTTAGATTAAATTTATTGTTTACTAATATTATTCTTACTTACTTTTTATTTTTTATTTTTTCATAATTATATTTATTAATTCCGAATAGTTTTTTTAAGTTAAGGCAAAAAGGTATAAAAATCCGATTTTTTATACAAAAGGTGGCAACCCTGCTCTGGAAACCTATCTTTTCTAAGTTTCCTTTTTTCCTTAAGTTTAATGCCGAGTTTGCAAGTTTTGTAAATGACGTCTAGCGATTGACGTTGCCAAAATAACTGTTATTTCACTGCCGTCTCTGACGCCGTTTTTTTTATCATCATACGGTATAAGCAAGTTAAAAATGTTATTCAGAAATAACTTTTTCTAAGTAACAGTTTGGCGTCTAAAAATACTAACCTCTTCAATCCATAACAATGGAAACATTACATTGGTTAAATTGACAAACTGAGATACTTTTTTCGTTTGCTGTATGTCAAAATTAAACTGCAACCTTTTGTAGGCCAATATTGGACAAGTAGTCATCTAAAATGGAATAACAAAAACTTTGGTTATGATACTAAGATAGGCTTTTTAAATTTTAGATTCATGTTTCTAATTACTCTGTGCTATACAGGGTGGTCTGAATTATATTCGGGAAACTTCGGCAGCATATTCTGCAGATAAAAATAAGTAAAAAAGTTCGTATAAATGTATGTCCTAAAATGCTTAGTTTCGGAGATACAAGTGTAGATGTTTTATTTTTATTTCGATTTTTTCCAAATATTTTATGTAGTAACTATAGGCCACAGTCATCTTAGGGGTTTCACCTCGGAATTCGAGATAACCGGCTGTAAACTCGTATAAACCTTTATTTTAACATCCTAAAACATGTCTCAAAATCTACATATGATAGCGTGTGCGCGACTTGTAGATAGCTGAGGTCAAAGATCAAAAAAATCGATTTTTTGCGCATTTTTTGCAAATATCTCGTTCCCTTTCACATTTACGCTATTTGTATTCATTATAAATATTGTAGAGGATAAAATTCTCTACAAGTTTTGTTTCAAAATTTTTTTTGTACCTCAAACCGTTTTTGAGATAGAGGGCGGTGAGCGCGCAGGCTTTCATTATGTACGGTATCATTCAAGTTCAACCTGTAGTCTCGGTCAAAAACACGCCGTATAAAGTCCGTCAATTATTGAAAAATATATAATTATAAATAATTTAGATTTTTTCGTAAAAGATCGTATTGAATATAATATAATTTTGCTGAAAAAAATTTGCTGAACACAATATTCTGCAACTGTAAGAATGGTTGTGGTTCGCGATGTGGGGATGCAGGAAATCAGGGTTGCCGTGCTCTTTAGCTTGTGGCCAGTGTAATGGGCAAGCTTGTCTCAATGCTTCACCCTATCAGAGTGATGTCAATGAAGGTGGTACATTTGACCACGAAATCCTAGAAGACTTGGAGACAAATGCCGTTGAAGACGAAAATGAAGAAGAATTTGAAATTCCACAAGGACCAGACAACGATGATGAAGAAGAAGAAGAAAACTAAAAATAAGGATATGGAGTTCTTTTTATTTTTATTCAATTTTTTTAATTTCAACCATGAGAAATGTATGAAATCGTATTTTTTAATAGACATATAAATTAAAAATGTATTTCTTGTAGTTTTGTTTACTTAAAATGTAATAATTTTCTAATAATTGTACAAAGAGTTAAGTGTTATTAAATGAAGATATAATTAATTTACGAAAAAAATTATTATATTCAATATGATCTTTTATAAAAAAATGTAAATTATTTATAATTATATATTTTTCAATAATTAACCGGCTTTATACGGCGCCGGCGTGTTTTTGACCGAGACTACAGGTTGAACTTGAACGATACCGTAAATAATGAAACACTACGCGCTCACCGCCCTCTATCTCAAAAACGGTTTGAGGTACAAAAAAAATTTTGAAACAAAAGTTGTAGAGAATTTTATCCTCTACAATATTTATGATAAATACAAATAGCGTAAATGTGAAAGGGAACGAGATATATGCAAAAAATGCGCAAAAAATCTCTGTATTTTTTGACCTTTGACCTCAGTTATCTACAAGTCGCGCATACGCTATCATATGTAGGTTTTGAGACATCTTTCAGGATGTTAAAATAAAGGTTTATACGAGTTTACAGCCGGTTATCTTGAATTCCGAGATTCCTACCCTATTTTTACTAAGATGACTGGACTAAACGTAATATATGGATGAAAATTGATATCTGGTAGTTTTTTGACATGAAAAATTTGATTTTGATGTCAATATAACTCCTACTTGTCAAGGGCGCCACCTACATATTTTTTAACTGGTTTGAAGAAAAATAACTTTTCATCCGTACCTGTATAAAACTACTGATTAAAAAATATACATTTACGACGTTTTTAGCGTTTTTAAAAATCGCTACGAGTAATGGTTCTGGAGATATTTGGAATCGACATTATCGACACCTGTCGTTACTGACATAAATTAAACATGTTGACTAAATAGTTATTAGACTGAAACCATAAATTTGAAATGTACGTGTGCCAAAAGTTCAACAGAAACTGTTTTATAATGATTTTTTTCAAAGGAAAATTTACGATTAATTTAAAAAAATAAAAAGTTCCCAAATTTATTTCATTTCAATCAAATATCTATCTACTCAACATGCTTATTTTTTGTCAATATAATGAGATGCATTGATTATTTTTTCCATTCTAAGTATCTTGAGAATAATTTGCCGTGGCGATTTTTATTAAGAGACATTTTTTACGTAAAAAGTCACGAATATGTATATTTTTTTAAATCAGTAGTTTTATACGGTACGGACAGAGATCGTTATGATTCTTCAAAACAGTTAAAATACATGTTGTTGACGCCACCTACAAATATGAGTCATTTTGACATCCAAATCAAATTTCTTATGTCAAATCCCAGACACAAATTTTAATCCAAATATTGACGTTACTTCAGAAATTATTTGGAATAAATTTAAATAAAAATGAAACTTCTACACCTAGATCGCCGAAACTAAGCATTTTAGGATGTAGGTACATTTGTACGAACTTTTTTACATATTTTTATCTGCAGAATATGCTGCCGAAGTTTCCGGAATACAGTTAGGACCACCCTGTATATAAATCACAAAAAAAACGGCGTCCAGTTGGCTGGGAAATGACGATCGATGACATTTCCCAAATAAATTTACATATAAAATGACAGCGATCTTCATTTCATAGCCGTTTTCTGACGGCGTTTTTTTCTATCATACGGTAATATTATAATAGGGGTACCTTACCGGTTCAAAATATCCCTTCAATGAATGCTTCTCTTCATCTGGATGCACCCCTTTAACGTTTCTGGAGTAACTCTCGTCAGTTTTATAAAAATGAGGTGCGGTAGCAATGATGGGCACACCCATGCACTTGCTTAAGTCGAAGGCACCCTTTTTCAGACAGTTCGTTGGAGTCCGACAATAGCATTTCTCGTCTTCATTGTTAGTCTGATCTCCCAGTTCGCTCTCGTAGAGACGAACTCTGAGACCTTTCATCGTCGTGTAGTTGACAAAATGCATCTTGACGTTCCTTGGAAAAGAAGATATTAAACTTTTTTATTAAACTTTTGTTAAGTCAATCGACCAATAAGATCAGTGTAGTTAAAATGGACATTTGTTTACCAAATATAGAACTGAAAGTTTATAGTCATTATAGCAAGTCTACGAGACAAAATTCGAAATGAAAACATCAGGAGGCAAGCAAAAGTTACCGATATAATTCAGGAAGTGGCTAAAATTAAATGGCCATGGGCTGGACATGTTGGTGGATTGGCTAAAGACAGATGAGCGCAAAGAATGATAGTGTGAAGACCAAGACAAACTGAAAGAAGTGTGGGACATCCACAGAAACGTTGGGTGGACGACATTACAGAAGACGGGAAGTGGCAGCTAAAAGGTGGTTAAATACAGCACAAAATAGGGAGACATGAAAAGGAGAGCTGTAAACAAAGTCAAAAGTCGGTTTCAAAAAATCTTAAATCTTAAGTTATTTATAGAATAAAAATGATTTAAATATTAAGTCAATTTCAACTTTCAACATATAGTTCAAATGATTTAAATTAAGTTAAAATTTAAATATTAAGTTTTTGACTTAAATCATTTTCTTTCAAGTCAAGTCATTTTTGTAAAGACACTCAGAATAATGTAATTTAAATGACTTTTACGACTTAAGTCTATATTTTATATCTATAAGTCTATAAATATATCTATATTACTTAAATCATGACGGTCTGAGAGTTAAGTCCGTAAAATGATAACCCAAGCAGCATTTGAACATCGGCACAACTTCGTGCCAACCCTATAGTCTACACTAGTTTGGAGAATAATTTTTGGGTCGAAACGGCGTTGGATACCGACGTTGGTTAGCAGTCTAATTAAGTACAAACTGCAACGTTGTTTAAAATCCTAATTCACAGAAATACAAAACTATAATAATATGGCGTCTAAGTCGCGTTTTAACCTAAATTGGGGTAATTATAGTAAAAATATTATTTTTATGATTTAGTTAGAGACATATGCCAGATGGCAGTAAAGGAAAACAAAACAGAAGTATTTAAGTGTGGAGGATGTTGGAAGATTATAATTATTGAAACACTTTAATCGACTCTGAAACTCGTTACCCAAGGCAAAAAAGTCAAACGCAAACAACTTTATTGATAAATGTATTGTTTCTACTTTGAAAAATACTAATGGGCCTTAAAATTAAAGAAGTTTTAAAAAATTTCTTGATTTTTTTTTAGTAAAATGAGAATAATTATTCGCAGTCGAAAAATTTGTTTCCGCGTGTTGTTTAGGGTCAAATATTTCAAGTTAATGTATTCAAAAAGCAGGAATTGCTATTTTAGGAACGAAACATTTTCTTATTCAACAACATGGCGGCTTTCACTTTGTTGTTTTGGAGATTAAGATGGAGTAGTTCGAGTAGTCGCATACTGGACTAATAAAGTCGCAGTTCAGCCTTAACAGCCTTAACAGGTACTATACTGTCGCAAGATTGCCTAATTTAGTCATTCTAGAGTCTAGCTTGTGCCGCCCTCTATATTCTAAATAAAGAGGGAGTGGATAAAGAACCGGTAATATGTCGATGTATATTTAAATTTAGTTTTATATGTACCTTTCTTATGTCCCATTTTAATATGTTTTTTTTTTATAAAAACAAAAACAGTACTGAACTGTCTGACTGAACAGAACAATGAAGTGAAAATTTATGATTTAAGGTTATGGTTCAATACAGTTACAAAAAGGTAGTGGCTCGACGTCCTACCAACGTAAGAATAAGGAAATCTAAACAACGTTGGAATTAGTAAAACAGACGACGTTTGCATAATGTTGGAATAGGTCCTGAAAGTGACGTCGGAAAATTCTTTATTGCCCAACATTGTAACTACGTTGTCCGAATCACCTAAAGATCACTTAAGCAAAAAATGTTACAAGACAACGTTTATTCGACGTCGCAGAAGCTTTTACTTTCTTGTAGTACTAGTTCAACGTCGGCACAACATTACAACAACGTTTACACTTATTTTAATACCCAAGGTACGGAGCTAACTATTTTTTGTAACTAATCCAACGTTGTGATTAGTAAACATGTGGTCGCAAATCGTGAAAATGCTACTTGGGAATTCAAAATAATTAGGGTCAAGGCATCAAGAGGATTCATTTTAAGTACCTATTTAGTACCAAACCAAAACAATCTAGTGGAAAGAACAGACATTCTAATAAATAACACAACACTGGAAATAGTAGAAAAATATATATATTTGTGACAACTAGCACATAAAATTCGGGATCTCTACTACCAGAAATCATCAGAAGAATTAAGTTAGCATGGAGTATTTATGGAAGGAACTCAGTCCTATTCCTAATCTTGAATGCCACTTTATCTAAAGAAGAAAACATTCGACAAATGTGTAGTACCAGTCATGACATATGCATGCAATACATGGACACTTAAAACAGACATGTTCTTGATTTATGCTGGGAATAACCAAGGGAGACCGTAAAAGAATACAATGGATACGACAAAAGACCCAGGTAATAGATGTCATCCACAGAGTCAAATCCCTCAAATGACAATGGACTCCTGTCCATTGTGGTGTATTCACCTGTCAAGAAGAACGAACTACAGATGGACCACAAAAATTACAGCATGGTACCCACGAGGAATTAAGAGACCTAGAGGAAGATCGAATTTGAGATTGGACTTTATTGGTAAATATTAGGAAATCAGCAGGGATAACTTGAACCTGCCAAGCCAACAATAGATAACAATGGGCCCAACTACAAAGAGTGTATCTAAATATGTGAGGGAGGCTTCACCATAACTGGAAATGATGATGATATGTATTATGGAATATGTCGAAAGCATAAGCTAAGGGCTGGAGAATTTTAAAATACTCTTTAATATATTGGAGATTAATTTCTTTCGTATGTCTTTCGGAGCTATATAACGGGGTTGGGGATTCCCTTGATAAATGCAACTACGACTATGACTCACTACGCAATGTTGTGTTCTGGTTGTGAAACTGTTGCAAAAAGAATTATTATAAGAATGTATGACATAAAACAACACCTGACTAAAAATTTTATAAAAAAATTTTATTTTTAAATCAGAGCTTCAGTCAAAATATTTACCGGCATAGATCAGCTGAAAATGCACTAATGGTATCTTCTTCTCTCATTAGTGGTGGAAAAATCCATCCATCCGTACCATTAAAACGATTACACTCTGGTTTACTCCAAACGTTCAGTTCTTTCTTACCATCCACTTCGAGAACGCGACCAAGATCACTCAAATGGGAAATGCCTCTTAAGACTTTAACTCTTTGGGTTTTCGTAGCGTTTCTCTAAAATTTTCAGAAAATCGAACATTAATTTAAATACATTATCTTCAATAAATGAAGTTCATAAACAATGTCTTTTCAATCTAAATGTTTTACAGGGTGTCAAAAGTAATATCTAACTTTGGTAGGGTAATATCTAACTTTGGTAGGTGATTCTGCAGATAAAAATAAGTAAAAAAGTTCGTATAAATGTTCTAAAATGCTTTGTTTCAGAGTAATAATTTCTGAAGTAACGTCAATATTTGGATGAAAATTGGTTTTTGACATGAGAAATTTGATTTCGAAGTCAATATGACTCCTACTTGTAGAGGGAGCCGCCTATATACTTTTTAACAGGTTTGAAGAGTAATAACTTTTTATCCGTACCTGTATAAAACTACTGAGTAAAAAATATGCATTTGCGACGTTTTTTTTACGTGAAAAAGATCTTTTGGTAAAAATCGCTACGAGTAATGGTTCTCGAGATATTTGGAATCGAAATTATCAATACATTCAATCATTGATATAAATTAAACATGTTCACTAAATAGTTATTAGACTGAAATCATAAATTTGAAATGTTTTTGTGCCAAAAGTTCAACGGAAACTGTTTTATCATAATTATTTCTAAGAAGTAAAGAAGAACAATTTAGATTAAGAAGAACAAGAAGAACACGAACAAGAACAAGAAGATTAATTTAAAAAAAACTAAAAAAATTCCCAACTATCAACTTAACATAAAATATTATGTTTATTTTTTGCCAATATTGACATGTATTGAATACTTTTATTCTGAATATCTTGAGGATGGTTGCTCGTAGCGACTTTTACCAACAAATGTATATTTTTTCACTCAGTAGTTTTATACAGGTACGGACAAAAAGTTGTTACTCTTCAAAACAGTTAAAACACATGTAGATGGCGCCCCGTATAAATAGGAGTCATATTGGCATCAAAGTCAAATTTGTCATGTCAAAAAACTCCCAGACACCAATTTTCATCCAAATATTTAAGTTAATTCAGAAATTATTTGGAAAAAATCGAAATAAAAATGAAACGTCTACACCCTGTATCTCCAAAACTAAAAAAATAGAATATAAGTTTATACGAACTTTTTTAATTATTTTTATCTGCAGAATGTGCTACCGAAGTTTCGGGAATACAGTTCGGACCACCCTGTATAATATATGATATTTAAATATACTTACTGGTCCTAATAATGAAAATAAATATACTTTTTCTTCCCCAGGTTTCACTTTTAATCCAGGAACGTTGCCTTTAATTTGGCTACAAACGGCGTTGGTAGAAAAGTCTTTGGTGTCACAATTAATTTCTATTCCATCGAATAGTATATCTTTTACTTTGGCAGTTAGAAAGATTGTCTGGGGATTGTCAAACAATTCTATTAGAGACTTATTAACAATGGAAAGATAAACTGGACTGTCTCTTAGGACTAGGTTTACCATGCCCTGCAATGTTATAAACAATAATTTCAAAAATATATGTGTAAAACATCGCTCAGGTTAGTTTGAGAAAAATAATATATCTTACCACCATAATAGGGTGTATGATTGTCACAGTGTCATCTCCTGATAGACCTTTCGATTTTTTGGCGTTAAAATAGAAAGTAGAGTATGGTGTGTAAGTCAGGCTATCTTCAGCGGAGTTGTCTACTACATCGACTTTTTCTACATACTCACTAAAAATAATTAATAATTGTAATTTATTACATTACAGCAGCTTTTAATGTTAACATTTTCCGGAGGGCGACACATCTCGAAAAAAGCTCCACATCAGATTTTCTATTTGAGTTTTTTTTAGTGAAATATTTTTTTATAAAATATATGCAGAAAATATTATTACATATTTTAAAAATAAACACAACCAAACTTATATGAAATCATCTATTATTTTTTATAATTTTTGAGACGTGAACATCTTGTGTTTATGAATAAAACTCAGTCCTTACCAAAAACTTTTAATGAAAAATAATCTATATATAATCAGTTCCCAAAATAAACACAATAGTTTTTTTTTGTTTCTGTTTGAATTTTTAATGGCCAAAAAGCAAAAACAAAAAGAAAATTGATTTGATAATTTTCTGTGTTGCCACCGCTAGCCTTTGTGCAATCCTAGCTGGCATGCTTCTAATTAAATTATCAACCTTGTCTTGGGGTATATTTTCGCATTCTGCTAATGCTGCATTAATAAACTGAGCGAGATTTCCTGGATTGTTTCGACGAGCTCTAACACTTCTTTTGACCTGGTCCCACAAGATCTGGTGAACATGCAGGACAGTCTAAAACTATGACATATTCCGTTTCAAGACATTCTCTAGCCACATACATTATCTTGCAAGAAGTTAAAATTATCCCCAATTGCAGCTTTCCAAAGCCTATATATAAGGATTGGTTCTTGTATTAAATAAATATACCTCCCGTTAAAGTAAAATGATAATAAAGGAGTTTTGCTCCCAGTATAGTTCCTCTCCCGAACATTACAGTTCCTCCTTTATATCTTGGTACAGATTTGGCAGTAACCTGGAGCTCTGAGCAAAAAGAACATTTTGTCAATTCTTAATCGTCCAGTTATGTTATATTGAAAGCACCAATTTAGCCGGCCAATTTTATTTTGCCGAGATAACCGTGGGACCTATAACCTTTGCTATAACTCTCTCCTACTATATAACCTGCGAGCACTAAACCTTTTTCTTATGGTTTCAACTAAAACGTTTAACCTGTAGCTGTCAGAAGTTGTCTTTGTAGCTCTGGATGAGAAATACTGGAATTTCTTCTAGCAAATTGGCACTCGAAGCGGCCTTGTTGTTCAGTTGTGACTTTTTGACGACTTTGTCTGGGCCTGTTCTCGAGAGTTCCTAGTTCCAAGTACCTTGCATATGTTTTCGATACAACATCCTGGGTTCCTCCTTTATATCTTGATACAGATTTGGCAGCCTGGAGTCTCGATCGTCTTCTTGGAGCTCTGATAACCCAAATTCGATGGTCCCCTGATCTTAAGTTGGTCCCATCCAAAAAAACGAACATTTTGCCAATCCTCAATTGTCCAGTTTTGATCTTAAAGGCAACAATTTAGCTGGTCAATTTTATTTTGCCGAGATAACCGTGGGACCTATAACTCTCTCCTACTATATAACCGTCGAGCACTAATCCTTTTTCTTATGTTTTCAACTAAAACATGTACACCTGTAGCTGCCAGAAGTTGTATTTGTTTCAAAGCGGCCTTGTTGTTCAGTTGTGACTTTTTGACGACTTTCTCTGGATTCTCGAGAGTTCCTAGTTCCAAGTACTTTGCATATGTTTTTGATACAACATCCTGGGTAACGCCTACTCTCTTTGGGACATTCCTTGTTCAATGAGGGCAATAATAATTCTTCCTCTCTGTACATATGTTAACCTCACATAAGACATTGTTTATTAGCCGACCATACCAACAGATATCATAGGCTATTAAGATCGGCAATTTTTTTTTAATTTCACTCAAAATGAGTTATTTGGATCATAAATGACCTAAATACAAAATATTTTCATGGTGTCTGTCTGACTGTAACACGATAACTCAAAAACCGCTAAACCGATTTTAACCAAATTTGGCACAAAAATACTGTGGCACCCGAAAATCTGGCCATTAGTTTTTCGTGGGGGTGGGGGTTGGTAAGGGGGTGTAGGAGGGAGTTAAAAATTTTAAAAAATCGTAACTCCAAAATTACAGTAGCTAGCGAAACGCGGTTTTCAATTTAAGATTAAGAATAATGTTTGCAACAAAATTTGTAATAACGTCAAAATCAATTTTGAATTTTACTATAAAAATAAAAATAAAAATAAATTTGAAAAAACAGTTTTTTTGAAAATCTCGAAAACCGTTTGACTTAAAGAGCTAAAAATTTAGGTGAACTATTTTGATTCGACACCAAATCAATTCCTTGAGTGTAAGTTAAAAAAGCCGCGGAGGCAGATTTCCCATATCAATCCGGCTATACCAATTCTTTACGCGTGATGGAAGTAAAAATTGAAAGCCGTACCACACAAGCCGATACGGCCGTGACACACGAGACGCGAAAGGAAAAGTGGTAACGATCTTGGAGCGCCGTAACTCGGGCCCTGTGTGAGCTAGGGGGCTGAAACTCGGAATGTGGATTGGCCTCGAAAAGTTTGATTGACGTTTGATGATATTTCGACGACGTTTCGAGCACTACGAAATCCAATCATCAATGAATCAAATCAAAATACCATCCGATTTAAATGAAATTTGGTATGTCAATAGATTGAATCAAGGCCAACTTGACTGTGTAAGACACGTGTCAATGTCAGAGTTTTGACGTAAGAAACGTCAAAATTGGGTAAGTTGGATACGACGTTTCATTTACATCTTCATCAGGGTGGGATTAACGATTTGATATTGAAGAAAAATGTGGGTCGATTTTGGCATAATTGGGGATCGAACCGATGTTTCTAAATGGACGAAATCATTTCTCAGGATTTTTCTTAATTATGGGTCGATTGGAACCAAACTCGCCACGTGGATAGAGGTACCCGAAAGGAGTCCTTAAACGGGCAGACAGACGGAAGAAAGAAGAAGTTTCACTTCAAATATGTGCAGATATAATAAGTAAAAATCATTCTCAAATAAAAAATGTAGATTGATGCAGAAAACTGTGCATTATAAAGCAAGCCTACTGTATGAAAATGTTAAAAGTTTCTTAGAGAAAACTTTAATTTAATTCTAACAATTGAAGGGGTGGCTGCAATAACCCGGCATCTCCACTTTTTACAGAAACGAGATTTTTACTGAATTGTCCTTTAAAAAATAGGGCAATTGTCTCCTGCAACAATCAGACAACTCCGGTTAACAGCACATAAATGACAACGTTATTTGGAGCTAACTTTGGAACTGTCTACCAACTTTTTTTTAACATATTTTAGTATGGGTATAGCCGCCCATACTAAAAGTGCCTCCCAGCGCTAATTTTTTTTTTTCGATTCGTTTGAAAATTACCGGACAATTGTGATTTTACTACTGAACACAAAATTCACAAGTAAATAAATCGCAGCAGTCGTTTATTCTTTATTATCATGTTTATTTATAATAAAAAGCCTTATCTTGAAGTTGTACCTACACCATTTTTTTCCTTATAAAAGTTTAGTCAGAAATGGAGTGATTTCATATGTTTGATGGTGTATTTTGATATCATATTTCAATAATAATTTATTGTCACAGTATACCTATAGTAATTTTAAAACGAAATTATATGAAAAATCCCATCTCCCCCCCCCCCTTGATTGGAACAAAAATTTGATAAAAAATTATATTTATAAACCATATTTGGAATTTAACTACAGTTCTATATGTTTAGGACACGTGATTAGTTACATTTTGTTAATCTTCAAGGCTTCCTATAAATCTATTTAAACATATGGTTTGTGCATTTTAATAACAGCAAAATGTTTTCCAAATGATCCTTAAGGAACATTACTAATTTCATGAATGCACACATAGAATTTTCTCTAATTATATGACAAAAACAAGGACTCGAATTAATTGAACTTGGAAACAAACTAATATTGGCATGTTAATATCAGTCGGATGCGTAAAATTATAGGTTTTATTGATCACGGTACTCTATATTTGAAATATTTTGTCGGGTAATCATTACGTATATTTCTAAAATAATTATAGGGTTGTATTAATATGACTTCACAAGTTGGAAATTAAAAAAAATGATATTTAGTGAGTCTGGTAAAGCAAAACTTCTACAGTGTGTGTGGAATTGTTTTTTGAAGTTCATAGGTCAGGAAAAGGACACGGACATCATTAGACATTCAAATCTATTTTTCCAAGACTCTTTGATTAAAAATTAGTTGTTTTATGATGTTATGGCGCTCTAGATTGAAATTTAAAATCCTTTTTTAAGGAAAAATGTCAAAAGTTGACACCATTTGTCATTTTATTCAGAATGGTCAGTTTCTATATTAAATAAAAAAATATAGTGGATACACCAATTAAAAATCAAAAGTTGTTGTCATTTCCTGTGAAACAGGAAGTGACCAAAACTAATGGAATACTTTATTTAATCTTGGTTTATGTCATATACTAACACACCAAATCTCGTTTTTGAACTGAAAGGGTATAGCCGGATTAATGTGGGAAATATGCCCCAGCGGCTTTTTTTAACACAAACGGTTTTCGAGATTTTCAAAAAAAAACTGTTTTTTCAATTTTATTTTTATTTTTATAGTAAAATTCAAATTTAATTAATGATGATTTTTTTGTAATTCTTAGAAATCTAAAGCTTGATTTTCATGCATCCGTTGTCCGACGATACGTTGATACGATATTAATTTCATTGGTTGTATTTAAAGGCTTGGTTAACCGTTTCTAACCAACCGAAGTCTTTAAATTCAACCAATAAAATTAATATCGTAACATCGTATCGTCGGACAACGGATGAATGAAAATCAAACTTAAGACATGAAAAAATAATATGATCATGATTCTTAAACGAAAAGCCGCTTTTTGCGAGGAAAGAAAATTAATATTTTAATTTTTTAACCTTTATGAAATACTATGTCACTTACTAAAAATCGTCAGAAAATCTCTTTTATACTTCTTTACACTCAGGAATTTTTTAGAATTTTTTGAAGTGGTGGAACAATATGAAAAAAATTAAAACTCTTTTTTTTCTAAAATCTTTTTTTTCTGAAATCTTCTCGGACTCATTTTTTTAAATAATCTATGTTTATTTCTGGCAAGGATGTATATTAATGAAAAAATATTTTCTACGCACTTTTTTAAACTAAACAAAAATATAAGTTTCTTAAAACAGAAGATTTTAGAAAAAAAAAATGAGTTTTTAATTTTTTTCATATTGTTCCACTTCAAAAAATTCTAAAAAATTCCTGAGTGTGAAGAAGTATAAAAGACATTTTCTGATGACTTTTAGTAAGTGACATATTTGACAAAGGTTAAACAAATGAAGATTTTAATTTTCTTTACTCCGCTAAATATCGGCTTTTCGTTTAAGAATCATGATCATATGTTTTCATGTCTTGATTTCTAAGAAAAGAATCACATTTAATTAATTTTGAATATTACTATAAAAATAAAAATAAAAATAAATTTGAAAAAACAGTTTTTTTGAAAATCTCTAAAACCGTTTGAGTTAAAGAGTTAAAAATTTAGGTGAATTATTTTCATTCGACACCAAATCAATTCCTTGAGTGCAAGTTAAAAAAAGCCGCGGGGGCAGATTTCCCATATTAATCCGGCTGTACCATTTCTTTACGCGCGATGGCATTAAAAATTGAAAGCCGTACCACACAAACCGATACGGCCGTGACACACGAGACGCGAAAGGAAAAGTGGTAACGATCTTGGAGCGCCGTAACTCGGGCCCTGTGTGAGCTAGGGGGCTGAAACTCGGAATGTGGATTGGACTCGAAAAGTTTTATTGACGTTTGAATCAATGAATCAAATCAAAATACCGTCCGATTTAAATTAAATTTGGTATGTCGATATATTCGATCAAGGCCAACTTGACTGTGTAAGACACGTGTCAATGTGACAGTTTGTTTTGACGTAAGAAACGTCAAAATTGGGTAAGTTGGATACGACGTTTCCTTTACATCTTTATCAGGGTGGGATTAACGATTTGATATTGAAGAAAAAATGTGGGTCGATTTCGGCATAATTGGGGACGGGCTACAAGATGATGCCCTCGACGCCGACGTTTCGAACCGATGTTTCTAAATGGACGAAATCATCAGGATTTTTCTTAATTATGGGTCGATTGGAACCAAACTTGCCATGTGGATAGAGGTACCCGAAAGGAGTCCTTAAACGGGCAGACAGACGGAAGAAAGAAGAAGTTTCACTTCAAATATGTGCAGATCGGTGCAGATACAATAAGTAAAAATCATTCTCAAATAAAAATGTAGATTGATGCAGAAAACTATGCATTAAAAAGCAAGCATACTGCATGAAAATGTGAAAAGTTTCTTAGAGAAAACTTTAATTTAATTCTAACAATTGAAGGGGTGGCTGCAATAACTCGGCAACTCCACTTTTTACGAAAACGAGATTTTTACTGAATTGTCCTTTAAAAAATAGTGCTCTCTGTATAATATCTCAGTGCAATTGTTTCCTGCAACAATCAGACAACTTCATTAACAGTACATAAATGACAAAGTTATTTGGAGCTAACTTGCTTTCTGTTTGCAGCAAAAACCAGAGTAGATCCTGGGAGCTGTTTGCAGCAAACAAATTTTCTTAAAATGGAGCTGCTTGGTTATTGCATGCTGCTACTTCTTTTCTTCGTCTTAGTCGCTATGACCTTATATGGTATAATATTAAGATAGGTATACTAACTCATAAGAAAATGGCCCTATTTCCTTTACTACTGGTGCGTCTCCTAGTTGCACCTCTTCAGGATTGGTCACATTGAAAAAATAAACATTGAAATCCAGCGGAAAAGGAATTTTTAAATATATTTTGCGTAATTCATTCCTCTTTTTCAGTGAAGTTTGCTAAAACAAAAAAAAACGTTGATTAGGATTGGCCAACGCAACATTTATTTTATTGTTTGATGGAAACACAATAAGTTTAGTTTATTCAAACTATTGTCTATTTATTAATGTAAAAAATTTTCGTATATGAAAGGTAGTGTTAAGTTGAAAAAAATGAAGCAGTTCGTCATGATTTTTAAGAAAATGAAATGTTTTTTTTTGGAAGGGATAGTTCTCTATTTTGCGATACAGAAAATTAATGTTATACCATTTTTATCTGTATATATATAAGTAAGTCGGTTCAGAACGTTCTACGACGTTTTCGGACACCTAACCTCCACTCTTCTCTATTTAGCCAGAGATCATCAAGTATTTCTCTATTTTCTAGTCTTTATCCACACCCTCCCTCCAGCTTCGTCGCGGCCTTCCTCTTTTATTTCTGCCTCGAGGTGTCCACAGTAAAATTTGTTTTGGTATTCTGTGATCGGGCATTCGCTGAACATGACCAAACCATATGAGTTGTTTTGTTCTTATATCGTCCACAATTGTGTGTTCAGCTCCCATAATCTTTCTTACTCTGTCGTTGGTTATTTGTTCTCTTTTCGATTTTCCAGCAGATCTCCTCCAGTAATCCATTTCGGTCGCTAATAGCATGTTCTCTGTTCTGCTTTTCAACTGCCATACTTCGCTTCCGTAAGTTATTATGCTTTTCACTACCGTATTATATATGTTCTTCTTATTAGCTTTAGAGATTCCCACAGTACAACATTCAACATAGATATTGCCCTCTTGCCTTGCATTATTCGATTTTTTATACCCTCATTGAGTTTTCCATCGTTAGTTATTTTTAATCCAATATATTTATATTTGTCACAGTTTTTTATCACGCTTCCATCCTCTAAGACTCTTTTCTTTTTTGTGCCCCCCCTACAGTCATACATTCAGTTTTGGTGATATTTACCTCCAACCCCCATTTCTTATACTCCTCTATCAGCTTTCTTGCCATATATTCAAAGTCGTCGTGATCTTGGGCTAGGACTATCTGGTCGTCCGCAAAAAATAGGGTGTATAGGGTGTCCTCATTTATTAGGGGGATTCCCATTCCTCTACACTTAAGCATCCATTTTTTTAGTGCTTGTTGCAGGTATATTTTGAATAGTATAGGAATAGCACCATTTTTATCTAAATTCGCTTCATATGAGACCTCAGAGAAAGAAGACACTACACTTGGACGAATTTTAAAATACTTGATATAACTGTCATATTTTTGCGGTTTACATTTTCTAACGTTGCTATTTTACAGACAATATCATATCAATTATACGAGAGAAAATAAAATTTTGATATTTTGGTGAAAGTACACCCTGTAGAGTACGTTAACAAAGCAAGGAACTTAAAAATCACTTTATCATCTAGGTGTATCTTTCTTCGATAGTTTGTTTTTTATTTTTCTCAGTAGCTTTATTTTTGTTGGAAATATTCGCTTTTGAAGAAGACACTAACATTTTTTCGTATATTTTACATTAAATTGGTGCCCTTGCTTTAGATCCTAGTCAACAGACCTATAATGTAATGATTATAGAATGATTTATGTAATGTCACTGTCTTTGAAAAATTAAATTATTATTGTCAATTACTCTAGCAGATATGGTTTTAAGACCAAATGTTAATTTCTGCCATGCAGTGGCGGATTAAGGGGGGGCGGAAGGGGCGGTCCGCTCCGGGTCCCGTCTTTTAGGGGGCCTCCGAATCTTAATAAGTAATTTTTTATTCAACTGGCAAACAAGGCCAATATGTGTTCAGTAGTTATAAAGCATTTTGTAGGTGGAGTATGCAAACCATACGTAAAGGGAAATTAAAGCAACTTTCGTTGCATGTTATCAATGACACCATGCGTCGTCTTATGGAGTTTGCTGGTGGTCGTATTATGATGTGCAACCAAAGTTATTTTAATTTCCCTATAAACGCCAACTCTAAACAGTATTAATGGAAGCAAATATTTACTTAATTATCAATTATCAGGCCCCGGTAATAGTCAATGGCATTTCCTATTTGGGAAATTAAATCAAGGGGTAATTTTCTTGGTTTAAAATATCGAATAATTATTATTTTTTATATATGTATTTTGAGACTGAATTTATTTATTTTAGCTTTTAAGTTATTTTTCAATGGTTTCATTATTTATTTTTACTGAATAATCATTTTAAATTACAACCAATGCACAGAATAACTTGTATTCTAGCTTCATTACTGATGATGAGCAATGAAGTCTTTAGTATAACGGGGGCCACGGGCCTGAGACAGCGAAGGGGCCCCTCTGATCTTGGAGGACTTACAAAATCGCGATATTTTGGAAGCATTTTTAAGATAAAAATATTTAAAATTTTTGGAAGAAAACATCTACCTGTCAAAAAAATTTGTACAGCCTAAAAGTCAAATTAAGTGATTATCACAGCCCCTGTGACATAAAGAAAAGACATGTGGCTATAGTCTGTCCAACGAGAAGATCCTTGACAGTGATAGATGTGTCTGTCATTTTAATTTCAAAGTAGTTTATTTTATTTAACAAAGAAATAAGTTGGTACAACTGGAACGCATAGCGATATATTTAAAATTTGATTGACAAGATGACAAGTGATTACTTCAAAATATTGTGAAAAAAACTGTATAAAACTGAAAAATGTAATCGAGTTATTTTATTTAATAAAAACGGTATGTGTTAATACAAAACAAACAAGAACAAGACACTACATACCAAAAAATATAAAAAAGAACTATTATTTACTTTAAGCTTTATGAAACTACCCGCATTTATGATTATATTTATCAATATAACTTATGTACAAATACAAATTTGTAATAATCCACAGGAATAAATAAAACAACATAGGTAAATAAAACAAACTATTTTATTAATAATAACACCTACCAAATTTTATACCTTAAAGGTTGATTAATTAACTTTAATCTTAATTTTTTTAAACCAGTACCTTTTGACATTATTTTTCTGCAGTACTAAAATCCATTATTTACCTATCGTGTGATATCGATATTTTACAGCTACTCCAGTTTTTAGTATGTGTTTAGTTTGATCCTTCTACCATATACAAGATGCACTTATCTACGACGAAATGGTATACAAACTTTATCGATAGCAACTTCATTGGTGTATAAGACTTTCTGCCCTGGCAGCGAGTATTAACCATAAACTGTGCTCTGGGTCTACAGTTAATTTTCACTCGATTTTTCCTCCACTTGACTTCAAAAGACACAAAACACACGTAATAATACGAATCAAAATGCATCATATTCCAAAACGCAGGGTATTTAACAAAAGTTGACACAAAATTATAACCTAGAATTTGGCAAGACTTTGACAAGCGTCAAAAATGACAAAATCTAAAGGCGAGTTCATACGCATCGGCGTCCGTTTGTCGTTCATCGTTCCGTCAAACCAATAAAATTGAAATACGATCTGTCATTTTTTAAATAAACCAATAAAACTGATTAAAAACAACAAGACACGACGCATGACGGATTTATATTTAAACCCATCCATAGATAACTTAAAAATTATTAGAAACTTTATTTAGTAAAATAAATAGATTGGTATGGGACGTCATCTGCTTTTCTTCTGTCATCGTCTGTCGAAATCTTACCTGAGAAAAAAAACAGAGTATATCTATTTCAAAAATTAAATTGTTCAAATGTCATATAATAATGGCGGCAGCTGTCATGGAATTGAGCGATTAAAAATTATCATAAATATTTTTTTTTTCAAATGGAAACCCACTTTTTTTATTTCACTAGTGAAAAGTTTTTCCAATTCGTTACGTTTTAACTAGACATATTCCTATACCTAAAATAAATCGTTTTTAAGTTATTTAAGATTTAGTTTGAAAACGTATATTGTTCTTGATTTTATCTAGCTTTCTTTGACATTAAGTGTCAAGCAGTCAGACAATTTATTTGCATCTGTGAGAAAATGAATTATTTGAATTTCCTATATTATAACTACTGCCTGCCTTAAAAGTGTATTTATATAAATATATCTCGTATTTTTTCGTTCTTTAGTGATATCTAATAGTTGATATTTTAAACATACGATCGAAAAAAACAGCGCAAACTTAGCTTGGAAATGATGATCGATAATATATAATATACTGTCATAGGCTACTGGTTAAAATCAAGAAAAATATACGCTTTAAAGGTAAATCTTAAATAACTTAAAAACGATTTATTTTAGGTACAAGAACATGTATAGTCAAAAAGTAACAAATTTTAAAAACGAAAGTAATGAAAGCCGTTTCACGAGTGAAATAAAAAAAGTGGATTTCCATTTGAAAAAAAATATTTATGATAATTTTTTAATCGCTCAATTCCATGAGAGCTGCGGCCATTATTATATGACATTCGGACAATTTAATTTTTGACATAGATATCCACATGTCTTCTCTTTATGGTACAGTGGCTGTAGCAATCGCTAAATTTGACGTTTAGGCTATATACATATTTTTGAGAGTTAGTTTTTTTCCTCCAAAAATTATAAATATTTTTTTTCTCAAAAACGGTTAACGTTAGGTATAGAGTGTTTAATATCAACATTCATAAAATTTTACAGGGAATTTATGTATATGTAATAAAAAATGGGGTCACCCACTTAAAATATGAAAGTTGCTGTAAAGTTCCGTTACTTCCGAAAGCGCCGCCATATTGAAGATATTTTTAATCGATAGATCTCATTGTGAAACAATGATATGCACAAAATCTCGTACCTAGATATTGTAGTTCTCTAGAAACTAACACAGGGTCAGCCTGGGACACCCTGTATAAATACTTGAATTTTGTCAACCATCATTCAGTTTTTACAAAATGTGCCATTAGAAGTATATCATTATCTAAACAGACTGGGGGCCACGATGCTGCCATGATCAATTAAAGCTACAATAGCCGATAGTTCAGAACTTAAAACCATTTCTACTAGAGTAAACGTCAATAAACAATAATAATATGACTTTTTATTGACAGTGACATTACAAAAACAATACATACTATTTTATAAGCATGTTGATGAGGACATAAATTCAATGCTAAAATTGCTTTAAATCGTTAATGTCTTATTCAAAAGCGAATATCTCCAATAAAAATGAAGCTATTGCAATGAATAAAAAAATAAACTATCGGAAAAAGATGTACGTATCGTACCTAGATGATAAAATTATTTTTAAAATCCTTGCTTTGTTAACATGTTCCATAGGGTGTTTCAAACTTTCACCAAAATATCAATGTTTTTTTTTCCTTATATAATGGACAGATGGAAACTTTCATTTTTAATTTAGAAGACACACTTGAAAGTCAAATAATTTAGCTACAAATTGCTTAAAAAATCATCAAAATCGGCCTACTAGAACAAAATATATTAAACTTTGAAATACATCAAAATTTTAAGGTTTTTCGTGCCGGCGAGTGTATTTAAATAAAATTATACAGGGTGGGTCTTAAATATGTGCAAATATTTTTAGCTGTAGTATATTTCGACCACAGAAGCACGATTATGATTTTCTTTTGCGCGGGATATTTAAAAAAATTTGAATTTATTTTTAGTTTCTATTTAAAAAACAATTTATGATAATACGGCAGCATAGCTAGTAAATTAAATTTGCAAATAAGCAAAGCCAGAAAAGATCCAGTGGTTCTCAACATTTAAGGAAAAATTTTTTTTTTCAAATTTTCAAAATAAAATATCTCGGTTATTTTGAACTTGGTTTGAAAAACGGTAAAGAGAAAATATGTTTCTTTTATCGAGATCTACCAGCCCTGAATATAATTGTACTTATTTAAGACTCACCCTGTATATTTCAGTATAGGTTTCGGTTCTAGTAAACTTTAGGTACCTCGGAATTTCACACTCTTCTTTGTTTTCTTAGAAATATTACTGTAAATAGAGCATATTAAGACAACAATAATTGTTGGATCATACAGTTTTTTGGTTAGCTTTTCTTTGTGGAGGGTGTTAAGCTGTGGTTTTTATATTTTAATAATTAACTGTGATTTTGCAAAAAATATTATTAGATTGGTTAGGATTTGGGTTGCTTTGGTTAGTTTTTCTTTGTGGAGGGTGTTAAGCTGTGGTTTCTATATTTTAATAATTTACTGTGGTAGATTGGTTAGCATTTTAGACACTTTTAAATGAATTATTTGGTACAAAAGTGCTTCATCCAAGAATTTTTTTCTTTTAAACTGTTCTATAGCAATAGCAACATTAAGTACCTCAGAATTTCGCAATAAATTGCGAAATGTTTACCAGACCGTAGGTTTCAAATATGTATATTATTGTCGAATTTGAGCAAATCAAAAGTATAAAAAAAATCAGAGCCTTCTTTTTTTTCAATGTTTTCAAATTATTTGTAAAAGAATAAATTTTCTTCTTTTTTTTAATTATTATCTCTCTGCTTCTAGTTTAACAAATATAATTAATTTGAAGAAGACGTCCATTCTTCTCAAAAAGACCTGGTTTAAATTAAAAAAAAAATAGAAAAAAGAGAAAGTAGAAAAGTCTTTTTTCTACTTTTTTTAAAATGTAAGTTTCTTGTAAAATAATAAAAAATACTTACGTCCCTTATTCCTATTCTTAGGATAACGTCAAACAGCCAGAATTGCATCAAAACACTACACAAGAAACATGCTGCAGCTATAATCCCGAGCTTTTTAGAGGAAGGCATTATTCCTGATTCATTTACTCTTTGGAAAAAAATATGTTACTTTTACATACTATTTTATGTAGGATTACCAAAATGATATCCGTCCATAATACGATTTTTCTATACGACTCGGACGAACAATGAAGCAGAATCATCATTTTGTTTAAAAAAAAACTTATAGTTTTATCATTAGCGTGTCGAGGAAGGGGGATTCCGCACAAACTGAAGGTTAATGTCTACCACAAGCATTCATTATTAATAATAAAAATTAGAAGCTCGATTAATGCTATAAACGTTTATCGGCTTTTCCATCATCGCCCTTAAGTATATGCATTTTCAGTCACTTGGGCTCGATATAAATCACTAATGGGTACTTTAAATCGGAAATAATTTTATTTGTCTTTGGTATATTCTGTTGTATCAGACAAAAATAGAAAATTAATATTTTTCCAATTTACTGACGCTAAAATGTCAATTTTATGCAAACGCCATGCAGTGAAAGCGTTATTTTTGACATGACGATTCTGTTTTGTGAAAGCGTTTCGAAATTGACAGTTTTTGATATTTATTTGAGATTCGAAATGACATTCTTTTAGGCACTAGTATATAAAAGTGACACTACTTGTTACTACACTACTAGTGCCTAAAAGTAAAAAATGAAACGTTAGCAGCAATGAAAATATTTATTTATTATAAATCTTAAAGGTACAATTATATAAATTATTACAGTGAATACAAGAGGCATCCAACTTTTCGTCTCTAAGAGAAATGCAAGTGGTAGGAGTCGGCATAAGTAAATTTCTTGTACTGGCAATGCTGGTAGCTTCTGCTTCCACATGAACTGCTTTTAATTTCTTATTTGGCGTATCTTTCTGTCCCATGATGCATTTTGCTATTTCGGTTTTCTGTTCAACTGAATTTTCAATGTAACCTTCAGCAACCGAGCTTGATCGCCAACCTCCATGTCGCTAAGAAACTGTTATGTCCGCTGAATCTGCCAGCATTTTTGCAGAACTGGCCGGAAACAATGACCAGTGTATTCAATGGTGTTGGAGAATCCAAGAAATTCCGCTATCTATTTTGCCATTGTATTGATTCCAACTGGCAGGGTACAGCATTGATTTTTTCGAACGTCAAGAAAAATCGCTGATGTGTCACATTGAGTGGTCGAAGTTTTGCGTACTTAGGAAATACATGTAAGAAATTGATACCATCTATTGGTCCCTCAGTAATCGTAAACACTCTTGGAAAATGAGTTTTTGTATTCGGAATCTGCACACTAATAAATGACTGACAATCTTTAATGGCATCTACGGTCACTCGACGCATTGTCCACAATTGTCTGACAATTTTGCGTCCCGTTCTTAAAACATATTCATTTCGCAACTTGTTACATAAATAGCTATTATAACACTGGTTTTAAGTTTAAGTAAATTACTTTTATTTCATACTGTATCATAAAACACACCCTTACATACTTGATTTTAGTCCGGAAAGAAAGGTTTAACGGCATTTTTTTAACTTGCGTGAAATTGTAAAAGTTTAATATTTATCAAGATTTCTATTTGGCCATATACAGGGTCCAGCAAGAGTGCGTCGGGCATCTGTAGTTCCTAGAACAAAAAAAATAATTGCAAACCTACATATACCGGGTGCCTCTCAAAAGTGGCTCACCCCTATAACTTTTTTATTTTTTTAGATAAAAACGGGATTTGGTATGTTAGTATATGACATAAATTAGGAGTTATTGACGTATTCAATTGTTTTTGGTCACTTCCTGTTTCACCGGAAATGACTACAACTTTTTAAATGGCACCCTTGGTATATTTTTACTTTATTCTATAGAAATTGACACACCGAATAAAATGACTTATCATATGTCAACTTTTGACATTTTCCTTCTAAAAGTCGTATTTTAAATTGTAATCTAGAGTTCTATGGGTATTGGCTATCAAGGAGCCTTGGAAAAATAGATTTGATCGTCCAATATTTTTCATTTTTCTTCTTCTTCTAATATAAGAAATTAGATGGAATGAATATAAGATAGAATATAAGAAATTAGAGGTTATTAAGAATATAAATGCATGTTGTGTGGAAAAATGAACATGGTTTAAGGGGTTGTAAGCAGGGTTCGGAAGTAGTTAATTAAGACGTAATTTACCTGATTAATTACGTGTGTAGTGTTAACTCTACTAGTGTAGTTTTTCTTAAAAAACTACGTCTTTTCCCGTTCATTAACTACATGAAAACTACGTTAATAAACTATGTATTGATATTATGAATAATTTTCCTTTGTATGAGGTGTAATAGAGATAATATGATGTAAATATTATATTTAAAGCCATATTTCTTCTGTTTTCTTAAATACATTATGTGTTTTTAAAGCTTCAACTTATTATAACCTCACCTCAAACCTTTGACATTTGAAAGTTACATACATAGGTTACATAAACTACACCCTCTACATAAACTACATTAACTACATGTAATGTAGTTTATGTAGTTTTTAAAAGTAACATGTAGTTTTCCGAACCCTGGTTGTAAGTAATGAAAAAACACTGTAGGGTATAATAAAATATTTTATTTTATATAGAGAAAAATACAATAAAATTTATACATATTATTCTTTTCGAGTTATATTCATATTAAAATACTTATTAATATTTGTATTAATTATATTTCTTATGGGTAAGGTGTAACAATTATACTTTTTACGAACGCGTTCTTTGGTTAATAGTAATTATAACAATAGGCGTCACGAGTAGATTGTTTCATTAATTGATACTCTGAATTGTATAAAACTAATTAAACTATTATACATGAGTCACTTCATGAAGCTGTTAACAGTAACGTTAGTCTGAGACACTCACTGAGAAGTGAAACAATATTTTATTCATTTAAATAGATATTTACACCATATTTTCTTTTTACCATTTTTCAAATAAGACCAAAATAACCGAGATATTTTATTTTGAAAATTTAAAAAAAATATATATTTTTTGCTTAAATTTTGAGAACCGCTGAACATTTTCTGGGTTTTTCTTTGTTGTTGTAAATTTAATCTACTTTGTCTATGTTGCCATATTATCAAGAAATTATGTTTTTTAAATAAAAAAGATTCCAATTTTTTCTTCAAAAACAACCTAATAATCGTGTTTCTGGGAATTCTGGGGTCAAAATATACTACTTCTGAACTTTTTTGCAGTTATTTAAGACTCACCCTATATATCTAACAAAGTTCTAAAGACTTTTTCTTGAAAAAATCTACAAAATTTCTATTAAAATAAATAGGGGCACGCCTTTATAATTAAATATTTGTGAATATTTCAATCTCACTCATTTTAAAAATACCTTGTATTTTAAGACAATAGTAACTTACTTTTTCTTAAACTCTAGGAATGTTTGTCATGTCAATTACTAACAATTTCTAAACAATTATTACTATTTTATTCCTTATTAAATAGGTACTATATTGTATTTGTATAATAAAATTATTGATCTAGTAATTAATTTTAAACAAATATAAATAATATTTTACTAGAAGATATAGACAATAATTGTATATTTCATATCAATTAAACTTTTAGTTACGTATTCGAGGTCGCGATTTCTAAATTCATTGTTGCCAACCATGGACATATTCGGCGCCGCGCCGGCGCCGTGCTGACTAACTGGGATTTAAATTTCGCGCTGGGGATTCAGGTGGTAGCATTGCTGTACAAAGTTGCCGCATTTATTTATTTATTTCCTGATATTTTATTCGTTTTGACATTTTGGTTTTGTATTACGAGTTTTTGGTTTAAATAAATAATGCTGTGATACTTTAAGCTTGAATTTGTTTACTAGAAGACCTTGCAGGCGAACATTGTTCTTTTTAGAACCTTTTTTAAAACGAAGTGGTTCGATAGCTTAATAGCCGTAAGAAACTCATCGCAACTTTATTAAAATATTATGAACGGGAAAGCGGTAGTAATGGTCCTTAATGGTCCCTTAAGTGCTGTTAAGAAGGTGAGTTTTGTTGATGTATATAATATCTGTTTATATGTTTATAATTAATTTATTTTTGTTTCCTGAAGTATTTAGATTAAAAAAGTATATAAAAGTAGGCAACACTGTGCCGGTCAAGCTTAATGACGTGACGAAAAGTTTATTTGGTATGAACTGTATATTATATTATTTTTAATTCGTTTGAATTACTCCATTATTCTTGATTGAGGATTCAGGTTGACCAAAATTTATAAAAAATCTGTATTTTGAATACAATAAGTAAGAATGATGTGTGTTTTAGAACATTTAAATTTAATATTTATCTTCATAAGCTCCGTTGTCTGTACCATTATTATATCCATTATGGAGCGTGTTGACTATATTTGCTGGACGTGGCGAGACTCTAGTGTCTTTAATATTAGTAATATTAACAGATTGTCCATCTTTGAAATTGAGGTAACCTGCACCAGCTAAACCTGCAAAAATATTTTATTTGTAAATACCAACACGAAGTTCAGTAATAAAATTGTTTATTGTTTGCAGAATTATAAGCTTATTGTTGATTTATCTATATTTTATATTAATGTTACTAATGAATAACACTGTGCCCCATACACTACATGAATCACACACACCACAGAGTGCACACTACAAGGATCTCGTATACCAGAAGAGATAAAAAGATAATTAAAAAAGTTTATACAATTGAATGTATAAAACTATTTGTTACACCTATAAAAAAACTATTTTTTACGCGTCAAAACCTATTTTTACGCGTAAAAACTATTTGTTGCACGTAAAAAAGTATTTGCTACATGTAAAAAACTATTTGTTACATGTAAAAAACTATTTGTTACATGTAAAAAAAATATTTTTACGCGTAAATAAATATTTTTTAAATTTATTTATTTTTTTATCTTTTTCTTCTCGTGTTGCGGCCTTGTATTTTTACGCGTAAATAACTTTTACTTCAAAAATTTTATTATATTGATTGCATGCATCTATTTTCCTTAATGCAATAATTGTGAAATTAATTTTCCAAATATTTTTTTTATTATTTAAAAATACCGTAAGATCGAAAAAATGGCGACCAGTTGGCTTAGAAATCAGCATTGATGACATTAACCATATAAAATGACAGCGATCTTTATTTTGTAGCCATTGCTGATGCCGTTTTTTTCGATAATATTGTACCTTGTGTCTATTACTAATCTATTCTGTATCATTTACCTGCAATTGATATAAGAAGAACCAAATAATTTGCCACCTTAACTACTTTCTTTATAGTGAACAAGTCTTTGATTGGTTTGGTTAATGTGCGATTCAAGTCAACACCCTAAAAATATTAATCCTTTTCTAAAGCATTCTAATATACAGGGTGGCCTGAACTGTATTCCGGAAACTTCAGCAGCATAATCTGCAGATAAAAATAAGTTTCGGAGATACAGGGTGTAGAAGTTTCATTTTCATTTCGATTTTTTCAAAATAATTTGTAAAGTAACGTCAATATTTGGATGAAAATTTGTGTCTGGGAGTTTTTTGACATGAGAAATTTGATTTTGATCTCAATATGACTCCTACTTGTAGAGGGCGCCACCTACATATTTTTTAACTGGTTTGAAGAGTAAAATTTTTTCGTCCTTACCTGTATAAATATATTTTAAAGAAAAATGTATTTATTATTACTCATGGTAAGTAGTACCTTTTCGCATTCTTTTGGAGTCGAAAAGACGCTAATTGCCCATTTCACAATTACCACACTAGTTTTGAGTAAATTTATTGTCGATTTGAGTGCGACAAGTAAACTTCCCGCACCCAAATTTTCATTGGCACACGCAAATTAACAAGTAAAAAAGACAGTCTCGAAGTGTCAATATTGAAGAAGTGAGGTTGACATTTAAATATTTTTTTTATTTTTTGTTTATTTTATTACGTTGCTTTTTAATATGTCTCATTTCTTATATCTCATCATGTAAACAAATTATTAAACACCATTATGAAGAAGCAACGTTAAAATTCCTTCATTTTCTACTCTAAAATTCTATTTAAAAATTTGAAGTTTTTAATGTCACTTTCTGCAGTCATCTATGGTGTGTTCCAATAGTTGTTTTTTTCGTCACGAGATTTTTAAAGTATTTTTTGCTTTTTAATAAGTCTCTTTTGTTTACATGATGAAATATAACAAAAAAGACATTAAAAAGCAACGTAATAAAAAATAATATGTGCAACTCGTGCGAAGTTGTCGATTGCCCACTCGAGCGAATGTTGAAGCAAAGCGAGTGCGCTCAACTTCGCTCTCGTGGGCAATCGACAACTTTTCGCAATAGTTGCACAATATACTAATCTACGACGTTTTGTACCTACGTAAAAAAGGTCTCTTGGTAAAAATCGCTACGAGTAATGGTTCTCGAGGTATTTGGAATCGAAATTATCAATACCTATAAGGTATCATTGACATAAATTAAACATGTTGACTAAATAGTTATTAGATTGAAATCATAAATTTGAAATATTTTTGTGCCAAAAGTTCCACAGAAACTGTTTTATCATAATTTTTTCGCAAATTTATGATTAATATAAAAAATAAAAAATTCCCAAATTTATTATTTCAGTCAAATAACTATTTACTCAACGTGTTTATTTTTTGTCAATATGACATATATTTCAATTCTAAATATCTTGAGAATGGTTGCTCGTAGCGATTTTTAGCTAGGATTATTTTTTACGTAAAAAGTAACGGTAATTTACATTTTTTACTTAGTAGTTTTATACAGGTACGGTCGGAAAGTTATTACTCTTCAAAACAGTTAAAACACATGTAGGTGGCGCCCCATACAAATATGAATTATATTGACATCAAAATCAAAATTCTCATATCAAAAAACTCCCAGATATCAATTGTCATCCAAATATTGAGGCTACTTCAGAAATTATTTGAAAAAATTCGAAATAAAATTGAAACTTCAACGCGCTGTATCTCCGAAACTAAGCCTTTTTGGACATACATTTATACGAACTTTTTTACTTATTTTTATCTGCAGAATATGCTGCCGAAGTTTCCGGAATACAGTTCGGACCACCCTGTATAAATTAATCATCAACTACCTCTTCAACCCAAAACATTGGCAAAACTGTCGGTGTAAAATTTTTGAATAAATCCACTTTTTCGTATGGTTCCAAGGGCATGTTGAATTGTAGTCTTTTTCTAGCCCAGAGTGGACTACCAGTAGTCTAAAAAATTATCTGTATTAATAAAATTGTCATAAGAGTATTGTTATACTGATATTACTGTTTCAAATAAAATTTTGATGGAGTGTTTTTCTGGATCTGGCCTTAGACCTTTCACTCCACGAAGATAGCTCTCGTGACAGTCATAAAAATGGGGAAGTGACACGTATAATGGTAGTCTGACACACTTAAATAGATCCATCATCCCTAAAAATATTAATTAATAAACTATGTAAACTGGGAAGATAAGCAACCTAATGGGTGAATTCGTGACAAGGCAGATTTGATTTCCCCTTACGTCTCAAGTGCTGTACGGTGGAGCCTCTACTCGTTCTGCGGCCAGCGCATAAAACACTCATTTTCTCTAATTAGTCCTGCGAAGGCATATCGAAGACGGTGTGGAACTGAAAGCGACAGTGTTGCCATAATAAAATGTGTAATATCTGGTAATACGTTTGACGAAAATATCTTTGATGAAAAATACGCGTTTATGCATTGAAAATTTATTCGGGTTAAATATAGAATAAACAACAAAAATAAAAATTCTTTTATAGGTACTGAATATTTCGTATGATCGAGAAAAGTCGTTTAGTTGGCTTAGAAATGACGACTATTGACATTTACATAATATTTTACATATGAAATAACAGCGTTCTTCATTTCCAAGCCAACTCTGACGCCATTCTTTGTTTAATCGTGTAATATTATATAAAATTGTATAATGATGGAAAATCCCTATTATTAACGTACTGTACCCAAAATCCGTAAATCTACAATTAATCCGTAGTTCTCGCAACACTGTCTCCGGCAATCCCCCACTCCGTCGTCTGAAAGCAGAACTACGACACAGTATTCTTTATCCGCTGCGCTGTAAACGACGACTAAAAACGAATCAGCGCGCAGCGGCGCAGAACTAAACTAAATCTCGGACAAAAAACAGTAACGCCAGCTGCATCTCGGACATATTTTGTGCCACAAAATCGCCCATAAGGTTGTACATCTTATTCCTTCAATGAGCGGTATTATACAAGGTGTCCCAGAAATAAATGCAAGTATTATATCTGGTAGTATAGTTCAACCCCAGAAACACGCCTATGAGGTTTTTTTCGCAAACAAAATTTTGAAAATTCGGAATTTTTTGAAAATTTTTTGGATTTATTTTTAGTTTTTACTTAAAAATCATATGGCAACATAGGTAGTAGATTAAATTTACAAGTTTTCAAAATTTGCAAAAAATCATTTTTTTTGGAGATTTTTAAAGTAAAATAACTCCGTTATTTAGACCGTTATTTCTGGGACACCCTGTATAATAGAAATAATTCTGGGAAATATCACTATTAGAATAAAATACTACCTAAAAAGATGATGTGTTATTTTGTTTTGTTACATTGTTGATGAAATTTGTTTTAAATTTATAACTTTGAATTTTTCAACATACAGGTTGTTAATTTGTTTATTACTCGCGGCAAGAGCTTTATGGTTGAAATATGACAACCTCGGCCCGCTCGTCGATAGACGACGCGACGGAACGAGTCGGCAGAAAACGTGCATGCGTTCTCAATTGGCAGTGTTGCCATTCTGTTCCCCTATAAGTAACTGTCGAGTTAACAACCTGTATACTATAAGGTGTTTCAAAAACATGTTCCATCTCTTGTGGGGAGATTCGCCACGTAAAAATAATATTTATTTTTTATATGATTATATGTCTAATTCTGCTGGGGGAATAAAAAATCAAATTTAAGGTTTTCTATGCTGCACGTATTAACATATTATGTAGGTATTATGCTACTTATGGTAGTTTAGTTATAAGATTGAGTACAAGATGGTTATTACATTTTAGATTACCTTTTTTCATACAAGTTTCTGGTGTTGTACAAAAACACTTTTCATCTGCATTTTTGGACTGGTCTCCTAGGCCCGCACTGTATAATCCTACAGGTATTCCGTTATATTTTTCTTTCTGTACAAATTTTGCAACTAAAGATCTGTAAGACAAAAAATTGTTAAGTAATCTGAAATTCCTCATAGAATGTAGATATTCGGAAGAGTTGAAATTATATAGTCATAATGTACTTTTTAATAAGTACTATACAGGGTGAGTCTTACATAAGTTCAAATATTTTTAGGGGCAGTATATTTCGACCCCAGAAACACGTCTATGAGTTTTTTTTGGCAAAATAAAAAAAATGATTTTTTTTTAATTTTTAGTTAAAAAATGTGATATCTTCATAATTATGGCAACATAGATAGATTAAAGTTATAAGAAAAAACAGAAAAAGACCCAGTCTTTCTCAAAATTTAAGCAAAAAATATTTTTTTTTATTTACCAAGTAAGATATCTGGGTTATTTTGGACTTAACCTAACCAACCCTGAAAATATTTGTACTTATTTAAGACTCACTCTGTATAACAATTTTATTTTTATAAACAATTTTGTCTTTTAACTCAGGCATTACACTTTAAAAATGTTTTAGAAATTATTATATCAAATTCAAAGATCAAAGTTGTGTAATTCCTTATTTAATGACCAGCTGAAATGATCAGTAAATTTAAAATAATATAATAAATACTTAATATTTTTTAAAAAAGTAGGTAATAAGTTACTCATTTTTATTAATTTTCTAATTTTGTTTCACAAATTCGATTTACTCAGGTACCTGGTACCTATATCTAGTCCGCATCTCTATTTTTTTAAGTCAGTTTTTCAGCTAATATGGAAGAACTTAACATGTAAAATAAAAATTCATACATTTACGTGCATTTAATTTTTATATTTTGTTTACTTTACATTTTATTGTCTTTCTTGTCTTACTACATAAACTTTTTTATTTAAAAAATACTTAATAACGAACTGTTTGAGCGAAAAAAGAAAACAATGAATAATTTCTGCCGGTTTTTGAATTTTGAATTGATATAAAAACTTGCAGAAACTTAATTACTGATTAAACTTTTATGTTTTTTTTTATTTGAATATTAATTTTTAACAAGTGTTTAAGTCAGTTTTTAATAAATGTAATGCAAGCATTGATCCAAAAGAAATGATCATCGATAGTTATTTGTTTTACAAACTTTACAGTGACGTGGTTTTATTGAAAGCATTATTTGAACAAACTCGCATTTTAGTTCATTACGTTGTTTAAATTAATAACAGCAATGATGTAAAAAATTGGGTTTACCAACTTATTTTTTATTTTTATTTTTAATCGATATACCTGGTTTATTACAAAAATTAGAAATTGTTATCTATTTTTTAGCCGACCATACCAACAGGTATGGTAGGCTATTAAGATCGGCAAAAAAAAATTTCTTTAATTTCACTCAAAATGAGTTATTTGGGTCATAAATGACCTAAATACAAAATATTTTTATGGTGTCTGTCTGTCCGTCTGTAACACGATAACTCAAAAACCGCTAAACCGATTTTAACCAAATTTGGCACAAAAATACTGTGGCACCCGAGAATCTGGCCATTAGTTTTTGGCGGGGGTGGGGGGTTTGGTACGGGGTATGGGAGGGAATTAAAAATTTTAAAATTACAGTAGCTATTACAGTAATTTCAAAATTACAGTAGCTAGCGAAACAAGATTAGGAATAATATTTGCAACAAAATTTGTAATAATAACATCAAAATCAGTCAAAGTCGCAGTGTTTGAGATAAAAAAAATTGGAAAAATTCCTTTACTTTGAAACTAAAACAACTGCCTACCAACTTTTTATTAACATATTTTAGTATGGACGCCGGCTGTATATCAGAAACTACTTATCGTATAACTTTGGGAAAAAAATTCTAATCAGTACATCGACCAAGAGAAATCGCTGGAAATTATTTTCAAGTTTGAAAAATGTCCGCTGGAGGGCGTTTCTCTGATAGCCAATCAGAAAACAGGGTTTTTCTCAAAAATATACAGGTGAACAAGTATTTTAAATATTACTATTGTAATCATCGAGAAATTTGTAATTTTTTTGATATAGATTGTTTTGCTCTATCTTTTAAAATAAAGTGGTGGGGGAAGGTTAAACTAGCTTTTATTAAAATAAGGATAACTCTGGTTTGAGTTAACCGATTTAAACAAACTAGGGCTCGTTTAGAAGAGCTTTTGTTTAATAATATCCAGTGTAAATTTTGTTTCCATAATTTTTTTCGTGGTAGCTAGAGGGCGCTGTTTGACATCATAACAGATATTGCGCTTTTGCATAAAAAATTTAAATAGGAGGCTATATCTCTCTTTGCACAATTAAATAGAGCACAAAATGTCCAAAATACCAGCGCAAACCGCAACTTTCTATCTTGTCTCTAACCGGAGATATTAAGAGAAAAAATCATGTTAAGCTGCCGCTTGGTCGCAAACAAAAAGAGGTAAATTGTTTACGTCAAAATATCAAAACGTATATTTTAATTTCATTTTAATACCATTTAATTGTTATTTATTCATGATCGTTCTTAATTGGACCTCACATATTAAAACCCAGGCATATTAACAGCTGGCCACAGAAATATGCCGCTTCAGCGTCTCTATCTACTAAAGTAAGTCGTATCCAAGAAGTCCCACACATTCCTAGCAGAAAAAGCGACCAAGCTGCACCAACTGCATCATCTACACCAACTGCATTCATGCTGATGAAATTGCAATAATTGCAATTTCATCACGATGGATCCCCTAACAAAATTGGCAATTAATCTCTTAGAAATTATTGATAGTTCATTTTATTCAGATAATTAAAAAAGTCCAATTATTCGCCATCCTAGAATTCCTGCCTAAACATGTACCGACCAACGGTCTTGGTGCTGAACTACTTGCATTTAAGGTAGATTTGGACCAGTAGTGCATATTGTTAAGATTAACAACTTCGGATCTATATGAAAAGTGACCCAAACGACATAAACTTTATAGTATAATAATAAACAACACAAACAACAGGTAAAACACGAAAACAAGTGAAATCAAGGACGAATTTGGATTAACAGCTAAATGACGTTACATGATATAAACCCCTAGTTTTCAGCCATACGAAATTTGTTATTGTTAAAAGCAATATGGCGGCACAAAATTCCTAGAAATTTTTAAAAAATTATTGATTGTCCGATATATGGTCATTTTAATCTGACCTACATATAATTAACCAAGAAATTCGTAAAAATTATGTGAATGGACGATAATGTTACATAAACATTATAAACATGGACGATAATGTTACATTAAAAATTTATGTCATTTTTTTAAAGAAAACGCCCGAAATTCAAATCATCAAAACTGAACTTAAACGTTTTGATCTTTTGACGTAACCAATTTAGCTCTTTTTGTTTCCTAGCCTACTACTCTCATTTTTAGACCATATAATCCTAAGCGGCAGCCTAACATGATTTGTTCTCTTAATATCTCCGGTTAGAGACAAGATAGAAAGTTACGGTTTGCGCTGATATTTTCAAAATTTTGTGCTCTATTTAACTGTGCAAAGAGAAATAGAGCCTCCTATTTATATTTTTTTATGCAATATATCTGTTATGATATCAAACAGCGCCCTCTGGCTATCACGAAAAAAATTATGTAAACAAAATTTATACTGGATATCATTAAGGAAGAAAAGCTCTTTTAAACGAGCCCTAGTTTGTTTAAATCGGTTAACCTAAACCAGAGTTATCCTTATACACTCTATATCAAAAAAATTACAAATTTCTCGATGATTACAATAGTAATATTTAAAATACCTGTTCACCTGCATATTTTTGAGAAAAACCCTGTTTTCTGATATCCGAGAAACGCCCCCTAGCGGACATTTTTCGAACTTGAAGATAATTTCCAGCGATTTCTCTTGGTCGATTTACTTATTAAAGTTTTTCTCCCAATGTTATACGATAAGTAGTTTCTGAGAGAAAGCCGACGTCCATTCTTAGTTGGCCACCCGGTACGTGCCTCCCGGCGCCATTTTTTTTTAAATTTTTTATTATATTTTTAATATTTTATTTCTTACCTACATAGATCTGGTGCAAATGATGCTAAACCCTGTTCTTTTGTCATCAAAGGTGGAAAGATCGTACCGTCAGTACCACCGATTTTGTCACATTCTGATACATTCCAAATCGCTTGTTTTGGTTGGCCATCGAAAGTTATGATTCTACCGACGTCTTGGTAGTTTTTCACACCTCTGTATGCCTTAATTCGTTTACCAGGCGTAGCATTTTTCTACAAATAAGAACATGCCTGTTTAAAGCAAAATAAAACACTAAATCACCATAATACACCAAAACACTTTTGCTTTTACACTAGACGCGCGTTTAGCTAATCATGTTAGTATCATCAGCAGATGATTACAACTGAGTTTTATTCCTAGTTTTAATCATCTGCTGATTGGTGATGCTAACATGGTTAGCGAAGCGCGCGTCCGATGTAAAAGTAAAAGTGTTTTGGTGTGTTGTGGTGATTTAGTGTTTTATTTTGCTGTTGTAACACCAAAGGTTCCAACCCCCAACTGAAATATTGAATTATGTGAATTTTTGTATCGCTTATGGCGTTTTTCAGTTGAAAATAAATGATGAAGAGATTTTATAAAAAGTTTGTTATTTTAACACTGTTTACAATATATTCAAACTTGTAAACAAACAATTTTCATTCATTTTCAATAAATTAATAAGAACGGACATAAAAATAAAGTAAAACGCATTTTTACGAATTTTTGACAACAGAAATATAACTTCCCTAAGAAACCTATAGAAATTAAAAACATTTTATGATAACTGAAATGTGAAGCTAAAGTTATAAAAATATATTATTTTCAACAAAACTGCAAACCTTGAATGCACAGGGTGGATCATTTTGGTTGTTTCTATAGGATATCTAGGAAACCGTAAGAAATATTCAAATTTTGATACTGCAGTCTCGGGTTCTTTTTTTGAAAAAATAACAATGACGCAAACGGATCGTGGCTATCTTGATCGGTTTCGAAGCTACAGGGGGATTCTCAAATTTTGTACTTTTTGAAGATGTTCGATAGTTTGTTTATTTCAGCGACCACGAAAAAATGAATTATGCATTCTAAAGGAACTTTTCTGTGTAGGATGCAGTGGCGTAGTCAGACTTTTCTCGAAAAAAATATTTTTTTAGATATTAACTATACTTATGTTTTTTTAAATAGAACCTCCTGTATATTTTTAAATTTCCTGATTCAGCTTGGCATGGGCTTTTCGAAAATATAAACACTCTATATTTATTTGCACTATTAACCTCAACATTTCATATTTTTCTTAAAATATCCAGTTAGTAGCAGGCCGCGCCGAGTAACAAAGTAAACGGTTGTCATGGTGATCGGAAGATACCTTTGATGGATGCGTGACATTTCATTTCAACAGATTGAAGTGTGTGTATTTTAAATAATAAAAATAAGTAAATTTAAAAATTTTGAGAAATATAATATGTTAAAATGTTATATTGAGTCTAACAAACATAAGCAAATGGCAGCTGATTTATCCTAAGCGCGAGCAACCAACCCCAGCCATTTTTAAAAGGTTAAAAATAGTTTAATCCTAGCCGTCTAGATCACCTGATACTCACCCCTTAAACTTTTTCTGGGGCTTTCTAAAAACGAAATTTATCGAAATGCAGATAGAATATTTAGAAGAATTACAAAGAGAAGTTTTGTTGTGGCTTTGGGCAAAGTGTAACAAACATATACATTCGAAATGCTGTTAGCGGCGCCGGCGGGGTGCGGAGACGGTGCCAACCTTGTCTAGATAATAATAGGTAGCAGTTTGAACATTTAATGTAGTCTTTGTGTTTTTATTTTTTTTATGCTACCTGAGAAGCGCTATTGAAGTAACCTGTTGAGTTTGTATTAAAATATGTTCTTTTGTTTCTGTCACACTTATTTTTTATATGCATCGTATTGTTCGATTTTATTTAATTGCTAATACATGGGGTAAAGCCGGAGTCTCATGCATCCGAAATCCGATGACACGACGATCCGACGGTGCTCCTATTGGTCGAAATATGTCGACACCAATTTTTATCCGATATTTTTAACTAATTGTCCGACGTCGTATAAAGTTAAATTTTGTTTAACTTTTGTACGATATCGTGTGTTTTTTAACATCACTTTTTTTGAAAACATTGGTTTTTAAAATCAAGTTTAGTGGGAAGTGGGCAATTTCGGGATATTTGGCGAGGAAGTTATTTTTATAAGTGTTTCTCCAATAATACATGTAATAATACATAATAATAATACATAGGAATGACAGGTCTAAATATCAAAACTGTCAAATTTCCGAACGAACTTTCGGATATATGTGACAGGCTTTTTTTATTTCACACGATAACTTCAAATTTCGGATGTCGTACCATCGGATTTCGGATGCATGAGACTCCGGCTTAACTTGAAAGTAGATATTCGCTTGTTCTTTGGCATGACCTACCAAAAGGAAAGTCGATATCTTTAAATAAATTGGAATGTTAAAGTTAATAGTGAAAATAAATATATAATGTTATATATTTTAGATATGCCAAGCTGAATCAGGAAATTTAAAAATATACAGGGGGTTCTATTAAAAAAAACATAGGTATAGTTAATATCTCTTTACTTATTTTTTTATTATTTAAAAGGCACACGCTTCAATCTGGTGAAATGAAATGTCACGCATCCATCAAAGGTATGTTCCGATCACCATGAAAACCGTTTAAGGCTGATTCATGGTACACCGTGACGGGCCGGGGCCGTGCGACGGTGAAGGCACGGCCAAATATTGTCAAATGTTATTTATACGTATGCATTCATGCTAAGCCGAGCACGGGCCGAGCTTCGCCAGAGCGCGTCCGTGCCCCGTCCGTGCCCGGCTCGGGTACGGCCCGGTGTACCATGAATCAGCCTTACTTTGTTACTCGGCGCGGCCTACTACTAACTGGATATTTTAAGAAAAATGTGAAATGTTGAGGTTAATAGTGAAAATAAATATAGAGTGTTATATATTTTCGAAAAGTCCATGCCAAGCTGAATCAGGAAATTTAAAAATATACAAATATCTATTTAAAAAAAACATAAATATAGTTAATATCTAAAAAAATATTTTTTTCGAAAAAAGTCTGACTACGCCACTGCATTCTACACAGAAAAGTGCCTTTAGAATGTATAATTCATTTTTTCGTGGTTGCTGAAATAAACAAACTATCGAACATCTTAAAAAAGTACAAAATTTGAGAATCCCCCTGTAGCTTTGAAACCGATCAAGATAGCCACGATCCGTTTGCGCCATTGTGATTTTTTCAAAAAAAGAACTCGAGACTGCGTTATCAAAATTTGAATATTTCTTACGGTTTCCTAGATACCCTATAGAAACAACCAAAATGGTCCACCATGTACAGGGTGGGTCAAATTCGACGCTTTTAAATGGAAACACCCTTTTCTATAGGAGATAGACAAAAACTAATATCGGTGTCTGGAGCTCAATTTTTGTCAAAAACATGATGGTGAAAACCGCATATCGATATCTGTTACCGTTTCGGAGTTACGGTTACGGAGTTTTTCAAAAATATGCATTTTTAACAAATCGCTGTAACTTTTTTGCTATGGAAAATTTTGTATTTTTATGAAAACATTTCCAAAGCCCCTTTTTACGTAGAATTTAATGGTTTAAGTATAATTTTTTTTAAATTAATAATTTAAGAATTATCTACAGAAAATTTGATTTTTTATATGGGACACCCTGTATATTTTTAATTTATTGAAAAGAATTTAAAACTACCTTTCCAAAAATATAACACACTTGATATTTTCCTCGATTCCTCTTCGAGATATAGAGTATATAAAAATTCGCCCGCTTTTAAATAAGTAGGCTTTTAACGGCACCGGCTGTAATGCAAAAAATTCTAGCTGTGAACATCAATTAAAACGAAAATAATACTTGCTATAAAAGATGCAGAATTTTATAACAATTTAAAATGTATTTAACCAACATCAACATATTTAAACTATATCTATAAACTATGCATTATATGTATATTTAAACTGTAATCTACAATAAAAATAAATAGCAAACCAAGACATGAGATTTTGCTACAGGTGTTTGACATATGGACCGTCTTCTGTTGTGGACAGACGGGGCAGTTTTTGAAAATTTCTCGGGGAATTCATTAACTCAGTGGGGGTGAAAGATACCCTCTTATAACTGCTAAGTATTTTTAATTCTTGTCTAGATTATACGGAAGAATAAGGAACCTTTATTCTTCCGCAAATACGAGTATATCCATAGGATTAGATCCATGGGCAGTCAGGCGGCCTCGACGGCCAACGGCTGGGGTCTTGGTTAGCTATCCAATTATTCTTGAAATTGGCTGCAAAAATTTGCTGATAACTTCAGCGTTCAGAGGCGGTGTGTCGTCGTTTTGCTGGAAAAATATGTTTTCGAATTCCATACATATCATCAATAAGTGGTCCAAAGCCTACTAGTTAAAAGTGGCGAACATATAAAAATTCTGTATTTCGAAGGGGATTATAACAAAATATCAAGTGTGCTATATTTTTGGAAAGGTAATTTTAAATTCTTTTAAGTTAATTAAAAATATAGAGGGTGTCCCAAATAAAAAATCATTTTTTCTGTTGATAACTCTTAAATTATTAATTTTAAAAAAATTATACTTAAACCATTAAATTCTACGTAAAAAGGTTCTTTGGAAATGTTTTCATAGAAATACAAAATTTTCCATAGCAAAAAAGTTACAGTGATTTCTTAAAAATGCACATTTTTGAAAAACACCCCGTAACTCCGAAACGGTAACAGATATTGATGTGCAGTTTTCACCATCATGTGTTTGATAATAATTGAGCTCCAGACACCGATATTAGTTTTCGTCTATCTCCTATAGAAAGGGTGTTTCCATTTAAAAGCGTCGAATTTGACCCACCCTGTACACATACATAACTTTTTAAATACAGTTCATGCTAATATAGGATCTGCATTTGCCGCACATGGATCGTGCACATTTGATTCATGAGATTTTTGTTTTTTGTAATTTCTTCGTTGACATATGGTTGACATATACCACACCTCTTTCTTTTCTGGTATTGATTATTCAATTTTCTCTCTTCTATAAGTAAGAGATTCAGAATCGGAGTTATGGTTACTTTTCGGAGAAAAATCAGTGTCTCGATGATCTTCATTTCACTTAAGCCTCTTTATTCAAACCACTCAATTAATGCTTCCTCAAAATTAGCGTCCCAGTGAGGCACACTTTTTAGACTACCCACCATCCTAATAAAGAAATATTCTCGGCGTGGTGGTGCCACACAGACCCCAATGAAACTTTGGCCGCCGCTGGTAGGAACAATACTTGATAAAATCAAGTGCGCCCTTAACAGTTGCATATTGGTACCCTAACTTAAAGGTAAATGGCGCGGCGAGGCCTAATTCTTAAACGTAAACATTTTACTGAAGTTTAAATAGTGCTTGGGGTCCGCTAGACCCCACCACGCCAGTTAGGGTTAAACAGAAAAAAAAACAGCAACATTGGACATTATTTTCTACAGCGAGCTACGTCATCGAGGGCGGGATTATTATTTTATTATACAGGGTGGCGTCTCTCATACGTCGCGGAAGATCCAAGGAGAACGGTACTTTATATCAAAATGAAATTTTTGCAGCATATGTAGGTTAAGTGAAAGCATTTTATAAAAATATATTGAATTATACAGTCTCCCCAAAAAAAGTTACACATCAAAGTTGTGTTTTTTCTAATGGAACACCCTATATATTCATTGATTTTCGGATTCTAGGAAAAAAATTAAGGTGAGTTTTATTAAAGAAGCATATACCTAAAATCTAAGGATTTTGACATATTTCACATTTTGCGAAAAATGAAGAGTAAATTTTAAATTTCGATAACAGAGCTACCGAAATTTTAGTTGACCTTGTATAGCCTAATATTTAATTACAGTAACCATTGTATGTTAAACCAAATTGAAATTTGACCCGAAAAGTTATACAGAGTGAGACAAAATTAATATGGAACATTAGTCACTTTTAAAAGCAAGTTAGTCCTTTATTTGAAATGGAACACCCAGTATATTTTTCTGGTGTTCAATAGGGAATTTATATATCTTCAAAATATTATCAAGGTTGCGTACCCCTCAGACAAAAAATTTTCCAGATATTTTAATTTTTATGATTTTGCGTCAGTAAATCTTTATTATTTCAAAAAATCTAGGTGGCTGTGTGACATACCTTTTGTTAACTTAACAAAAATTAAAGATTGTATAGTAAAATACTCAAGGGTGATAAAAAGATACACGTTTAAAACACATTTTAACTATTACAGAATTAAAACTAGATATAAACCTATAATTATGCGACAAAAATTAGCTAGATGAAATCAAATGCTCAAAATGCTTCCTTTCCTGTTAACTGCAGAAAGTGATTGTCTTTTCAAAAGGATCTTTTAATTTTAAAAGGCATGTGGAGTTCTACCTTGAAAAGCAGCTACAATATTTTTTCTCATGTTGTCTACACTAGTTGGTTGAGTTTTGTAAACACTGTCTTTAACATATCCCCATAAAAAAAATCAGACTAGATAAAATCAGGACCATTAAGTATTCTATTAATTTGTGAATGTACAGTGCATTCACAGTACACATGCACCAACTAACAGAATCATATCAATCCCTCTGATGCACTCTGATGTAGGATAAGTTTGCATTTTCGGCAAATTTCTGAGAAATTTTTTTGTTTTAACTGACACAAAATGATAACTAGTTGTTAAAATTGGACTAATTAGACAGCTATGTTGAAGTAACGTCAGACATATCACAGCCACCTGATTTTATCAAATAATAAAGATCTACTCGGATCAAATCATGTAAATGAAAATATCTAGGAAAATCTTTATTTGAGGGGTAGGCAACCTTAATAGTATTTTGGAGAGACATAAATTCTCCATTGAATATCGGAATAATATAGTGGGTGTTCCATTTAAAATAAGACAGTAACATGCTTTTAAACGTGATCAATGTTCAATATTAATTTTCTCTCATCCTGTATAACTTTTTGGATGAAGTTTTAATTTGACTTAAAGTACAATAGTTACTTTAACTATATATTAGGCTATATCGGGTAAATTCCAATTTAGGTAGCTTTTATTGTAATTTAAAAATTGTTCTTTATTTCTACAAAATGTTAAATATGTCAAAAATCTTACATTTTAGTGATATAAAAGAGTCTTATAAAACGAGTCTTATAAAAACTCACCTTTATTTTTCTCCCAGAATCCAAAGATCAATTAATATATAGGGTGTTACATTACCATTACAAAAAACACAACTTTGATATGTAACTTTTTTTGGAGACACTCTGTAGAACTCTCTATATTTTTAAAAAGTGCTCTGTATTAACCTACATATGCTCACAAAATTTTATTTCAATACAAACTGTCGTTCTCCTTGGAGCCTCCGCGGCGTATGTGAGGCGCCACCCTGTACAACTTCTAAAATATACTTACTGCTCCTATCAGAGAAAATGCCACGTCATTCTCATTTACCATCTTTAAAGATGGTTCGCTCTTCAAGTTCGTGCAAACAGCTTTACCGGCGAAATCACTAACTCCGCAATTGATAACAATGCCATCAAACAACAAATCCTTTGCCTTAACCGTGACAAAAATCGATGTTGGATTCGACCAAATTGATTTAATGGCCTTGTTAGTTAAGGTTAATGCTCCTGGTTTTAATCTGGACACAGCATTTACCATACCCTATAAATTTTACGTGTTTTTAGAAGATTATTATGCATTAGTAGAGATTGAAAACGTACCAGTATCATAGGATGGGCTATGGTAAGTTCGGTATTGTCATCAACACAATCGGGCCCATCTGCTTTGTAAAATGTATCAACTGGATCGTAGCTCATCGAGTCTTCTGCCTCGTTATCCTCTAAGTTTATTTTTGATTTCCACTCCCTACAGTAAGCAGAATATAGAATTCTGATTCTACTCCAACAATACTAATAGTTAGAATAATAGTAATAGCCTTGTTAATATATATACAAGGGTAATAGTTAGAAGTGCAAATATTTTCAGGGGTGGTATATTTCGACCCCAGGAACACGTCTATGAGGTTTTTTTCGCAAAAAAAAGATGTTGAAAATCCCACGGTATAATTTCTTAATCTCTGATATTACCATAGTATAAGGAAACTAGTAGCTTTACTCCTTGCCAAATCCTTTGTTCTTTTTCTGCCACTTTATATGACCTTGTTCTCGTGTGCCGTGACCATTAACGTAGCTGTATAGTCGTGATCTATAACTAGGCAAAGTATAGTCGTGGCACTCGCCATAGTTTCACAGAGATGTATTTAGGAAAATATGAGTTCACAATAAAATAAAATAAATGATCATCGAGTAAAAATTTGCTTGAAAACAGAATATTTTCACATTTCGTGTAAGTAACAATTCTTCTGTAAATTACAGTTGAGGGTTGGAACCTTTGGTGTTACACAGCAAAATAAAAACACTAATCACAATACACCAAAACACTTTTACTTTTACACTGGACGCGCGTTTCGCTAACCATGTTAGCATCTTCAGCAGATGATTATAAACTCTTAGTTTATCTCTCAGTTTATAATCATCTGCTGATGATGCTAACATGGTTAGCGAACTGAGAGACACTTTTACTTTTACACTGGACGCGCGTTTCGCTAACCATGTTAGCATCATCAGCAGATGATTATAAACTCTTAGTTTATCTCTCAGTTTATAATCATCTGCTAATGATGCTAACATGGTTAGCGAACTGAGAGATAAACTAAGAGTTTATAATCATCTGCTGATGATGCTAACATGGTTAGCGAAACGCGCGTCCAGTGTAAAAGTAAAAGTGTTTTGGTATATTGTGGTGATTTAGTGTTTTTATTTTGCAATTCTTCTGTATCTGAAAATCTTCTGATGGGAAGAAATACGAAAAAAATATATAATGACATATTTTTATATTATTATCTATTTCAAAGATTTTCTACAACTTTTTTTTAATTTTTTCAACAAGTTTAATTTTAACATTAATGTTGTTTTATAGTAATATCTTGGTTAGGTGATTTTCATTGGATAACTAATACATTGAACAAGGCCCGGTTCTTTGATATCTCAAAAGAACCGGGAATTTCCGGTTCTGAACCCTAGTTACCATATGATCAAGAAATTATTTTTTTAACTAAAAACAAAAGAATTCCCAGATTTTTTTTTTCAAAAAAAATTGCGCAGAAAAATCCTCATATTTCTGGGGTCAAAATACGGGCAATTCACGGATATGGTACGTTATAACGTTTCCGGAATCGGAGCTGTTTTTCGGAACCGGTAATTTCGGTACCATGCTTCTAAGGAACCGGGATTTCCAGCTTTTTCCGGTACTTACCGTACTAGCAAATTTTTGTTCAATGATGGTGCAGTTCGTTAAACAGCAAGCAAGGGATGGTTGTCAAAAGTAAAATCGACAAAAAAATTGAAGTTTAAATGAGAATAATATCAAATTATTAAGTAGTAATCAGTCATGAGAAAATTAACCTGAACACAAACATGATCACAAATGACTCTCAAAAAAAACTCAAAGCACAATTTTTTGAATTATTACTACAACCAATACCAGCACACAGTAAGGCACTCATTTTTTGTCAATCCGTCTCTGTGCAGGGACGCAACGCTCGAACCTCGCAAGTCGACAGACGGAACTCAACTGAAACGCTCTGCAATCTGCCGATATTCGACAGATTGTAAAAACTGGCAGAAAATATTTGGGAGAGTGCAACTACTCTTTTCCTTCTACTATGATTATAATGAAGAAATGACGGCTGATGTTTTTGAAGATTACTTTTCCGAAATTATAACATTACTTCCAAAACTCTGTCATTGTTATGGACAACGCCAGTTATCATCCGAGATTAGTAGAAAAACTACTTAAATTAATATTTATTGGAGGAAAGGTGGCATTATAATCAATAAATAATAATATTCCCTGTTTTCTTACTCGTAACAGAAAGGTCCCACTTCCTTAACTCGTGGCATTCCCCCATTTTCAATTTCTTCTGGATTCAACACAGTAAAAACATAAACCTTAAAGCTGAGACCAAATGGGACTTTGACGAACATATCCCTCAAATCGTTGCCTGGCTTCAAGTTCACCATCTATAAAATAATAATAGAAGAGATAATTATATAGTATTACAGAAATTATTATGTACCAAATTTTCGTGTCTTCATTATTAAAGATATTATTTTTTTAATAATGATTTTATAATTTTGTTATTACTGTTGAAATGTATTATTTTTTAGGTCTCGGTGCCAGTACTTGTGCCGTTTAAAGGTCGTGAATAATAAACGATAAAAAAAATAAGTAGTTTTTAATTAACCATTAATCATAGGTTGGGTTGAAAACGAAAAATTAAATACTCCCATATGTGATTTTTTTTACATAATTTCTTTTATTAATTACACCTAAAAATAGTTAATTAAATTTGGTATACATGTAATTATAATATGCCCCATTAATTACAAAGAGAAAAACATTTAATTTATATATTTGAGAAATAACGAACTAATATTTGACCTACAGTATTACACACATATTTTTTATTTTGTACTTTGTATATGTATCGCAAAAGCTATTCTTATTATTAACATTTTAAGAAAAATGTTCCATAAAAAAATGTGTTTGTTCTAAAATGGTTAATCTCGTTAATACATTTCCAAATTTCCATAAAGTTTTAGAGAAATTTAGAAAAAGCTTTAACGCCTATTTTTGGCTGATTTAAAAATGTTAAATAAGCACAAAATTTACTTTTTTCCATAGCAACTGTTAAAATTGCCTTATATCTATCAAAAATAGTAGATAAAATAGTACTTTAGCCGCAAGCGTAGATTAAATGATAGTTTAACAGCAAGGATAGGTTAAAAACTTTATTTTTTCTCGCACGTTTTTTAATTATTGCTTCCATTTTTGAAAATGTTTGTATTCCTTTTCATAAGTTATTCGGGATTTAAATGGAAGTACCGTATGATCGAATAAAAATGGCGTCAGCGATGGCTATGAAATGAAGATCGCTGTCATTTTATATGTAAAATTATATGGGAAATGTCATCGATCGTTATTTCCAAGCCAACTGGACGCCGTTTTTTTTCGATCATACGGTAGTTTGGAATATGGCGTTTGTCGCCTCAGCCTGAATATCTGTTGGTAATTTACTTATTTCATTTTGAGCCATTTCTGGCTCCAATTCAATCAGCAATCAACACGAAAGACAATTAAAAAATTTTGACCATAGTATTGACTCAAAACTGACAACTAAAGAGACTGCTTTATTTATTTGTCAAATTACATAGAAACCAACGCCAACTCGGCACAATATTTTTTCTACTCCTAATAAATTCCTTGAAATAATTATTTCTGAATATTTTTTAAAACGTAACTCGCTATAGAAAAAATATTGTTTTATACACGACGAAAAAATTGTATTATTGTTTCCCGAAATTAATTCACTAATTTTTTGGGTCGACGATAAAATACCATTTTATCGTCTTGTATAACAAATAACTATAGTTTAAAGCTATATATAAATAGTTTAGCTACGGAAAGGGTGATAATAGTTCTTTGAGAATGTGATATTTAAATATCAGCAACAAATATGACGTTAATCAAAATTAAAATTTATGATCTTCTTCTTCTTACAGTGCCATACTTTGTATAGAGCGTCGGCTACCTCTTGCATGCACTTGTGATGTGTGTCATCAGTGTTTCACAAGCACACGGGACCTACAGTTTATTACCGAATCCGAACACTATTGAGAGGCTGTACAGGGTGTCCCATTTTGGTTGAAATCATACGGTATCTCCGTTATTAGTGAAGATAGAAGGGTGCGGTTTGCACAAACCTGTCTCACTTTTTTGTCAAACGGAAGATGCCGTAAACAAAATTTTCATAGCCCTCTTCGTTTCCGAGCTACAGGGTCTTTTTGAAAGTTTTGCAATTTGGGACACCTCCTGTATCTCTGTTATTGTTAAAGCTATCGAGAAGGTGAAAATTGTTTATTGTAGAACATTTTACGTAGAATACAGTGGCGTAGTCTGTTTTTCTACCAAAAAAATATTTTTGAAAATATGAACTAAAGTTATGTTTTTTTAAATGGAACACCCTGTATATTTATAAATCATATGATCTGTCTTGCCATAAGCTTCTCAAAAATATATATCACTCTATATTTATTTTCACTATTTACTGCAATATTTAAAAGTTTTTATTAAAAGATCATATTTATTAGTAGGCCATGATTGATAATAAAAGAAACTAAAGAATTATTAAAAGTATACTGCTATCTGTCTCTTGTTTTATTTTGGGAGCCGCTAATAAATTCTTTATATATTAGGGAAACTTAACTCTCTACCGCTATTTGTAAATCTTGGAATACGTGTATACGTAAGAATAATCTATCGTATCGGAAATTTTAGATATTCCTTTAGCTAATTTACGTGAAATATACTTTCAGCAAGATGGGGAACATTCCCCCTCATAACTATGGAAATATTAGAATACTGTTAAATTATTATTTTTCAAATCAATGAATTGGAACCAATGAACGCATATTGATAGCCTCCTCGATTCCCGGATTTCGCCGTTCTCGATTTCTGATTTTGGGGATTTTTGAAATACGAAATATATCGTGGGCACTACAACAATGTCGAACACCTGAAAAATGCTTTAATAATTCAAGATTTAGATATTTGCAAACCCATCCCGTTATAAAAAAAAGAAAAATATATTCACAGTTTCAGTGGTAACAGTTATTTCAAAAGTAAAATATATCAATCCCAAATAAATTTTAATATGTGTATGACTATTTTAGTAAATACCATTTTGATTTTTTGTTATTTATCACGGCCGACTAATAAGAAAATGATATATTTTAAATATTGCAGTAAATAGTAAAAATAAATATAGAGTGATATATCTTTTTGGAAGCTCATAGCAAGACCGATCATATGATTTATAAATATACAGGGTGTTCCATTTGAAAAAACATAACTTTAGTTCATATTTTCAAAAATATTTTTTTGGACAAAAAAACAGACTATGCCACTGTATTCCACGTAAAAAGTTCTACAATAAGCAGTTTTCGCCTTCTCGATACCTTTAACAATAACAGAGATACAGGGGGTGTCCCAAATTGCAAAATTTTCGAAATAACCCTGTAGCTTAGAAACTAAGAGGGCTATGAAAATTTTGTTTGCAGCATCTTCCGTTTGACGAAAAAGTGGGACAGGTTTGTGCAAACCACACCCTTCTATCTTCACTAATAACGGAGATACCCTATGATTTCAACCAAAATGGGACACACTGTACAAGGCGAATATACCCAAGGTGGTTTGCCATTGCCTTCCTTGAGGTGGCGGCTCGTTGGTCGCTCTATTTAGATAAATAAATATTTTTATTTAAATAAATAAAGCGACCGTACTGGCTGGGGATCGAAACCAGTACCTTCCGCTCCGCAGATCGACACACTAACGCTGGAGCTACGACCGGTCACATATTACATATTTATGATACAAACCTATAAACTATCTATTAAAGAACGAAATCGAAATAATAGTACCATTGAAAGGCGTTTTGATTTTTAGGACTTAAAGGAAATAATTCTACTACATTTTCATGTTTAAAAAGCTATAGAAATTTGAAAACATAAGCGGGATCAACCAGTTTAGAACAAGCAAAATTTTTATGAGGAATGCATTTTTCTCAAAATATCAATAGTAACAAAGTTTTTCTGTTTCTGTACTAAAAAAGTCTCTTTCATTTTTCGTTTAGAGGCTATCGCTTCTTTCATAAACATTTTTTTCCTCTTGTAAAGAGAGACATACCTCTTCAAGTTTCCGTAGAAAATGCATTTTCTATAATTTAGACCTCATTTATCACTATACCCATGGAATATTGACATTTTATATTATTTTTAAATGTAGCAACAAATTTTCAAGAGTACAGATACTAATATTATCGATATAGTTCGCTTATTTCATTAAAAAATAAAAAAAAACTGTTTAAATATTTTTTGTTAAAAAGGACTAATTAGTATGATTCCAGTGACTATAGATTATAGTGACTATATTAATTGACTGTTTATATTATTAATTGACTGTTTACGTTGATTAATAATAATCGCTCCAAATACTAAAAAACTGAATTTTGTATGTGTATTAGAAAGTGTGGTAAAAAGTAGCACCTTATAAATTTTATTTAATTTTTTGACGAATGGTTATTTATAACAACAGAGACGTTCATTTTCATAACTTACTATTATATTGATTTCTGAGTCAAATCCACTGAGAAATAATGCTGGTATATTTAATTGGTATACTCTTTTAAAAATATTTAAATAGTTTTCTTTTTGTAAACAAATGGGCTTGGATAATTATTATACTTATACCACCTATACATTTTGTACATATTATATGTTGCTTTAAAAAATCTAAAATATCAATATTCGATGGGTATAGTCAGGGGTGGATGGGGAAGTGGAAACCGGCCCGGGAAAAACAGGCAACCGGCCCAAATCCACAAAAACAAAATGACCATAACGAAGAAACATATATTTTATTTATTAATATATAAGTAAGGGTGTTTTTCGCGAAAAAGCTCTTTTGCCTCAAGTTTTAAAAAAAAAATGTAATGATCAAAATTTTCGTAAAGACCAATATTAGGTCGGACATCTGAATTTTTACTACAAAATCGCTCAGTTTTACAGGGTTCTACTGCTTTATTTCCATTATCGATAACGGTAATTTGATCTTGAATAGGCTACGATTTTGAGTCACGATTTTGAGAAACGTTCAGCTGACCCAATCCTCTGTGAAATACATCACTTTTAGCTTTTCTTTAGGTATATACTATCTTAGACACTGTAAAAAGAAATTCTCTCTTTTCTGCTACAGCAGCAACCTCCTCGTGTACACGTGTTTTTAACTGAATGAACCGCGGTCGCCATTAAAACTGCAGCATTTTTTAGGTTATTGTATAGTTCTTATCACGAAACTTTTCCTCTATACTTTTCTACATTTGGCATCTTGTATGATAATGCCATGAATCAAACGAAAAAACCCTAGGCAATACCTAGGCAGTGGATATAAATGTGTTCGGATGTAATGCTATGTTACAGTCCATAATAAGAACATTTGGATTTTCGAGACATATTAATATTTTATTATCTAATCTAGTTTAAATCTTATTTAACTCTTCTCTGCTGTCTCAGTTATGTTTTAGCAAATTCATTTTAGCAACATTTTAAACAACAATTTAGACTTAGCTTTTAGATCTCAGACTTGGCTTTTAGTCCGTCCCCAATTCAAGCTAAGCATAGATATGGTTTCTCCGTCAACCGCAGAGTTCGCGTCAAATTCGTCTACCTTTTTACAAAAGGGGAGCTCGAAAAACATTGCACCGAGGCCCCCCCTCCAGTTGTCAATCTACGCTACCGTATTCTTAGTATACATTTAGATCGAGACTATTTAAATTTACCTAATGATAGCGTTTTGATTTTTAGGACTTAAGGGAAATGAATTCTACTACATTTTCATGTTTAAAAAGCTATAGAAATTTGAAAACATAAATATGGGATCAACCAGTTTAGAACAAACAAGATTTTTATGCGGAATGCATTTTCTCTAAAAGAATAGTGGATAAAACTATACAGGGTGAGTCTTAAATAAGTGCAAAAGTCTTTTCATTTTGGTATATTTCGACCCCAGGAACACGTCTAACATTTTTTCCCTGTAAAAAAAGATGTTAAAATCGAGCATTTTCTTTTAAAATTTCCTGTATATTTTAGAAAACTTTTTAGAACTTCCTGTTCACCGCAAATTTTCCCACGGTATAGTTTCTTAATCTCTGATATTACGGTACTAAAAGAGATGCAAATGCCGAAAAATTGGGGTGACTCAAATTTTTTTAAAAATAAATCTATTTTTTTTTAAATTTCCGGACTTAATAACTCGATTGGACTTATTATTTGAAACTGGATAAAGAGAATATGTTATGTTTATTTTATTGATATCTACCAGCCCTGAAAATATTTGCACTTATAGACTCACCTTGTATAATAAAAATTTTCAAACCGAACAAACAACAGATGATTATTAAAATTATAAGTGTCCCAGAGAAAGAAATTTTACAATAGTTATTTTACAAATTGGTGCTTATGTTTAAAAGCAACTGACGATTATACTGATGCAAATTGATTAGTTAGTTATGGATCACTAAGGATCTTACGTCACTTTAGTTAGAAGATTAACCATTTAATTTGCTAATCCAATCTTTTTTGAGCTCTGATCGAGACCGGCCCACCGGCCCATCTTTCCACCGGCCCACCGGGAATTTTCCCATTTTCCCATATGGCCCATCCACCCCTGCGTATAGTGATAAATAAGGTCTAAATTATAAGAAAATAATTTTTCTACGAAAACTTGAAGAGGTAGGTACAAATGGTTAACACAATTTGATATACAATTAAACTGTGTATCCGATTCACGTAAAATATACATGGTGTTCCATTTCAATTAAACAAGTTATTGCTGTTTAAAGCTAGTAGTTATTTAATATAAATTTTTGGACACTCTGTATAAGGTAGTATAATTTTTATTATTGAAACACAATATCTGATCAATAAATAATCTTCAGTAAATATTTAGTATCAAAAACTTTGATACCTTTGGAGAAATGAAGCCTTAAATTTTTTACTGCACTTTCACAAAATTGAAAATATTTAAAAAATGGTAAGGTTTAAATGTGATAAACCTTAATCAAATTTACGTTTATTCTAATCGTAGAATCGATTGAAAATGCAATAATATACAGAGTGTTTCATTTAAAAAAAATACAACTATATAATTTTTAACTTATTTGGGACATTTTGTATCTTGTAAAATTATCTTAAAATTGTAGCTCTAATAGTCCTTTAACAAACACAAAAATTAAAATTTGTAAAAAATCTAATCGTTTAGCTACAAATATCCCGTGTCGTATGTGGTGAACAACCCTGTATAATCACGCACTGGGAAAATGAGTACAAAAAAATCACTGGGGGACTATAAAAATGAAAATTAAAAATTAAAAAGTGCAAAAAATCTTTTAAAATATACGATAAACTTACATCTTTTATTTTTCCTTTGATCATTTTAGGAAACATGATGAATCCAACGAATATGATAAAAACCATGGCACAACCACTGCCTATAGCCAACTTGGCCGGAAACCGCATGTTACTTTGTTTTTTCTTATTTTTCAAAAACTTGAAAACTTTTACAGTTGTCACGAATCCCACTTCTACCGGACGAGAGTTTGGAAACAATACATAAAATATTTCCTTAACTTTTTTCTTAGTAATTATATTCATAAATTAAGAATACCGGAAATAAAAATATTTTTTTGTGGAAAATTAAGGCACTTTGGTGGTGTTTTTTCTAAGAAAGATAGAGGATGACTGAAAGTGGAAAAACAAATAGCTTTTGATAGGTTTACAAAGTGGAGGGGATGTCTTTACTCATCACGTACGTATACATAAGTAAAAAGTGTATCTGTCCGTCTATTGGTGTTTTATTCTTCCCAATAATCCATGCAATCATAACAGTAGCGCAACTCTTACATTTTTTTTAATAAAATACAATTTAAAAAAATATTAGTCTATGAATTTATTACTTGATAATTAATTTAATTAGTAATTTGGTTTATAATTGAAAATAAAATTAATGACATGAAATAATACCGTATGATCGAAGAAAACGTTCGGAGAATGTCATTTAATTTTTTTTAAATTAAATCTTTTTTGACTGTCTATTTGAAAATAGAAAACAATAAAAATTTTACATTTTCTTTATGACTTGCTCTATCAGTCTGTACAGGGTGTTTCAAAAAACATGTGCATGTCTGGTGGGGAAATTCCTCACGTAAATTTTTTTTTTTTTCATACATATACAGGGTGGTCCAAACTGTATTCCGGAAACTTCGGTAGCATATTCTGCAGATAAAAATAATTTAAAAATTCGTATAAATGTATGTCCTCAAATGCTTAGTTTCGGGGTTTGCTGTAGAAATTTTATTTTTATTTCGATTTTTTCCGAATACTTTCTGAAGTAAAGTCAATATTTGAATGAAAATTGGTGTCTAGAAGTTTTTTGACATGAGAAATTTGATTGTGTCAATATGACTCCTACTGGTAGAGGGCGCCACCTACATGTGTTTTAACTGTTTTGAAGCGTAATAACTTTTTGTCCGTACCTGTATAAAAATACCGAGGGAAAAATATACATCTCTGTGAAAAATAAAAAATAAACACGTTGAGTAGATAGTTATTTCACTGAAATAATAAATTTGGGAATTTTTGTTTTTTTAATAAATCATAAATTTTTCTGCAAAAAGATGGTGATAAAACTTTCTGTTGAACTTTTGGCACAAAAACTTTCAAATTTATGATGTTAGTCTAATAACTATTTAGTCAACATGTTTAATTTATGTCAATGATGACAGGTATTGATAATTTCGGTTTCAAATATCTGGAAACCCAATACTCGTAGCGGTTTTTACCAAGAGACATTTTTTACGTAAAAAAACGTCGCAAATGTATATTTTTTTACTCAGTAGTTTTATACAGGCAAATACTTCAAAGCAGTTAAAAAATATGTAGTTGGCGCCCTTTACTAGTAGGAGTCATATTGACATCAAAATCAAATTCTCAAGTGAAAAAATTTCCAGACACCAATTTTCATCCAAATATTGACGTTACTTCAGAAATTATTTGAAAAAAATAAAAATAAAAATGAAACTTCTACACCCTTATCTCCGAAACTAAGCATTTCAGGACATACAATACGAACTTTTTTACTTATTTTTATTTGCAGAATACGCTGCCGAAGTTTCCGGAATACAGTTCAGACCACCCTGTATATATAGGTCCGATTCTGCTTTGTTTTATAGCTATAGGGTGTTAAAGGCTTTAATATTTTTTCGATTTATTATAATTTTCTTCCAAGTACTTTTAGCGTTTTGAATGAAATTTTGAGGTAAAAGTTACTATAAATGCGATATATTTTAATAAAATTTTATTAGTTTTAACGAAATTTTATTAGTTTTTAGTTAATAGTCAAAATTTCTTGATAATATGGCTACATAGGTAGTAGCTGTGTTCTCTGTGGTAGTAGATTAAATTTACAAAAAAGAAAATCCAGACAAGATCCAGTGCTTCTCAAAATTTAAGCAAAAAATGTTTTTTCAAATTTTTAAAGTATAAGATCTTTCTATAATATCAAGTTTCTTTTATCGAGATCTACCAGATCTGAAAATATTTGCAGTTATTTAAGGCTTATCCTGTACACTTATTCTTTCCTTCTATCTTGTCTTCTATAGAACCAGCCGCTACTGACTATTTATATTTAATTTTTATCTTACCTTTCCAAGGTTTAAGTTACTAAACTATTCTAATATTTAGGTACATTTATTAAATTGAACTGTTTACCTGCCACTGGTCGTATACTCATAAATATACTACAAATTGCTGCTTTCCTCTATTATTATTGGCCTACGAGTATTAGCCCTTAACCTATCATTAGTCTTCCTTAAAACCAATAGGCTTGATACATGCATTTACGATTGCCTATTTTGTTCTCTCTATTCATTCCAAACGACATTAAATACCCAATTATTGAACATAATTTAATCCAGTTAGAACTGATTTATAAGTAGTATATTTATAAAATTTATAAAATAAGTAGGTATATACTTGTTTTTGAAGAATAATTAATTAGTAATAGCTGGTTTATATACATGGTGTGATAGCAATCTGTGAAACAACTAACCTAAATAATATAAATAAATAAATAATAATTAATATAATAATATTATATATTAATTATTAATATACATAAATAAACATACCATACCTACATCAAAATTAAAAATAATCATTCATGTTAAAATGACATATAATATAACAGAACGTCAACGGTTTTTGTAGACGTATCTGTTTTAAAAAAACTAAATTGTTCTCGAATAGTTGAATTTAAATATTTTAAATATTTTTTTTCTTTATTTTTTGTATTTTGTTGCTTCCGAAGATGGAAAGAGATAAACTTTCCGAAACGTTAAGCATTTTTTTGGTCGTTAGGCAAATTTGTATATCTGTAAACCTAACTTCTGGCAAGTAGTTTCCGTTTGGGATTAACGCAGAAGTGTTTACAAAAAATAACTATTTTATTTTGTAGATTTTCTTGCAGTGGCGAAATACCAGGGTTGGCATGATTTAAATCAAATGATTTAAATCATGACTTAAATCGTGATTTAAATCAAGTGATTTTTTAAATTTTAATCAGGTAATTTAAATCAAAAAATCAACTTTTTTAAAACTTTACAAAAAATCCAAACCGAACTGTAAAAGTTATAAAAATGTGTCCTAGAAAACTATGTATATACAGGGTGAGTTTCCTAGGATGTTCTCTATGGGTATCTCGGAAACTACTGGAGATTAGTAGTGGGAACTATCGAATGAATACTATCGAAACATTCGATAGTTGGAATTCATTCGAATAATTCGATAGTTAGTAAGAAAACATTCGTTGAAAACTATTCGAATAAAAATTATCGAATAGATCCGTCATCTGCCTTGAAATATTGTATTCTAGTAATTCGGCAGCAAAAACCATTCATTTATAAAATTCATTCATTTATGAAATTCATTTATTCGTCAGGATCGAATATAATAAAATATTAACTGAATTTTAGTTGTCGCCCGGCGACGTAGGTTTCTTTCCGAGAAACCCGACAGCGGTCGGTTGCAATGCTATGAAAGAAGCCGGCATCTTTGATTTTTTGCGGAGTCAGATATAGATAAGGACACATTATTTTTTTTATTGAGGTGCTAGTATTTACACAGAAAATACATTATGAAGGACGCTGTTGCCATATTTTGGTATTAGTTGATATTAGCAAAGAATATTATTGTTTGGCTTTAGTTAGTTAGGGTTAGTATGTCTATATATTCTGCATTTTTTTTATTAATATTCTGTTGTTACACTGCAGTAATACTTGTTATTTTGGATGTAGGAAAATGATTTTTAATGTTTTTAAGCAAAGACTGGTTTAATAAATAATAATAACAGTAATAATTTGTTATACCTATTAACAACAAAATTTAAAATCATTTAATATAAATATTTTTTTAAGTAGTAGCAAAATATAAACAACAAATTAGATGTCAAAATTATTTATATTAGATCCTATTTAAAAATAATATAGTCTTTAAATTTTTTGTGTGTGGCAACGTTGGTTTATTAAATAATAATAATTACAAAACTAATTTGTTATATTAACAACAAATTTTAAAATCATGAAATATAAACATTTATTAATTTTCTAAGCATGCAGTGTAATGGAGGGAAAATATAAATAAAAAATTAGAAATCAAAATTATTTATATTAGGTGCTTTATATTACTATTTAAAAATTATATTTACTTTTACTGGCATTTACATTAAAAAATAAATGAAAAATTTCTTCGCAAAAAACTACATGTAAGAGAATTAGCATAAACAAAATACAAACATCGTTAACTTTTTTTTTAAATTGTCACGTGTAAAACTTTCATTTTAATTTTCTCACCCCATAGTTTGAGTTCGATAACCCCATTTACTTAACCACATTACTTAAATATGATTATTAAGTTCAACTAATTCATATTATTAAAACATCTAAAATACAAATATGTATTTTTAAAATTAATTGTTAGTTCATCTCATCTCTCTTAAAAATTGCTACTTCTCAAAATTTCCCATTAAAAAATAGACCATATACCATATAAAATTAAATAATTGAAAGATCGGACTACGGAAAACCACACAAATTTTCGGAAAAATTTTGACCACCTGCACATGCACACAATCGTCAATAAATAAAATTAGAAAATAACTACTATTTTAGTATTTTAACTATTTTAATAAACGCAAAAATAGCACAGTATTTATACGGCGAAGTTATAAAAATTTGGAAGAACTAATAATGCACTGACGCATACAAAAATCAAACGAATACTAAATTTCATTTATCAAAAGCATTCGATAGTCGTGGCTCAACGATAACCATTTAGTCGCACGGCGAGGTTGTCACATATGCTTTAGTATACAAATGAATGAATGATTTTATTCGAATAAAACCATTCGATAGTTGAAATCATTCATTCATTAACCATTCGATAGTGTAATTCATTCGATAGTTCCCATCGCTACTGGAGATAGAGAGTCAGTTAAATGGGGAAAGAATTGCAGTTTTGTCGGGTCATAAATATGCGCTTTTCAGATTTTCGAAAAAGTTCATGGCTTACTAGATATTTCGAAAAAAACAAATTTTGGCTATTTTAAAAATTGTCCCTAATTCCATTATAATCTATTTTAGACAAAAAGTTTTCAGATAAAAGTTGTAGATAATCACATCCCTAATGAGACTGTGCTCTCCGATTTTTTCTAAAGCCTGTCATTTTTGACATATGGCACAAACATATGTTTTTTTCAAATAGAAACCATAGTTGGCCATGACTTCATAAATAGCGCCATTTTTTAAGATTTCCAGCGATATAAGCTATAATATGTTTCTTTCACAAAATTACTGAGTTATAGCCAATTCTTATCTTTCTTGACTAATTTCACTTAGTTAGCCATGGAAACAAGTTCAATCGTCGTTGCTCTCAGAAATGTGAAATTGTCACATCCAATCTTTGTAAATGAAAATAAACAAAAATTGTAAATATTTTTTTTTAAATGAAGAAAAGCGTGTAGGATTCTACGACTTGATATTATGAACAGGTTAAGTTGATTAAATATTTAAAAAGTTCTATGACATGGACATCGTCGGTTTTTTCCTCTTACTTCCTCATATGAACAAAAATTTTAGTCGAGACCACCTTAATAAATGGTAAAGCAGCTGAGCATGACCGGCTTTCAATTTCTAGAACTTCATTCTATCCTTTATTACAGTAAGAATTAGAAGGAGTACAATATATCCCATGGATGAGAACTGCAATAACAAGAGAACTTCGTCCGGTTCAGCAGGAATTCCCAGCAGATTGTTTCAGCATGAGATATCAATAGATTTGACAGATGTTATGTGTATATTTTTGAAAATATTAAGAAATACTGAAAGTTTTAATTATATTCTTAACTTTTGAGCTTATTTAGTGTTGTGGCAGTATTGTTTGAAATACCAGTAAGTTTTAGTTTCGTTTCTATAATTTGAATTTTAGTATACTTAGGTAGTGTTGATCATTATAATTATTTTATAAACATATTTTGTTGTCGTGTCTTCCAGTTATAGTAAATCAGCGAATAAAATCCATAAATTGACAATAGATTCGTTAATGTAAGTACTATTCATATTGTTATTTACTATGATTCAAAGAACATTCAAATATTTGCCAACTTTTAATTAGGACAATGCATGTTTCAATTAAAACTATTGTGTGTGTTGTAAACATTCAATAATGATTACGTCACTGTTTAATCATAAATTCTTAAGACAACTTCAGCAAAAATTGAAGTGGGTAGTAGTTTGCACTTTGCAGGAAATATAAGTATATTTGATTTTAATATAGTTCTTTTCTTTCCTATACATTTTCAAACATGGCGGAACAGGATGCGTCAATGTAATCAAATGGGGGGTCTGGAGGTCCAAGGGGATAGATCAGTCTGTGATGAGATTTTTAGGGCGATAAATACAGGGTGGTCCAAATTTTATTCTGAAAACTTCACCAGCATATTTTGTCAGTTAAAAATAAGTAAAAAAGTTCTTATAAATTTACGTATTAAAATACTTCGTTTCAGAGATACAGGGTGTAGAAGTTTCATTTTTATTTCGGGTTCTTCCAAATAATTTCTGAACTATAGTCGATATTTGGATAGGAATTATTGTCTAGGTATTTTTTGACATGAGAAATTTTATTTCGATGTCAAAAAACTCCTACTTGTAGGGGGCCACCAAAAATATGTATGTTTTTAAATGTTTTTAAGGGTAATAACTTTTCGTCCGTACCTGTATAAAACTATTGAGAGAAAAATTATACATTTCTGTCATTTTCTACGTAAACAGGTCTTTTGGTAAAAATCACATTGGCATTAAAAAATCCTTATTGGTAATTCGCTTGATGAATGTGATGTTCAGTGCTCTTATCTCCACATCTGATTAAAGAGAAAACTCAGCTCTTGGCTGGGGAATATTAGCGTCTTCGTGATCATTTCAGCAATCAAAAAGACTGCTCTACTGACTGAAAATTTTGCGGAATGATCTACTTTCTACTACTATACAGGGTCCGGCAATAGTGTGCCGGGCATCTGTAGCTCCTAGAATAAAAAAAATGGGAATTTTGTTTAAACCTGAAGTCAATCATTGGGTGGTTTTGATAAAAATTTACTATGGAAAATGCCATATGAAATATAAAACCGCGATTATCTGCAATATTTTGAACTACTATATAAATATAAAAAATGTTCATTTTTTGATTCTCCATCTAATAAAAAAATAATATACAGTGTGTTCTATTTAAAAAAAGAAATATTAGTTTATATTTTAGAAAGTTTGGCATAGAATTTTGAACATCCTGTACCATTTACGATTACCATATTTATAGCACAAAGTAAGTACAGACCATCTAAAGTAAATAATACTTAATATAGTTTTGATTTCAGAACAGTTCTTGTATTTTTAATAATTTTTTTAAGAAATGCTAAAAAACGTATGTATATTTTTCATTTATTTATTAATATCTCTGAACATATCAAAATATATTTACTAATATCTTAGGATTATGTAAAGTGATCTGAGAAGAAGCCAAAACTGCAATAATATACAAGGTGTTCCATTAAAAAAAATTATCCCGATCCACTCACACTTTTTTTAGCCACCCTATAGAAGTTAAAATATTTGTCTGAAATACATCCAAGTACATATTTTAGATATGCATTTAAACAAAACTTCCAAATGTTTTATTCTAGGAGCTACAGATGCCCGACGCACTATTGCAGGACCCTGTATATACTATTTTCGATTTAATATTAAAACAAATTTTCTTTTACAGAAAAAATGGGTGTGGAAGTTACCAATTGCTGCGGTTTTAGCCTGAAGCATGGAACCATCATCATCGGAGTAATCCAAAGCATTTTCGCTTTTATGGTTATGATTTTGTGTTCAGCTTATGCAGAACATCCCCATGAACTAGTTCAAATGTCTGATCCTTCCGTTATACCCGAGTTAACAAGTAAATATTTAAAAGAATACTTTTTTTTTCATTTAATGTTATTTGTTTCAGCTTTAAGAGCAATCCTTATCACATGTGCTGTCGTAAGCGCCCTGCAGTGTGTTTTTTCGATTTTACTCATATTTGCAGCTGAAACAGTAAGTATTTTTCGTTTCAGATGTAACCTCTCAAAATTTTTTATGATTTTGAATATTAGATGATCTTTATTTCTGCAATAATTATAATGACTTGGCAATTGCACGGCACCATAATTAAAATAGAATAATTTGCCTTTTCGATTACTAAGTAAATCTAAACAGTGCTCTTAAGAATAGAGTTTTTTTAATAGCAGAGAATAACATATCATGCATGCAATTGCCAAGTCATTATAATTATTACAGAAATAAAGATGTCTAAAATTGATACTAACAATTTGAATCAAAATTGTTGAATTGTTGCTTAAAGAGAAACTAAATAAAATAAACTGACTTGGTTTTACATGAGCTCTCACAACTTTTTTTAGTGGAAGATTTGTATTGCGAGATTTGGCATTTTTTACATTGAGAGAAAAAACGTTGTAAAATAAAAAAATTGCTAATGAATCAAATAAAACATACATATTTTGGCCTCATTAATGGTCATAATTGAATTAATAAGACATCTATTGATTTTATGCATATACTGGTACATAGAAAAAACATACATGATCATTGTCATTGTTAGTGGTATATATATATATATAAAATAAAAATGCTGCCTATTTAATTTAAAGAAATATATATTTGTTTATTAGTGTTTTCCTTTTGTTTTTCAAATACATTCCTTTTATTTCAAGCCTTTCTCTTTATATTTTGAAGCGCAATGCTTAATGATTTATTAATATGTAATAATTTAGCTCCCGTATATAGCGTTTAACGCCTTGGGAGTAGCAAGGTACAGCTTGCTATACTAGAGCCGTTCGGTATACAAGGAAGGTAATGTGGCTAGCCTACGCTTCAACCGCCTATTATTAGCTCAGGATTGTGAATCCCAAGTACTCATTTAAGGCTGAGTCGACCTAGGTACCCAAACTATTTTTATTTTAATAAGAATAGTCGGCTGATGAAATGCCGGGTGTGGGAATCGAACCCACACCTTGAGATTGGTAGACGAGAGCCTGTACCTCTACGCCACCGGGCACCAATTATTAATATGTCACTTTGTTTAAAGCTTGAGTCGATTTTAATTGAATAGGATCAGTACTAACAATTTAAATGAAATAAATATCAAATTTATTAGTAAAATAACTTTATTTCGGAATTAATATTTTGGTGATAAGTCGGTAAATACAATAATTGAATTGAATGTCTTCCTAAATAAAAAATACAATATAATAGATACAATAAGGGTATCCAGGTGAATTTTGTCTAATGACGAATGGTTTTTGTAATGTCCTGGAATTGATCTGCTTTATTAGATTCCTTCAAAGGTCACAGAAATTCTAAAAAAAGAAAGTAACGTTTAGCAGGGGCGGCTCGTAGCACTGGAAGATGGTGAGGCACATTAGAAGAGAATTTTTATTAGTATGTATATAGACAGGACTTGCTAAATCGTAAATTGCAAAAAATAACAGTATTTTTAGGTTTCTAACGCCACTATAGATGAGAAAACCGGGCTATGTTGAATTTAATAACCTGTACAAATTTCTGTTCTGTACAGGATGAGTCAGCGATAGAGTAAAGTCCATTATCTCATTTGTTTGGATGTTTAAAAATAAATGTTAAATACAAAACTTATATTAAATTAATTATTAAACAATATTATATTATCAGCAATCGTTTATGAATCAAATAATTAGGTAAATTGAATTCCATAGAACGAGTTAATTATTTTAACGTGATTTATTGTGCATTTTACAATGGATTTTTTTCTGAGTGTACATTCTATGTTTTTGATGGTATATCGTAAGTACATCTATTTACATCTATAGTACTACGTATAAAAAAGCTTCCAGTCAGAATTTTGCTTTTATTGCATGGTTTTACTTTAAATTTAAGTAATAATTGTATAGTCAGGGATGACCGAGCAATAATACCTAAATGAATTTGCGTTTTTCCAACAGATGCTTTTGTTGAACATTTTGTATCAATTTTTTTAGTATTTCTATGATATTTAGGATAACTATATAAATAAAAAAATTAAATGAAATGATGATCAAAATTTCCACTAATTTGCAATGTTTTTTACCTAGAATAATAATAAGAAATAGCATGGCAAGCTGTACTTTGCTACTCCCAAGGCGTTAAACGCTATATACGGGAGCTATTATTATTATTATAATTATTTTAATACATGTACCTATTTCATTTTAGAATCATCCAACTTTGCTGATGCCATGGCTGATTTTAAATCCCGTTGCCCTTTTTGTATACATCGTGGGAACATTGGTTACAATTATTCATCATACAGGAGTTAACAACGCATCTTATATCATGGCACATATAGCTTTTAGCACCTTAATATCTCGTAAGTATAATCAATAGTAATAATTGGTTGAAAAAATACTGCTTTGATAAGAAAAAATTACCTATAATAATGTGTCTTCACTCAATAATAAAACATTATACCGGGTGTTGCATCGTCGAGAGGGACATAGGAAATCCCATGTAAATTTTAATGGGGTCAATTATTGGCTTCCCTAATTATTTTAGAGAATAATTCTATTTAGGTTTATTGAAGAGCACTAAAACTCACATTCAAAAGAGTAACTTGATTAGCGATAAGAGATATTTTTGATTAGCCCGTTTACGAGTTATCGCCGATTTCTTTTTAAATATTTCTCCTTTCTTATGGCCCTGTATTTACTTACGAGCACCAGTCAAGGTAAAAGATAACTGTCAAATGAAGTTGTCATTTCAGAAATTTATCTATTTAGTGCTTTATTATTATTATTAAAAACTCATACCTACATCGAAAATATTAGCCAAGAATTACACTACCGAAGAAAAAGTATTGATGATTAAATGGTATTATCAATGAAATAGTTATCAAAAGGTGTCGGATATGTTTGCTGCTCTGTATCCGAATAGACCGATACCGAGATTTGAGACCAAAATTACCCTAAGAAATAACTGCAGATGTGAAGCAAGGCAGGAACAAAGAGAAAATATAGTAAAAAAACTGATACCGACTTGGAAGTTTTATTGTGCGTGGAAGAGAACGATGGAAAGATCAGCACAAGGAAACTTGAGGATGAAATAGGAATAGATCACACTACAGCATTTCGAATTTTGAAACTACATAAATACTATTCCTTCAAATATGAAAAGCACAAAAGAGCTACGAAATGGGGACGAAATACGGCGGCAGGCGTTTTGTTTTGATATGATGGAAAGAGCAAATATGGATAGGGAATTTTTAAAAAACATATGTTTCACTGACGAATGAACGTTTACCTTAAATAATAAACCCAATGTTCAAAATTATCGATATTGGAACAAAGAAAACCAACACAGGTTTGTCGAAACAAGGACGCAATATCCACAGAAAGTAAATTTTCCACAGAAAGTTTCTTTAACGCGTATCATCGCGTCCGCCGTTCTTTCCCGGCGCCGCCGACAGCGCCTGACGGCTTGATATACCAGTCTCAACTAGTGATGGGAATAATCGAATTATTTTCACCATCGAATAATTGGTAATAATTCATATTTCACAATCGAATTAATAATTCGCATTATTTAGTAGTATTATAAATTTAACCTAAAAATAAATTCGTCCCAGCTAGTGCTCGTCTAGGGGCTATTTTAAACAAATTCTGAACCATTGCCATATACCTATATTCTATCACTGAATAAAAAAAATAAAAAAATATTCTTTATTCAATGTATTCTATTAAATGTGCCGAAGCCGTTTAATAAATTAAACCATAATTTAAAGTTTTAAATTTAAAAGTGCCGAGTATCGTATTTTTTCGTATTTCTTTTCTTTTTATTTTATCAGTTGCAATCAATAATTATTTAGATAAAAGAAGAAAATTAATTTTAGTGTTCGGCAGGTGTTCGGTGAAATTTGGGTGAGATGGAAATGAACCAAATAATAGTAGTATTCTTTCGTTCTGAACGAAATGAAAATTTTCACTTAAACTGATTTATTCCTACGTGGTATAGGAAATAACAATGATTTCTGGATTTTTCTATATCGGATTGTTCCTTTCTTTGTCGATTCCCTTTATAAATCAGTTTAAGTGAAAATTTTCAGTTCGTTCAGAACGAAAGAATACTACTAGTAGTACTATACTAATTACTAATATTCGCATTCGTCCATAAGAGGTTATGTTTTATGTTCATTTGTAATTCGGTTACCACAGATATAATATAAAATACTACTAATTTTTATCTCGATTATATCGAAAAAGATAATTCGAATTAGTTAGTTTTAATTTACTATCGAATTAGTCGTATTATTTAATTCGAATTTTCCCAACACTAGTCTGAACGCGCCGCCCGGAGTTATGGGGTATTTAACTGCATTAGTTGACGCCTTCTTTAAATCATTTTCCACTATACTGAGCACAAAGTAAAATTGATCCTTTTTTAATCGAAAAAATTCTCTGAACTTCTTTTCATCGCCTTTCAAATGTTCACTAATTAGTAAACTTCCGTCGTTACGTCTTCTAAGAAAAATATTATGAGTTGTCGATGTTTTCTTCATTTTCAAATATTTTATAATTTCTTCGTCTTCTTCCTCTTCTAAAAGCAAAAGGGCTAATAGTTTTCTCTTCATGATGCATGCACACTAACCCAGAAGTGTCTAGTCCTAGCAGTCAACTATTAAGCTTGACCAATCAGGTTGGTTAGCGTGGTTATTTGGAGTGTGTTAATTCATTCCTGTTTATCAAAAACTCTAACGTGATTGGTCGGACTTAACAGTTGTCTGCTAGGGCTAGACACAAGTCACTAACCCGATGCTAAAGCGCGACTGTTGGGTTGGCGACTACTGTGGCCTAGCCAAAGAATACATGAAAAGATGGCGTTCAACGATTGCCGTCGACGACAACCGTACCTTAGACAATAGTTTTAACGGAAACGTTATTGGCCTAAATCATACAGTAAAGGCCAGCAAGGTCTCCTGATATTTCGCCAAATGATTTCTTTCTCTGGGGCCATTTAAAAAACAGGATATACAAGGATAAAAAATACCCCAATCTAGACGAGTTAAAAAATGCTATTTCTGCCGAATGCAATAGAATTTCAGTTTACCAACTAGCGAATGCAAGAAAAGAATTTTATGATCGCCTGGGTTATTGTCTAGCAGTCGAGGAATATTTGAACATCTTAAATCCTAAAGTTCTAACTATTTAATATTACTTAAATTAATAAGTTATTGAATATTGTTATAATACTATAATTAGCCTTGTAATTGATTACTTTATTTTACTTTAATTTATATTAATTTGTATTTATAAATACATTTTTAAGATTTCCGATGTAGAAATGAGTTTTCAATAATAATAAAGCACAAAATAGGTAAATTTCTGAAATGACAACTTCATTTGACAGTTATCCTTTACCTTGACTGGTGCTCATAAGTAAATACAGGGCCATAAGAAAGGAGAAATATTTAAAAAGAAATCGGCGATAACTTGTAAACGAGCTAATCAAAAATATCTAAAGTTATTCTTTTGAATGTGGGTTTTAGTGCTCTTCAATAAACCTAATTAGAATTATTCTCTAAAATAATTAGGGAAGCCAATAATTGACCCCATTAAAATTTCCCCCAATAGGATTTCCTATGTCCCGTCCGACGATGCAACACCTGGTATAGTAAATACACTATTTCAAAGCATTTCTTTCTGTATTAATTAGTATTTATTTTCATTAATTATTCTCCAGATACCAATGCTATAGCACTATATTTTTCGAATTTTCTAATAAGACATTATAGTTCTTTGTTTTATTAGATCCGTTTAAATTATTGGTTAAAAAATTGCACCTAGCTTACGAGCTTATTAATAAATAAATACATCGATTATCTATCCCTTTATTATGAAAATCTATGAATAGTTGATGTGCCCTGGTGCAATTCCTGTTCTAGAAAAAGAAAAAAAATAACAATTCGACATCAAATAGACATGTGCGCTTGTATCATAGATATTAAATACCATAGATTTAAGTGACTCAAAAAAGATTACTAAATTTTTAAATAAAATATTTACATGAACTGGCATTGTTTTAAATAATTATTTTTTTACAACGTTTTAACTTGGTTGTATTACAAGTCGTTAGCAAGTAAAATTTACACTAACAGCTACTTTTATGTATGTCACTGTGCTATTGACATTTGTAAAATATATAAGCTTTTTTCGTTTTCCTGTTATTACCGATTCTGAACCGTCCTAGAACTATGATGCGTATGCGCAGAAGGAAATATTAAGACATTATTTGATTTGCGCATGCGCTGCAGAGTTCTAGGACGGTTCAGAATCGGTAATAACAGGAAAATGAAAAAAGCTATAATAACTAATATAAAGACTCTTCAGTCATCACTCAACGTTTATCATCATCATCATTTAGCTTATACCGTCCACTGCTGAACAAAAGCCTCCCTTAACTCTAGCCATTTCCTTCTATTTTGTGCCACTTGAATCCAGTTTCCAGCCACCCTCTTAATATCATCTGTCCATCGACTAGGAGGTCGTCCTCTGCTTCTATAGGGCTCGTGTCTCGGTCTCCATTCCACAAGTCTCTTTGTCCACCGTCCATCTGTCATCCTAGCCACATGTCCTGCCCAATTCCATTTAAGATGTAAGACAGATATCACCGCATCTCTTACTCCTGTTCGATTTCGTACTGTATGATTGGGTATTTTATCTCTGAGTGTAACTCCCAACATGGACCTTTCCATTTTCCGTTGCATGACCTGTATTCTATGTATGTTCTTTTTTGTCAAAGTAAGCGTTTCAGCTCCATACGTGAGGACAGGCAAGACACACTGGTTAAAGATCTTTCTTCTTAAACATATGGGAATATCCAAAAGCCTAATATTTAACCCAATTTATAGATTTTAGGGGGGCTTTCGCCCCATGGCCCGCCTCTTCATCCGCCACTGTACTTACTTCATATACGACGTCCACGGGCCCAAGATTGTTCTACCAACGTCTCTTTCTCGACGCTCAGCAATGAGATTTTGTTCGTTTTGGTTAAATCTTTGAAGCGTTTTGCCATAATGACAATTACTAAAAGGAAATTTTGACATTGATCGAAAGTCCGTCAATAAAATTATAACCTCAAACAATAACAATTACTAAAAATAAAGCTTCATTCAGAACCTCCCCATTAGTGGAATAAATTAGTGGTTCCAATTACACTTTATATACTTTTTAGTTTACGATCATTCACAATATCTAAAAAACACAATTAAAATTAATAAAATATCCTAGCAACAGCTTGCGGTAGTCTGTTGTATCCATAGAGAGAACATAATATTTAGCTCAAAATTTAGTTTATAAAACAATAAACTTTTGATTTCTAACCAAAATTTTTCTTGACGGGTGATGCGGGTGATAATCAAAGGCCAAAATGAGATTCCTCGCAAATTTTGAAGTATAATTAGTGGAAAAGTCAAAAGTTTACTAATTTTTCTACTAATTGAAATTTACTATACCTAATTATGACGTTCTGAATGCTTACATTAAAATTAGGTGAACAAACTTCTACGACTAAAGAAAAAAGCAAGTGATTGAGAGAATTCGACAATACATGACGTGACGTTGACCAATGGGTAAACATTCTATATATTGATTTAATTTGATATATCCACAAGTTATATTCAAAAGCAGGGCAACTACCCAGCTACGTCGGAAACACCGGTTCCCATTAGAACACCGGAAGTTAAGCGACGTAAGGCGATGCTAGTGGGATGGACGGGTGACCGGTTCAGAAACTTTGCATCGTGCTGTTGTCCAAAAAAAGGGAAAAGTGTAAAATCTATTGATACACACTGCTCATTCACGGATATCTCGTGAGTAAGAGTTAATTTAGACACTTCCTAAGTCGGTAGGCCATTGACCATGATATGGCCGAGGACCGCAGTTCGGATTCCGCGTAAACAAGTAGGTCCCGTCCAGTTTAGCCATTGCAGCAGAAAGGAGACGTTAACTTGAACCTCACAAACACATATTCAAAGCAAAAATTCCAAGATCTTTTTTTTATTTTCAATTTTGTTTTTTTAGAAACACATTCCAGTGAAAACCCATACGCGTGTCACTGGTTAATATGTCGACACTTTATTAACGTTAAAATATGTAGAATTAATTAGTCACTTTTACTCTCAAAATTTCATTTGAATCACTAAAAACATTTGGAAGAAAATTATAATAAATCGACTTCACCCTGTACCTAACGAAACGAAGCAGAATCGGACCTATGTTGATATGAAAAATAAATCTTATTTTAACACACACGTTTTTTGAACCACCCTGTATAAATGTAATTTTTAACGTATATCTTTCTATGTCTTTTAATATCTATGATTTTTAGAAGTGTCCCATTGATTTTACCTTGGGGCGAAAATGAAGCTAATTCGTGCGATTCCAGTTTTTAATTTTTTATTAACAATTTGCGGAACATACACGTCAGTTGTGACATGCTTATTTATTTTTTTATAAAAGCACACCTATTTTTTATAAATAGATTTTTAAGAAAAACTCGTTATTCTTAGTTTACATCCTGGAAACGTCTCTGTCCTGGAAAAATCTGTGGTCGTAGCACACTCATGTATATTTTTTCCATAGCAACTGTTAACATTTTCTTATATATATAGATATAAATTCGGGTCAGAACGTCCTACGACGTTGTCCGATGCCTAACTTCCACCCTGTGCGATTTTCCCATTGATTTTCGGTCAGATTTTTCCCGCTCATCGACCTTCTTATTCCTTCCATCCATGTTTTCTGGGGGACGTCCTCTCTTTCGTTTACCAGGTGGTATCCAATGAATGACTTGTTTTGGAATTCTTTCATTGTGGGTGATTCTTTCATTGTGCATTCTCTGAACGTGGCCGTACCATATTAATTGTTTTTGTTCTATATCATTTACTATTGTTCCCTCTATTCCCTTCTGTTGTCAAATGTTTTCATTTCTGATCTTATCTCTCCGTGGAATTCTCATTGCTCTTCTAATCGCGTCCATTTTTGTTGTCTCTATAAAATTATCTTATATCTATCAAAAATAGTAGATAAAATAGTACTTTAACCGCAAGGGTAGATTAAATGATACTTTAACAGCGAGGATAGGTTAAAAACTTTATTTCTTCTCGCACGTTTTTTAATTGCTTCCATTTTTGAAAATTGTTGTATTCCTTTTCATAAGTTATTCGGGATTTAAATGGAAGTAGTTTGGATATAACGTTTGTCGTCTCAGCCTGAATAACTGTTCGTAATTTACTTATTTCGTTTTGAGCCATTTCTGGCTCCAATTCAATCAGCAATCGACACGAAAGAGAATTAAAAAATATTGACTCAAAATTGACAATGTTAGTTTAGAGACAGCTTTATTTATTTCTCAAATTACATAGAAACCAACGCCAAACCTACTTCTTACATTATTACCCTGTATATCCTCTTTAATTGTGTTTATTTATTTTAGTGATTGTGATCTACCAGATTCTCACAGTCTACAGTTTGAAGCAACATCTGAAGCGACTCAACTTTTAAGCCAGCTTGAATTTAGCCAAAATAATTAATATTTCTAGTACCTTTGTCAATGGACAGTAACTTATTGTATTATTGTATAAGCACTATTAGATAGTGTACACAATACCACTATTTGTTTAGAATAGTTTTAAGTCTTTAAAAATAATTAAAATATAAAATTTCCCTACTATTAACTAAACCAAAATTAGATAGCCTTTTACGATATTATAAGAATAGTTGGGTGTTGGTTTTATATAAACTTTATTTCAAAATAAATTATTTTATAACTTGTTTAAAATATATTTTTTGAAGAATGTTTTGAAAATTTAAACAAATATCATACAAAATAATAGTATATTACATATCGACGATTCACTTTTGTTGGCATATGGCGTTAAAAAAACTGCTACTTTCCTTTGTAACTCCGGATTTTTTTCTAAAAGCTTATAGGTTGACAACTTTCCCTTTTTATAAATTGCCGAAGTTGTGTCACATCCAGAAATGGCATTGCAAAATAGGATAGCAACGGCTATGTATGTACTCTACGGCTACGTACAGAATGATACGGACAATGGGGTAGAATCATAGATTTAGGAAGAACAGATATCACATTGTGCATTTTAACCCGATCAAACAATCGGAGGTTGACTACGTACTGTAAAAACCAACTGAGATAGAGAAGGCGACATTGCCACATCTCAAATTTGCGCCTATCTACTTATTTGTCAAATTACATAGAAACCAACGCCAAACCTACTTCTTATATTATTACCCTGTATATCCTCTTTAATTGTGTTTATTTATTTTAGTGATTGTGATCTACCAGATTCTCACAGTCTACAGTTTGAAGCAACATCTGAAGCGACTCAACTTTTAAGCCAGCTTGAATTTAGCCAAAATAATTAATATTTCTAGTACCTTTGTCAATGGACAGTAACTTATTGTATTATTGTATAAGCACTATTAGATAGTGTACACAATACCACTATTTGTTTAGAATAGTTTAAAAATAATTAAAATATAAAATTTCCCTACTATTAACTAAACCAAAATTAGATAGCCTTTTACGATATTATAAGAATAGTTGGGTGTTGGTTTTATATAAACTTTATTTCAAAATAAATTATTTTATAACTTGTTTAAAATATATTTTTTGAAGAATGTTTTGAAAATTTAAACAAATATCATACAAAATAATAGTATATTACATATCGACGAGGGAAGTGTTTTATTACTGTCGCGAGATTAACTACATCTCAAGACAATAATGAAAACTTTCCTCCGAGGTTTGTATATTGTATACTATTTTATTTACAACCACATTAATTAAAAAAGAAGGACAGTATTTTATTTTGAAAAAAAAAATATTCGAAAATTTGTCGTTTTCTGTTTTGGCACTTCCATATCTATAGTTACCGGTACCAGCGGTTTACTCCAGGGCCGTTATTTTCGATCCTATGGTGCTCGTGGAACAAAATCACATGAAGCTGATTTTTGGTTAATATCTAGCTTTGGTCACCCCGATTAACATACAAAAAGTCCCCATCCCTGCGAGGGTGCAAACGACCCCAAAACCACCCCCAAAGGTACATTTTTTTAGTTTTCGTCCATTATCTCGAATATGGTTGATTTTTTCAAAAAAGACTAGATATTAAAATTAAAGCCAATAAAATTATTTACAAATCGATGTATATAAATCTATATTTTAATTTACACAGTGGCGTACAGCAAACGTTTAAAGTCGACAAAGTCCATTTTTTTGTACATTTTTTAAAGTTTTCGTTATTTATTTCAAAAATGGTTGGTTTAAGAAAAAAATACTACATAACAAAATGGAATCCAGTAAAAATACCTACAAAATGATGTATATAAGTACATATTTAAGTTAAGACAGTGGCGTACACTAAAGGTCTTTATGTTGGTGTTAATATTTTCCATCGTGTAGCGTAAAATAGGTACCTTATTTAAACAAAGTCTTCTTCGTGGTCATCCTCGTTTTTATCAGTCTGCTTAGAGACGAGAACATTGCTAGAGGACTGTCCTTGGCATTGCCAACAGAGATTGGAGCAATCTAATCCAGCTTTTCTGCAACTGCACAGTTTTCCACAATCTGTTCTACAGTTGTAGAACACCAATTTTAAAATAAAATCTGGGGCAATTGGCTTATTAACAGTTGTTGGCACGAAAAGCTCTGTTTTTTTCCATCCCCAAGAGGTAGCATCCAATTCAATTCCCAACCATGCCTGAATTTGGTGATACACCCGCAAACTGTGCTTGGATGCAGTGTCGGATGTTGGAGGCAGAGATGCCAAGGAGAAGTCCGAATTGAGGCTTTGTTGTGCAGTATTGTTGAATTTTATGAACCGGAGTTATTCTAATTCTTTATTGATTTACCGGCTCCATATAAAATTAAAAGAAATTCTTCTCCTACAGAAATTAATTCACTTTTGTTGGCATATGGCGTTAAAAAAACTGCTACTTTCCTTTGTAACTCCGGATTTTTTTCTAAAAGCTTATAGGTGGACAACTTTCCCTTTTTATGGTGGGTATGAAAAAAATACTTGTGCTGACATCCAATTTTCGGAAGACACTATGGCAACCATCAACCAATCACATTTTTTTTTCGAATAAGAATAATAAGTCGTTATTTATTAAACAACTGAGTCAAAAGTTAAAGAAGCTGGTGTTCAAGTATTTCAGGCAGACGGTGATGCAGATATACTTATAGTGGACAAAATTTTAGAATTAGGAAAATCAGATATTCGAGTAACATTGGTTGAAGAAGACACTAACTTAATGGTTTTACTACTATTTAAAACAAAATCCGACAACATCTTTATGTTAAGACCTGGCCAAACTACAAAACTTAATAAAAGCACGCACATAGGTTCCCTGCAGAACCAGATAGGTGTCCTTACAACCTCTATCCTACTTTGCCATGCCATTTCTGGATGTGACACAACTTCGGCAATTTATAAAAAGGGAAAGTTGTCAACCTATAAGCTTTTAGAAAAAATCCGGAATTACAAAGGAAAGTAGCAGTTTTTTAACGCCAAATGCCAACAAAAGTGAATTAATTTCTGTAGGAGAAGAATTTCTTTTAATTTTATATGGAGCCGATAAATCAATAAAAACATTAGATCAACTACGGTTCGTAAAATTCAACAACAATACTGCGCGAAAAAGCCTCAACTCGACCTTCTCCTTGACATCTCTGCCGCCAACATCCGCCGCTGCATCCAATCACAGTTTGCGGGTGTATCACCAAATTCAGGCATGGATGGGGATTGAATTGGATGCTATATACCTCTTGGGGATGGAAAAAACAGGGCTTTTGGTGGCAATAACTGTTAATAAGCCCATTGCCCCAGATTTTATTTTAAAATTGTTGTTCTGCAACTGTAGGACAGATTGTGGATAACTGCGCAGTTGCAGAAAAGCTGGATTAGATTGCTCCAATCTCTGTTGGCAATGCCAAGGACAGTCCTGTAGTAATGTTTTCGTCCCTAAGCAGACTGATGAAAACGAGGATGACCACGAAGAAGACTTTGTTTAAATAAGGTACCTATTAATTTTACGCTACATGATGGAAAATATTAACACCAACATAAAGACCTTTAGTGTACGCCACTGTGTTAACTTAAATATGTACTTACATACATCATTTTGTAGGTATTTTTACTGGATTCCATTTTGTTATGTAGTATTTTTTTCTTAAATCAACCATTTTTGTAATAAATAACGAAAACTTTAAAAAATGTACAAAAAAATGGACTTTGTCGAATTTAAACGTTTGCTGTACGCCACTGTGTAAATTAAAATATAGATTTATTTACATCAATTTGTAGATAATTTTATTGGCTTTAATTTTAATATCTAGTCTTTTTTTTGAAAAAATCAACCATATTCGAGATAATGGGCGAAAACTAAAAAAATGTACCTTTTGGGGTGGTTTGCACCCTCGCAGGGGTGGGAACTTTTGTATGTAATCGGGGCGACCAAAACTAGATATTAACCAAAAATCAGCTTCATGTGATTTTGTTCCACGAGCGACCTTAAATGCATTAGGGTATGTTATGGCGCAAACCTTCAACAGCAAAACAAACAACTAAGTGACAGTTTTGAATTTCTCGTTCGCTTTTTCGAATTTATATAACAGAAAAAGCTAGAATGTTGTCGGAAAGTTCTGATAATGAAGACTACTTTAATATTGGTACTCCACCAGAACTTACAGAAGCTGCAAAAAGAGCAGAAGCCAGTTTACTTCCAGAGAAAAGTAGGGGGCGATATGAAATAGCATTGTAAGTATACGAAAAATGGTGTGCCTAAAGAAATCCTAAGAATATTGCTTCGGAGACAGTCTTGATAGCATATTTTAGCGACATGGCAAGGCAGAAAAAGCCATCTACTCTTTGGGCTACGTACAGCATGATACGGAAAATGCTAGAATTAAGGGAAAAGACTGACATATCAAAATATCACAAACTCGTCGCTTTCTTAAAACGCCAGAATGTATAGGTTTTAAGCTAAAGAAGTCTAGCATTTTTACCTTCAACAAATAAATGTATTAAAATCTTTAATAATTATTGTTAATCTTCTTGTTTATTTTTCTTGATGTTAGATAAGTATTCAATAAAGATATTACAAGAATATTTTGCTTAATTAAATGAGGCGAGAAATAAGAAAAACCGAGTGAGGGAAATGGATGAGGGAAGCGGAAGAAGGAAGAAATGTAGATAATTTGACACTTTCAAATTTTTTAAAAGTCATTAATGTCAGTATTACATATGAGGTTGTAAATAAAGGTAGGTATATTCTTAAATTACAATCAGAAATTTCTTCAAGATATTAAACGAGTTTTTTACTAATTCCTCACAATGTCTGTTATCATTGAAACAAATACAATATTTTTAAATAATAATTTATTTAGATTTATTTACAAGACAAAAATAATAATAAAAAATTCTCTTTTTACATTCCTCGACCAAAAATCTCTTCTACTTTCACTCCAAGTTGCCTACTTCTTTCAGCTTTTACTTGTGGTAGAATTTGCCGTATCCTCCCAAACCGATGCCACCACCGAGTCCAGCTCCTCCTCCATATCCTCCACCAATACCTCCTCCAATACCAGCACCTCCACCTCCAATGGCAACTGGGTATGGAGCAGGTACTGCTACAGGCACAGGCCTGGCTACTCCAACTGGATGGGCAACTGGTACAGCAACTGGGACAGGTCTTTCGACTGGGTATGGCACTGGGCGTGGTACATCGACAGGGACTGGTCTGTCAACAGGTACTGCAAGAGAATAACATACAATTATATTACATACTAGCGTATACCCGCGACTTCGTTCGCGTCGTATTAAATCATTTTTTGTAATGGTGATGATAAAGCAAAGCAAGAATTTCTATGAAAATACAAACTGGATAAAATTTTCTCACATTTATGCCAGCATGAGAAAAAACAATATGGCGATATTATTATATAACTTGGTAATATTTGAGGGGTGGTTTCATCACGTTGGAATTTGACTTTCGAAAAATCCGTTTGCCAAAAATAAGCTTTTTACGTCAAGCAGTTTAAGCAGAATCGTGGTTAATCAATTAACCAACTTTTTGGAACACCCTGTATTATTTTTTAAAAAATGTCAAAATATGTAAAAAAACAAAATAAATTATGCGTGTCCAAGCGTTTTCCTGAAAGACTAACCGTTTTTTTAAATAACAAATATTGTAATATTTGAGGGACGTTTTCACTCTCTTGGAATTTGAGATTCGAGAAACCCCTCCTTATCGAACCTCTACACCCCACAGTCAATCCGTTTGCTAAAAATCAGCTTTAAACGTCAAGCAGTTTAAGCGGAATCGTGATTACTCAATGGTCATATTTTATAAAACACCCTGTATAAATTTTTAAAAAATCTTAAAATATGTAAAACCAAAACAAAATAAAATATACATGTTTAAGAATTTTTCCGATAACCGGTTTTTAAAAATATATATATTCTAATATTTGAGGGGTGGTTTCACCCCCTAAGAATTCGAGTTTCAAAAAATCCCTTTTTATCGAACCTCTACACCCTAAAGTCAATCCGTTGTCCAAAAATCAGCTATTTACGTCAAGCTCTTTAAGTAGGATCGTGATTAATCTATGAAACAAACAAACTTTTCAGTCAAGTTTTATGACAATAACCTTATTACAGTTGAGGGTTGGAACCTTTGGTGTTACACAGCAAAATAAAACACTAAATCACCACAATACACCAAAACACTTTTACTTTTACACTGGACGCGCGTTTCGCTAACCATGTTATCATCATCAGCAGATGATTATAAACTGTTTATAATCATAAGCTCATGATGCTGCGAAACGCGCGTCCAGTGTAAAAGTAAAAGTGTTTTGGTGTATTGTGGCGATTTAGTGTTTTATTTTGACAATAATCTTGACAAATAAGCTATTAACAGTGAAAATAATAATATATGAATCTATACTAATATTGACACAGTGATTAATCACGATCCTGCTGAAACCACTCAACGTAAGAAGCTCAATTTTGGCATACAGGTTGATTCTAGGGTGTAGAGGTTCGATAAGGAGGGATTTTTCGAAATTTCAGTTCCAAGGGGGTGAAACCACCCCTCAGATAATACAATATTTTTTATTTAAAAAACGGTCAAGTTTCCGAAAAAATGCTTAAACACTTATATTTTATTTTGTTTTTTTACATATTTTCAGATTTTTTAAAAAAGTATACAGGGTGTTTCGAAAAATCTGGCCATTGATTAATCACGATCCTGCTTAAAACGCTTGACGTAAAAAGCTGATTTTTGGGAAACAGATTGACTTTAGGGTGTAGAAGTTCGATAAGAAGGGATTTTTCGAAACTCGAATTCTAAGGGGGTGAAAGCACCCCTCAAATATTAGAATATTTTTTATTTAAAAACCGGTGAGTCTTTCGGATAAAACTCTTAAACAGGTATATTTTATTTTGTTGTTTTACATATTTTAAGATTTTAAAAATTTATACGGGGTGTTTAATAAAATATGACCGTTGACTAATCAAGATTCTGCTTAAACTGCTTGACGTTTAAAGCTGATTTTTTTGGCAAACGGGTTGACTGTGAGGTTAGAGATTCGATAAGGAGAGGTTTCTCGATTGTTTTTTTCTCAGGCTGACATAAATGTGAGAAAATTTTATCCAGTTTGTATGTTAATGGAAATCTTGCTTTGCTTTATCATCGCCATTACAAATGATTAATTCAACGCGAACGAAGTCGCGGGTACACGCTAGTAAATTTGTAAAAATCTGAAGATTTTAAGGCCAAGGAATGGTTTGCCAGGTTTTTTTTATTATTATAAGATATGAAAAAATTCAAACAAGTTCCAAAATATGATAGCTGTTGATCCAAACTTTTAAATGAACTTTGAAGCATCAAAAAATATAACATTTTAGCCGAGTTATTAAACAATTTTTCCTACAATCAATGATACGTTTATGAAATCTCCGGAGCGTTAAGACTTGGAGAGAAAATTTAGAGATTTTCGAAGCCAAATATATCGAAAACTACTAATTCTTCGTAAAAAATGATAAGTACCATTTTTGTAGGTAATTATTTTAGGCTTTATTTTTTATTCCAATTTTTTTTTGTAAATTGCGTATTTTGGCAGATATTTGCGAAAACTGATTTTTCGGCCATTTTCTTTCGGCTGAGCACAATTTTTCACCTAAAACTACTCCCCAAAAGATACACAATTCGCCTGAAAAGTCCCGGTTGACAAATTAGGCCGTGGTTTGAACCATCATTTACTGGACTAGTAGGTATTTAGTAGTTTCCTTCACATACCTGCAACTGGTCTTTCGACTGGGTATGGAACAGGTCTGGCTACTGGAACAGGTACTGGTCTTTCGACTGGTACGTCAACGGGGACAGGGACAGCTACACCGTAAGGTCTGTCTACAGGGTATGGTACTGGAGCGGGTACGGGTACTCCTAAGTTCCTTGTGATGGTGGTATGGGTATGAGCGTGAGAACTCAGTTCAACAGCTGCTCCGGCGCCAGCTGAAAATGGTATTGTGTATTAGAACTGTATAATCATAAAAAACGCCGTCAAAGTAGCCTCTGAAATGACTTCTTCCAATGCAATCATACGACGGGGAAGCTCCAAGGAGAACGGTAGTTTATATCGAAGTGAAATTTTGCCAGCGTATGTGGGTTAACTGAAAGCATTTTATAAAAATATATAGAATTATACAGGGTGTCCCCAAACAAAGTTACACATCATATTTGTATTTTTTGTAATGGAAACCCTGTATATTAATAGATTTTCGGATTCTAGAAAAAAAATAAAGGTGAGTTTTATTAAAGAAGCATATACCTAAAATGTTAAGCTTTTGAAATATTTCACATTTTGTGAAAATGGAGAGTAAATTCTAAATTTCAATATTATTTGACCTTATATAGCCTAATATTTAATTACAGCAACCATTGTATGTTAAACCAAATTAAAATTTGATACGAAAAGTTATACAGGATGGGACAAAATTGATATGGACTCAATCACTTTTTAAAGCAAGTTACTCCTTTATTTTCAATGAAACGCCTAGTATATCATTCCTGTGTTCGATGAGGAATTCATATATCTTCAAAATATAATTAAGGTTCCCTATCCTTCAGAAAAAGATTTTCCTAGATATTCTAATTTTTATGAATTTGCGTCAGTAGATCTTTATTATTTGAAAAAATCTAGGGTAGACGCGTAATAGTATTTTGAAGAGACATAAATTCCCCAATCGGAATTGAATATCGGAATAATATACTGGGTGTTCCATTTAAAATAAAAGAGTAGTTGGCTTTTAAAGATGACCAATGCTCAATATTAATTTTATCTCGCCCTGTATAAATTTTTGGATAAAGTTTTAATTTGATTTAAAGTACAATAGTTGATTTAACTACATATTAGGCTATACCGGGTAAATTCCAATTTAAATAGATTTTATTGTAATTTAAAAATTGTTCTTTATTTTCAGAAAATGTTAAATATGTCAAAAACTATACATTTTACGAGTAGTCATATACTTCTCTAATAAAACTCACCTTTATTTTTCTCGCAGAATTCGAAAATCAATTAATATATAGGGTGTTTCATTAAAAAAACACAACTTTGATATGTAACTTTTTTGGGGGACACCTAGTAGAACTCTTTATATTTTTAAGTGCCCTGAAATAACCTACATATGTTCACAAAATTTCATTTCAATACAAACGGTCTGTGTGCTCTCCTTAGAGTCTCCGCGTCATATGAGAGGCGCCACACCCTGTATAGGGTGTCCCAAAATCGAGAAATGATGGCTATAGAAAATTTGGAAGATATTAAAAAATAAATAAGGTCTAATATTAAAGGCTATTGTGACACCGTTTTTTTTTCGCCTGTTATGGTACTGCTTACCACCTCCTGCGCCTCCTCCACCTCCTAATCCGGTACCGAAGGAACCAAAACCGGCACCTCCTAAACCTGCTCCTCCAAATCCACCTCCTAGGAGTCCATGACCTAAAAACGTCAAAATAATTATGAAAAAACCTGTGTTATAAAATAAAAATACGAGAAAATTACCTGCGATACCCAATCCGTACAAACCACGCTTGTCAACTTTTTTTTCTTCTTTTTTCTCTGGTTTTTCGGATTTTTCCGACTTTTCAGCGGCGAGGGCAACGCCGATAATCAAACAAATACAGATCTGAAAAAAACATCTTGGAATTAGCAAAAATACAATGGTATATTGTTTTATTAGAAGTAATAATAATTACATATAAAAAAGACACATTATGAGAAGCATACTTCATGTTGATCAGTTTTTAAGTCCCAAAAGAAAAAAAGTGTGACAATGGCTTTTGTAGCAAAAAATATATTATACAGGGTGGCGCACCTCATTCGCCTCGGTTGATTATGCGAAAACGGAAAGATGTAGAAACAAAATATTTTATGGGTATATGTATGGAGGTAATGTGCACAATTTAAAATTATTTTGAAATGTATAGGGTGTTTCAGAACTAAGATCCATACCAAAGTTATATTTTTTCTTATGGAACACCCGGTATTTTATTTAATTTTTGGATTCTTGGGCCCAAAAAAATGTATTTATTATAAGGTTTGAATATGTTTAAAATCTTTGGTTTTTGAGATATTTAAAGTTATTTAAATTTGCATGCTACAATAGAATAGATTGTTCTAACACTCTGTACATTACTTTTCAGAATTAATTCTTGTGCTGACTTTTATGCCAGAGAAATAAACTCAGAAAATGTTATTCCTTCCTTAAATGTATACAGGGGTATCAAAAATTGCTGGTCTATTTTAAATATTAATTTTACATAAAAACTTCGTTATTTCAAATGCAACACTATGTATTTTTTTTAAATAAGTCGAAGCAGATTTAAATGCTCTTTCAAACTATATTAGGGTTTCCTATACCTATCTGGCTCAGATTTTGAATAAAAAGCGATTTTTATTAGATAGGTATAGGACACCCTAATATAGTTTAAAAGAGCATTTGAATTTACTTCGATTTATTTAAAAAAATACAGGGTGTTTGAAATAACGAAGTTTTTATATGAAATATATCTCTAAAATAGATCAGCAACTTTTGATAGCCCTGTATAAATTTAACGAACCAATACCATTTTTCAATAAAGTTTATTTCTTTACCTTTAAAGTCAGCATAAGAACTAATTCTGAAAAGTAATGTACAGGGTGTTAATAGACTATTCTATTGTAGCATGCAAATTTAAATATCTTAAATTTCTCAAAAACTAATGATTTTAAACATATTTAACACTCATAATAAATTCCTTTTTTTTGGACCCAAGAATCCAAAAATGAACTAGAATACCGGGTGTTCCATAAGAAAAAATATAACTTTGGTATGGATCCCAGTTCTGAAACACTCTGAACATTTCAAAATAATTTTAAATTGTGCACATTACCTCTCTACATATACCCATAAAATATTTTGTTTCTACATATTTCCGTTTTCGTATAATCAACCGAGGCGAATGAGGTGCGCCACCCTGTATATAAAATATATAATTTTACAATGTTCAAACCTGAAATGTTTTTAATATACACATGAGTAGTCTACATAGAGTCTACATTAGAAATATTTTTTTACAGATTTTTAAGTAAATTTTTAATAAATGACAACATATAGAAGACGACCCTACAGAGTACATATACCCTACAGACAACATATAGAAGACGACCTTATACAGGGTGAGTCGTAAATAAGTACAAATATTTTTAGGGGTAGTACCGTATGATCGAATAAAAACGGCGTCAGCGATGGCTATGAAATGAAGATTGCTGTCATTTTATATGTAAAATTATATGGAAAATGTCATCGATCGTCATTCCATAGCCATCGCTGACGCCGTTTTTATTCGATCATACGGTATATTTCGACCCTACAAATACGATTATGAGTTTTTCTTGCGAATTTTTTTTTTGAAAATTTGGAATTTTTTGAAACATTATTTGGATTTTTTTTAGTTTTCAGTAAAATAACAAAATTTCTTGATATTATGGCAACATAAGTAGTAGATTAAATTTACAATTTAATTGTGTGAAGTGGTTCTCAAAATTTAAGCAAAAAATAATTTTTTTGGAAATTTTCAAAGTAAAATAACTCGGTTATTTTGGACTTATTTGAAAAAAGTTAAAAAGAAAATATGTCTCTTTAATCGAGATCTACAGCCCTGAAAATATTTGCACTTATTTAAGACTCACCCTGTATAATATACAGGGTCGCTGTTATGAATGGAAGTTAAATACAAAAGTTATATGGTTTTTGGATGTCTAATAGATAGTAAATACAAAAGTTATATGGTTTTTGGATGTCTAATAGATAGTAGTAAATTTAAGTATACAGGGTCGGTCATAAAGTTGTGCCACAACATTTTTTTTTAATGCAACCACCTGTATATTATTGCATATTTTAATTCTTCCTTCAATTTTAAGCAATAATACACATACTGTACATAAATTCAACTATTTCCGAACTATAGAGTTTTGATTATGAAATGTTAAACAAAAATTTTGTAATTTCCAGACTTGATATAATCTCGTTTTATACATCTATAAATGCTAACTTGAGAACGAATGTCAAATATTTTATGATTAAGTATCACAGTTTCCGCCGAATGGCATCGTTAAATGAAACCAAACACATCGAAATTAATTAAATCGAATTGTTTAAGTGAGATTTTCAAAAGTCAATAACTCGGAAACGGTTGGTTTGAGGTACATTGTGTGTACATACAGTGGTGGCCAAAAGTATGGAAACTTTTTACTTTTTAAAATATCACAGAAAATATTGCTATGCTTAAACTCTCAGGAATATAAATGAACCGCTTATCAGCAAATAAAAGTATTCCAAAAATTACACAGCGAAAAAAATCTGTTTAGCAGTTTTTGTAGGAGAACAATAGATTTCTTGTGGCCAAAAGTATGGAAACCATAAATAAATACATTAAAATTATTTAGTTTAAGTTGATAAACGGTACGATTTGCTTCAGATAAATATAAACATCATGCCCAAGTCTAAATATTTCTCTACGGAGTTAAAAAATAAAATAGTTGAATTATACAAGAGCGTTTATAAACAAATTCAAATAAGTAAAAATTTAAACATTTTAAAAGGCACCGTTTCGAAAATAATTCATAAATTTAATAAAACAGGGAACATTTCAACAGCTTTTAAGTCAAGAAGACTAAGAAAGTTGTGCAACAGGACAATGAAAGTAATGAAGAGAATATCAATGGGAGATCCAAGAAAAACATCGACAGACATTTCTCGAGAAATGGGTGAAAGGGGAATATCGGTGTCTGCACGCACGGTGAGAAGAAGGTTGGATGACATGGGGACTTTTTGGAAGAGTTGCGGTGAAGAAACCACTAATATAGGAAAAATAAAAATAGGATGGCCCGCTTTAAATTTGCTCAAGATCATCTCACCTGGTCTCATCAGAAATGGAATACTGTACTGTTTAGCGACGAAAGCAAGTTTCAACTGTTTGGTAGTGACGGGAGACGTTATGTCCGAAGACCAAAAGGTACACGGTACAGCCATAAGTACCAGATGCCCACAGTAAAACATGTGGGTGGGAGTATAATGGTATGGGGGTGTTTTTCTCGCTCAGGTATTCTTTTTAAAATTGATGGGATAATGGACCGTTTTTTGTACAAAGACATATTGGAGAATAATATGCTGCCTCATGCTGATGAAGAAATGCCACTCAGATGGTTGTTCCAGCAAGACAATGATCCCAAGCACAAATCTCGGTTTGTTCAAAATTGGTTAAATGAACATAATGTTCCACTAATGGATTGGCCCTCACAGTCTCGGATCTTAACCCCATAGAAAATTTATGGGACCATTTGGATAGCAAAATTCGAAGCCATTCTATTTCAAATAAAAATGAATTATGAGAAGTGCTAAAAACTGAATGGGCGGCCATTTCCAGTAAAGATTGTACGAGATTGATCGATTCGATGCCACGAAGATGTAGAGAAGTAATTAATTCAAAGGGATATTCCACTAAATGTTAGTAATTTTTATATTATCTTGAATTTTAATAAACATTCTTCTTAAGTTTCCATACTTTTGACCAAGAAAATATTCATAATTTTTTATATATTTTTTGATAGCTGTAATTTTTTATTTAAATGTATTAGGTTTTGTAGGAAATTATTTGTAGGTCACGATTATATAAGTCGTTTTATTTCATATTTTAATTTCTCAGCATAAATGACAAATTAAAAAAGTTTCCATACTTTTGGCCACCACTGTATTTCGAGTTTAAGTTAGAATTGAAGGAAGAATTGAATTACGCAATAATATACAAGGGATTCCATTTAAAAAAATTAAACTTTGATGTGCCAAGACTTTATAACCAACCCTGTATACTTAAATCTATTACTCTCTAATTACATTTAAAACCCCTATAACTTTCATATTTAACTTTTTGCGGTACCTCGTATATTTACTTAATAAACGACCGGTCTCATACATATCAGCGACCCTGTATATTTTTATATTTCTACTAAAGAAATTTCAATTATCTATAACTATAGAGAGGGTGAACTTTTTTTATTTTGATTTTTGAAAATTAGCCTGTATATTAATATAACTGGAATAACAGTAAAAGTTAAATAAAATTATAATATCTAATAATAATTGTATATTGTATCCCACGTTGTCTTCCTAATATGCAACTTTAAAAACTTAAATTGGTAAAACCAACCCACCAGAAAAACCGCAATAAGAAATTTAAATTAATTTTATATCTATAGAGTGGCTCCAAAAATTTTCGGTCATCAAATTATTAAAAAAATAGAGTGGCTCTAAGAAGTTTTTTATCATCTTATTAAAAAAAGCAGATTTACGTTATCATTGTGTTTACATACATACCAGAGTTTTCATTTTCATTAAATAAGTGCAAATGCAATCACTGACTAAACTCAAGGGTGTAACTGTTACATTCTAGGAGAGGTTATCTATTATAAGCTGGCCTACCCCTTCCCTGAGCCCACACAAGAACGCTTTGACTAAACAAAGACTTAAATATGATATGCTTTACTTTCTTCTTCTGTTATTTGTTTTGCAGGGAATTCAGCAGGATCTGAAATTTTTTTCAAATAATTTTTGACTGCAAACTTACTCTTTTTGGATTTTTTTTTAAATTTATCTATTGGTTTGGTATATTTTGGCTTTATTAAGATTTTATTTAAATAAATCGGTTAGTTTCTCTTAAGTGTAGATTTAAAGTATGTACGAGGATGTATTTCAGGAAAATATTTTAACTTCTACAGGATGGCTCAAAAAAGTGTGAGTGGAACGGAATGATTTTTTTTAAATGAAACACCCTGTATATTATTACATTTTTGGTTTCCTTTCATATCACTTTACATAATCCTAAGATACGAGTAAATATATTTCGATAGTTTCTGATATATTAATAAATAAATAAAAAATATATATTTTTTAACCTTCCTTAAAAAAATTATTACAAATACAAGAATTAGCTGTCCTGAAATCAAAACTATATTAGGTATTTACTTTAGTTGGTCTAACTTTGCTATAAATATCGTAATCTTAAATCATACAGGGTGTTCAAAATTCTACGCTAAACATTCTAAAATATAAAATAACTAGCGGATACCCGCGACTTCGTTCGCGTCGAATTAATCATTTGTAAAAGTGATGATAAAGCAAAGCAAGAATTTCCATTAACATACAAACTGGATAAAATTTTCTCACATTTATGTCAGCATGAAAAAAAAACGAAATGGCGATATTATTATATAACTTGGTAATATTTGAGGGGTAGTTTCATCTCGTTGGAATTTGACTTTCAAAAAATCCGTTTGCCAAAAATAAGCTTTTTACGTCAAGCAGTTTAAGCAGAATCGTGGTTAAAAAATTACCCAAGTTTTTGGAACAGCCCTGTATGATTTTTTAAAAAATTTCAAAATACATAAAAAAACCAAATAAATTATGCTTGTCCAAGCGTTTTCTCGAAAGACTAACCGTTTTTTAAATAACAAATATTGTAATATTTGAGGGGCGTTTTCACCCTCTTGGAATTTGAGATTCGAGAAACCCCTCCTTATCAAATCTCTACACCCCATAGTCAATCCGTTTGCCAAAAATCAGCTTTAAATGTCAAGAAGTTTAAGCAGAATCGTGATTACTTAATGGTCGTATTTTATGAAACACTCTGTATAAATTTTTAAAAACTCTTAAAATATGTAAAAAAAACAAAATAAAATATACGTGTTTAAGAGTTTTTTCGAAAAACTCACCGGTTTTTAAATAAAAAATATTCTAATATTTGAGGGGTGGTTTCACCCCCTTAGAATTCGAGTTTTGAAAAATCCCTTCTTATCGAACCTCTACACCCTAAAATCAATCCGTTTTCCAAAAATCAGCTTTTTACGTCAAGCGCTTTAAACAGGATCGTAATTAATAAATGACCAGATTTTTCGAAACACCCTGTATACATTTTTCAAAAATCTTAAAATATGTAAAAAAACAAAATAAAATATAGGTGTTTAAGCGTTTTTTCGGAAACTTGACCGTTTTTTAAATAAAAAATATTGTAATATTTGAGGGGTGGTTTCACCCCCTTGGAACTAGAATTTCGAAAAATCCCTTTTTATCGAACCTCTACACCCTAGAATCAACCTGTATGCCAAAATTGAGCTTCTTACGTTGATTGGTTTGAGCAGGATCGTGATTAATCAGTATGTCAGTCACTTAAGAATTTTATATATTAGTATAGATTTTATTTGTTTTTTTTTAATTTTTTTATATTATTTTTTTTTTATTAGGAGAATTAAGAAATCAACATTTTTTGTATTTAAAGTATTTCAAAATTTTTAATTGTTTCGCAGATATGCGCAGTATTATTTAATACGGCTCTTTCAACGGTAAAATATACCAGAGAAAAATCATTCTGTGGTTTTGATAAAAATTTACTGTAGAAAATGCCATATGAAATATAATACCGCGAATATTTGCGAACCCGTTAACAATTTTGAAGTACTATAAATACAAAAAATGTTTGTATTTTAATTCTCCATCTATTAAAAAATAATATACAGGTTGTTCAGTTTAAAAAAAAAACAAGAAAAAGTATTTTATATTATAGAAAGTTTGGCGTAGAGTTTTCAACATTCTGTATGATATACGAATACCATATTTATAGCAAAGTAAGTACAGACCAACTAAAGGAAATACCTAAATATAGTTTTTCACCTTGCATAAAATAATAAATTATACACATTGCCTTCCCACATACCCATAACATATTTTGTTTCTACACTTTTTGTTTTCGTATAATCAACTGAGGTGAATGAGGTGCGCCACCCTGTATACTAATTTTTGTTACAAAAGACAAACTCTATTTGAAGTAGTGAAAAAATAATTTAAAAATAACTCACTGTGTATACAGGGTCGTTTTTATGTACGGAAACGATCGATTATTAGGTAAAATAGCAGAGGTACCACAAAAAGTTAAATACAAAAGTTATAGGATTTTTAAATATCTATTAGCGAGTAATAAATTTAAGTATACAGGGTCGTTCATTAAGTCGTGGTACATCAAAGTTTCATTTTTTTAAATAGAACTCTCTGTATATTATTACATATTTCAATTCTTCGTTCAATTCTATGCAAAAATCAAACTAACCATTTCCGACTTTTGAAAATATCACTTAAACAAATCGATTTAATTAATTATTTCGATGTGTTTGGTTTGATTTAATGCTGCCATTCTGCCGAAACTGTGATACTGTTAAAATGGGTTTTTAAATTCCTATTAGCTACTAGTAAATTTAAGTATACAGGGTCGATCATAAAGTTGTGTCACATCAAAATTTATTTTTTTAAATGATACCCCCTGTACATTATTGCATATTTCAATTCTTCCTTCAATTTTAAACAATAATCGTAATACACAATGCACATAAATTGAAGAATTGAAATGTTAAACGAACATTTTGTAATTTCCAGACTTGCTATACTCTCATTTTATACATCTATAAATGTTAACTTGAGAACTAACTTCAGATATTAAGTAAGTGATAAGTATCACTATTTCGGCAAAATGGCATTGTTAAATAAAACTGAACATGTCGAAATTAATTAAATCAAATTGTTTAAGTGATATTTTCAAAAGTCAATAACTCGGAAACGGTTGGTATGGGGTACATTGTGTGTATTTCGATATTTGCTTAGAATTGAAGGAAGAACCGAAATATGCAATAATATACAGGGGGTTCCATTTAAAAAAAATGAAACTTTGATGTGCCACGACTTTATGACCGACCCTGAATACTTAAATTTATTACCCGCTAATAGATATTTACAAACCCTATAACTCTTATATTTAACTTTTTACGGTACCTCCTATATTTTGCCTAATAATCGACCGTTTCTATACATAAAAGCGACCCTGTATAAATAATTGTAGTAATTTGTATTTTACTATACGTAGTTTTGAAAAAGTCACTATTATGTAATACTTTCTAAAATATAAATAAAAGTAAAGATTTTGTGATTTTCATATGCAGAAAATGTTGTCCAAAAATAATAAAATCAGATTTAAGGTCAAAAATATGAAATTAAAACAGTATAAAGCTTGTAATTTGATTCTTGGTAAAACAGTAAAACATTTCAAATATTTTTACTACTGTTTGCACAAATAACGTTGTATAACAGCAAACAAAAACAACAGAACAAAAAAAAAATCCTAATCCGTATCAACCTGTTCCATTGTCCCGTGCATAACAATTTAAAACGTACGTATAACACACCCTTTCGGTTGCATACACGTACCTATGCATATTCTACACTAATTACACTTTTTTATCTTTCATTAATTCCATTTTATTAACGGCAAACAGAAAAAAAGCATTCCTCCACTTTTATGAATAGTGATCAGTTTCATTTATTAAGTTGAATGACAATTCATGTTTTTCCATGTCCAGCTTTTCTTAGATTTATTAGATAAGTTCAGTACCGTCGGGTGAATTTATAAGAGCAATGTCAGGGTGTGACACCTAACATCCTTGCTACGTCTTTGCCTAGTTATAAATAATTACACCTCTAACTTAATGTGCTTTACATTAAACATAAGTGTAGGTTAAGGAAACTTTCGTTTAACACCCTGTTTCATAGTTATTTTTAATTTTTATACAAGACGATAAAATGGTATTTTATGGTCGACCGAAAAGATTTTTTTGGGAGACGATAATGCAATTTTATCGTCGTGTATAAAACAATATTTTTTACCATTTTTTTTCCAGTTACGTTTTAAAACATATTGAGAAATTATTATTTCAAGGAATTTATTACGAGTAGAAAAAATATTGTGCTGGGTTGGTGTTGGTTTTAATGTAATTTGACAAATAAATAAAGCTGTCTCTTTAATTGCCAGTTTTGAGTCAATATTTTTTAATTCTCTTTCATGTCGATTGCTGATTGAATTGGAGCCAGAAATGGTTCAAAACGAAATAAGTAAATTACCAATAGATATTCAGGCTGAGGCGACAAACGCCCGCCATATCCAAACTACTGCCATTTAAATCCCGAATAACTTATGGAAAGGAATACAATATTTTTCAAAAATGAAAGCAATTAAAAAACGTGCGAGAAGAAATAAAGTTTTTAACCTATCCTCGCTGTTAAAGTATCATTTAATCTACACCAAAGAATATACCTAGCAAGAAAAAGAATGGACTCTGCCATACTGAAAAATGGTCCTACAGAAGTGGCGCTATCTATTGAGTAGGGCTTGTTTTAAATGGATCGAAGCGCGGGCATTTTAAATGAGCGTGTTTATTGAATTTTACTCTAAAATAATTAAATTTGATTATTAAATCTTATTTTTTACACAAATTCAACAATACTAATAACAAGTATCGTTGTGATGTGTAAAAAATAAGATTTAACAGTATAATTTATACAATTATTAAATAAAATTAAAGCCAAACATGTATAAATATTATTTATTATTTAAGTTT